AAAGAGATGCTGAGCAAGAGAGGGGAGGCTGGGAGCCTGCTGAGACTGCGCTGCTGAGGCCGACACTAAAGGCGGACCGCACTCAGTGCATTACTTCGATATGGGGGGAGGGGGCGTATGAGCCTCCATGCGAAACTGAAGTTGGAGTGATCTCGTCAAGAATTGCCAGAGGGTCGCATCCTCTGCTGAGGTTTGAATGTGCATTGAAATCCTCCCTGCTCCGCCCGCCACACCAACAGGGTAGCAGGAAATCCCCAGCGGTAAGGGCGGAGACCAATAAAGGCAGCACGCGGCGCCGAAGGAAGCAGTGCTGCAGCAGCGCGCAGGTGAGGGCTCTGGCTGGGAGATGGTGGTGGGGTAAGTAGGCAGAGACCCATGGGTCATAGCAAGGAGGCGGTATGCCCGCACATGCAAGCGGAGGTTGTAAGGCAACGGGGCTGGGGAGGTGCTACTCCATGTTCGTGCCTGACGAATGACATGTAACCGTCAGCAATGCAGTGTCAAGTGCCAAGCGTTGTACCCCGTTATGACGATGGCTTGCTATCGCCATAAGATCTCCATGCCAACCGAAAATTTAGGTCATCCCTGCAGAGACATGCTGATCGTCGCATCTCTCCCTCGCTCACACCCTTCTCCGCGCGTTCCTCGTAACGTGCCCATGCAGACGACTCCCGGGGGTTGGGGCTGCCTCGCAACACAGTGGCATGGCAGGAGACTTGTGTGGCAGGCGGGAACTTGAGGCGGATGTAGCAGCGGCTGTATGCGGGAGGTAAGCGGATTCGTGGTAATATGCTGTACTACTCGAAGCTGTGCCGAAGCAAGATCCCTCAGTAGGGCACGCTTCTGTTGCACCGTCGTCTTGCACTGTCACGCGCCCCCTCCCACCGACCTCTTTTGGCATACTCGCGCCCTCGCCGCTGCCAATCCTGCCATACCGCCCTCCCCTCATAGCAACAAGCAACCCCGGGTTCTGCTGCCTGCAATCATGTTCTGTCTCCTCTTACTTCCCGATGACCTCCAGGTGCGGGGTGAACCTCAGCAGCAGTCGAGCAGCATGGAGGGCGTAGCAGCGGCGAAAACGTTTACGGTAAGCGTGATGAGGGTGACTGCAACGGGCTGGGGCAGGAGTTGCTTGTGTGCTTTAAAAAGCTTCACAGTCTGGGCAGAGAGGAAGATGAACGGCGGATGGGTGGGACGACGGGAGCGCTAGACCCTAGCTGTGGTGCGTTGCATTGGCTGCCCGCACACCCTCACCAGCAGAACGCCACTTGCATGGCGGGCTCCAGGTTCTCCAGCCCCGGAGTCTACATGGGAAACGTAAGACCGCTAGGGGGGTGAAAAAAGAAGAGACTGACGAGCTGTACGACGAGGCTTCGCCATGGATTGCTACATTGGACCTGACCCATCCCACACAACAGAATTAGGAAGAAAGGAACGTGCTCAGCTTCAAGGTAAAACAGTTAGCAGCCATGGCCATCCGCGTTAGGAAGGCGCCGGGTAGTGTAGACGGTGCATCGAGGAGAGTCGGCCGCGCCGACGGTCCGTATGTCTCAGAACCCACACAGCGACAGACCGACGATTATAACAAACCCATAGCGCGGTGTGGGGCTAGCGCACGGAGCCGTCTGGTGTGACGATAAATTGTGGCTGTCCATTCGAGGCATGGCGATTGGCACCCGCATCTCTCCCTCGCTTTCGTTTCACCTCGCGCGCCCTGCTGCATGATGTCCTCTGCATTACGTTCTCTTGCAGGCCGGTCCTAGGAATGCGTGCTGCGGCCCAGCACAGCGGCCTGCTAGGAGCTTGTGCGGCAGGTGGGATGTGGCAGCAGCCAAGTGCACTCAGTAAGTGGGAATATGGTAGTGCGCTGTTGAGGGGCTTGAACCGGTGCCGTAGGTCGGGGTTGGCCACCGGTGGTTATAGCTGTGGCGTGACCCACGTCAAGCTTCTTTCGTCTGACGGTCGCGCGTTTCACTGGTCGCACCTCTCACTGGGTGCGCCATCGCTTTTTACTGCAGCACACTGGCGCCCTGGCTTACACAATCCTGCCGCGGCCACATGCTGCTCCCTCCCCTGTTTTCAGCATTGTGGTAACACCCGCGTGTTGCGCCCCCTTGCAGTGCCTATTTGGCGGAGGTGTGGGTCTGGAACTGGATAGTCGCTGGGGGCGCCACACACTAGCAGCGCGTCGCGCACGTTCTCGCAGCTGTATGCAGAGCGACAGGGCGGCATCCGTCACACACACGGTCGCCGCAGCTAGGTCCTTGCGTCCGCCGCGCAGCGCTGCATGATGGTGAGGCAGCCTGGCGGGGCCGAACGGGCAGCGGGCGGGGAGCAGCTAGGTGCAGATCCGCATGCCGCACTGCTGGCGCCGGCAACGGGGGGGGGCTCCATGGCGGCGTCCGTTGGCCCAAGCGCAGTGACTGAGGGGGCTGCTGGTCCGGCACCCGGCGACCTCTGCGTGCCGTACTTGGCGACCTCTGCGGTATGCATATTGTAAGTCGGACATGCGGGGGTTGCGATGGCTTCTGCTATGTGTCATCTTGCGCAGCTTGGGCACGCGGGCCTAACCCGAGCCGCTGTTGCACCATTTTCCGGGTTACCCGGTGTTGATTGCATCGCTGATATGTTGCTCCGCTAACTTTGCATGCCCACTCCCCGGTACACGTGTTTGCTTTTACTGCTGGATGCCGATATCACCGCATCCCGTGGGCTCCGTCCCCCACCCGCACAACACGGTGCGACTCTCCATCTTGTCCCCGACCCCCCTTGTCCAGGAAGACTGCATGTATGCCGCAATGGGCCGCTGCTCCGCCAGTTCTGCGGCTGGGTCGAGGCTCACGTTGAAGCGCGGAGGTGCATATTGGTAAGCTTGGAGGCAGCGTGTAGTGGGGCACCGCCGAGGTGTTCTGTAAGCTAGAACCCGCCTCTCGCGCGTGCAACGAATCTCCCCTTCATCTAGGCGTCCCGTACATATTGCTTTCTAGTACTTGGCGCTACCGCCCGTCTCCTAAATCATTTATCTTCCCAATCAGCTGCCGGCTCCTGGTTGTTCGAGGTGTGGTCGCACTACAACAACCGAAGATGCACATATATGCACCGTACGGTATGCTCCATCACTTGACGTACTGGAAACCTCCATCGCCGCCCGCCCTTCCCTCTCAGGTTCATAGCGGCTGGCTGCAGCTGGGGTAGAGCAGCTTACATGCCCGCATGCAGGATGCAGGCGAGGTGGGTTGGGAGAAGGTGGAAGAGGGGTTACAGAAAGAGGAGGGGGAAAGGGGTGCATTGGAGGTATTGCGCGGGTTGGATTGGGCCATGGGGCGTATGTAGTAGTGCTAATGCAGTCTTCAGTCAGGCATTAAACCTCCGGGTGCATGTTGGTAAAGGGAGCGTCTATTGGGGCAGCGCTTGATAGGCTCGCACCTCGTGATTTAGAGCTAAACCACGCTAATTGCCAAGCCTTTCTGCCCGATGTGCCTCACAACCTGTCCCACCACCTCCACCCCGCCCCTCATGTGATTTCAGCCCACCCTTGTATGTTTCGTTGCGGCTTAGCGGCCGTTTCCGCCCCCGTGCAGCTGCTTCTGTACGAATTTTTCCTTCACTTGCAACCCAACGAACTGCACCCAACCTCCGTCCCTTCCCTCTATCTCAGGTTCTTGTCGGTTGGCTACGGCTCAGGGTATAGCAGCTCACTCGCCCCGCATGCGGCGGTTGGAAGGCAGGTGAGGATCTGGGTGGAGGGAGGCGGAAGGGGAGGGGGAGGGGAAGGAGCCTGGGGGGTTGTATGGGAAGGTACGGGTTGCATTAGCATGAACTGATGTAAGACGTGCATTAGGACGCTTGGTCCTATGCAGCACCACAGCCATACACGAACCCTCCGCCACGCCAGACCTCCACTTCTTTTTGGCGTTGCAGTCCACAGCACGCGAGCTCCTGTATGCTACGACACGACAGCCCTCCTTGAACTCCCCTCCCATCCCCGCGTGTCAGGCATTGCACGTGTACCGTGATGGTGGAGGGATTGCTCCTTGGCAGTGTGGTGCTGCCGGACTGGCTGGCGCTGCGGAGACAGCGCCTGACGTGACACTCGCTCTGTGTCGGGCTGTCACTCAGCAGCGTTTCTTCCGGCTCCTGCAAAACGGTAAGCTGAAGGCCGGCGTGGGTTTGACTCGCCCCAGAGGGGCTACTACCTCGCACCTGTTAACCACTTCCAACGCCACCGCGCCTTACAAGGACTGCAAGCTACGTCACAACTCCTTCCCTTGTCCTTAGGCCTCCATTGCGTTACGTATGCCGTGCATTATGGAGCTCCCGTGATGCACTTCGAGTGGCGCACCTGTGCACCTTGATCCGGTCTCCGAGACGACCCATGCGCCACCCTACCGTACGCTACATGTTTGCTCGGTTTCCGCTGCAGCACACAGATGTTTGCCCGCCCAACCTTGCCCCTGCGCTCCCTCATGCAGGCGCAACGCGTGCGTGCCAGCCACCGCACACCAACACACGATGGCATGCGTGGAAGCAGGCGAGCTCTGGCCGGCAGGAGTGCTGCAGCACTGCCAAGCACATGATTCGCCCCGGCGGCGTAGCTCTTCGGTGAAGCTCTTCGGCGCTGGAACCTGTGTGTTACTCGTGTAAGCACGTTGATGAGCGGTAGTGAGCAGCTAGATGTTGACTTCACAGCGGTGGTGATCTGGTGTGCGCGTTCGTGTGGAAAGTTGCCTTACAGTATCGTACGTCCTACAGACGTTCGAGGACTTGGGTGCGTTTGTTGTTGGGCCTGTACGGCAGGGGCCGACATGCACTGGGCAGCAGCCGAGGTGTTAAGAGGTGCCTTCCTCCTTACTGTGGGTCCCGGATGTGCAACTCTGTAGACGCGCGGTAAATTGGGGGCAACGTTAAGAGTTAAGAGAAGGGCGGTGCTTGATCCTTCCATGCAAAACAGCCCGCGGAGTATCTACATTGCCGTACACCCATCATTGGGCGCTCTGTTTTGTCATGTGCGCATGAACCCGTACACAACGGACATACATGTATAGGGAGTTAGTGGCCACTCATATTTACGGGCGAATGGCTTCGTGCTGATGTCGTTATCTGGTGTTCTTGGTGTTCTACCCTTTGCGGTAGATCCTCGGCATTTGTGTTGATGGCGGGCCAGCCGAGGAGCAAACACGTTTGCCTGCCTGTATCATGATTCGTGCCACAGGACATCCGCTTTCTCTGCGCCCCCCTCATCCTAACCAACGCCCCCGCATAACCTAACCAACGCTAATGAATATTTGCCGGTGTATGTGCTTCCTTGCTACATGGACACATCATTTGCGCCGGATGCTCCCAACACCCGTTGTGAATCTGTCCTTGAAAACATTCACTTAACGGTTGCTGTGAGGAGATTAGGCAGGCACTCTTAGGTGCTCGTGCGGAGACCGTCCTGCAATGCGCAGCCGCTGTTGGCAGTTGTATGTAGCGTGGTTAGTTTGTGACATTGCCCGCAGCTAACCAGGTCATGAAGTACGGCGTGACATGCTTTTCTGTCGCGGGTGGAGATTCTAAGTTTTGCCGAGCCTTCCAGAAAAGCAGTGACCACATGACCCATGGGTCAAAAACTGTGGAGACGCAGTGAGCTGCTTCGGTTGCAAGGGTTAGGTGCGGTGCTGAGTGGGTTTAACGTTCCGATCGGTGCAGTAGGTGGCACACGGAGAGGGTTTATCCTGGTTTGCGGGAAGTGCAGCGCCACCACTTCTTGCCTTCTTTGTCATAGACGTGGATGCATTTGAGACAAGTTTTACACTATCCCAGCCGATTCTAAGCCTCCGAGTGCTTACCGCTTCTTTTTTCTGGGCCTGCAAAGGGGTGGTGGTAAGGAAATCCTTGGCAAACTATGCTAAGATAGCCAGAAGTAGGGTGCCGGACCCACCCACCCGTCGTTCTGCTTTTGCTGCACAACAATGTGAATACTCTACAACTGAATCGCTTCAAAATGGTACAATTGTACCCATCAAGCATCAATACTTTCTCCCGAGTCTCTCACCACAGGGTGGGCCCCAGTCAGGCTGCTGGATTCAATACTCTCATGGCAGCCAACGCATCTGAATGCTACTTGAAATCAAGCCTCAGGCCACCGGCTACTTTGCAATCCGTTCGGACCAGTACCAGCCAAACGGTTGAGCGCTATGCATGCTCGCATCTCATGCGAGGACAGTCCACAACGCCACTTGCTACAGCAACGAGGTCTAGTCCTGTGCATGTGCCATGTTTCGTAGCAGGCACCCTACGAGCAGTGCCCAACTCAGCAGCAGGATACACATGCAATGCACGTACGACACGGCTCTGTTCCCAAGCCAGAACCGCAGCGAACGGCTCCATTCCAAGTAACCCCGCTGCTGTTGTGCTTGCTTGCATCGCAATAGCTGAGAGCCGCCGTCCCGCACTGCCCATTTCCGTGCCGTGCATCGGAGCCGGCAGCGCTGGTTCAAGCGGCGGCACAGGCGTACCCCAGGCAGGCAGGCCACCCGCCATGCGCCTTAGACAGCCCCATACAGCCGCCGTCACAGGGCTATGTCGGCCACGCATGCAGGTTCATGCGTGAATCGGTTGCACCGCCTGTGGTGGTATTGAGGGAAACGTAATGAGCTACTGCCCGGGTGTTACTTGACCCAGTTGTGACCGAGCCAAATTCCTGCTTCATCACCCCCAACCCTTTTCCAACTCCAGCCACTGAAACCCGCATGTCTCCTACTTCGCTACCCCCTCCCCCCTCCCGGTGGCAGCCACCTCCCCCCCTCAGCGCTCCCCCTCCACATGTTCTTCCTTCTTCTACCCCCCCCCTGCACCGCGCACTCACCCGCCCACCCGGCAGCTCAACACCGCTGCTACCCAGCGTGGCGAAACTGGCCGCACTCAGCACATAGGCGTTTCTCGTCGGTCGCCTGCTGCAACCGAGGTAAAGGTGTGAGGGGGATCAGACGGGGAACTGAAGCCAGCAGAAAACAGCCAGATGGGCCCGGCAACCCCGGGCTATCAGACCGCCATGTATCTGCGGGCAGCGCTGTGAGATACGCTGAGGCTGCAGCCGGTAGGGAGGCCGATCCGTACATTAGTCCCACCAGAGAATTGGTGCTCCTTCACCGGAGGGTGCCGGTGCAACCCTTGTGTCTCGGGCTCCGAGACGGGCACCTGGCGGTGGCTGCGGGGGTTGGGGAGGATGGGCGTGAGAAAGTAGGAATGAAGCCATGGAATACCATTCCAATGGCTTGACTCATGCAGTAAGTGGAATGCAATGCACACACTAGGGACGCGCAAGCCAGCAGAAGAGGGGCGGGGCATCAGCAGGTGCGGCAGGCAACCAGATTCTGGGGGCTAGAAGGGCGAGTTGCGATGCACGCCAGGGTGGCGCCAGAGGGCCATGGCGGGCCCGCGGGGCGCACACGCCACACCTCAGAGCCCAGCCAACCGCAAGCCCCTCCTGCACCCCGCACCTCAGCTTGCTGCGCTGATGGAAGCCACTCATCCTGCCTGACCTCGCCGTGCCGAAGCCCTCCCTCGCCTCCTCAGCTCTACCCCCCCGCCGTCGCACCGTTCCCTACCTCTTGCTCCCTTCTACATGCTGCTGGCGGTGTTGCCAACACCGCCAGCAGCTGCTGCAGCGGGGGTTATTGGCGGCGGCAGGCCTGCACCCGGCCTGAGACCCCTAACGTTGTGTCATGCTGGGGCGGGGGACACCCAGTGCAGCCGTCCGTGTTATGGTGCTCTCGCTGACCGCATGGCGGCTGCCAGCTGCTCAGCGGCCCGCGCGGGTGGGAGGGAGGGGGGCGACTGGATAGCCGAGGTAGAGGCCGTGCGAGGATGACATGTCGTGCTATTGCGATGGAGGCTAGCCCGCACTACTCTGACGCAGCCTGCGGGAGCAGGGCGCCTGCGGAATGTAAGAGCGACCCAGCGGCTTGAGGAAGAGAAAGGAGAGGAATGCTTTGGGACTTCATGCCCCAATACTATACAGACCCATGGGTCGATGGCCATGGCCCTTGGTTGGGAGTTTTGGCCGTACAAAGAGGTTCTCACGACAAAGAGCTGCTCACAGAGCACGGCGATAATTCATGTGCCTCTACGCTCCCGACCACGCCATTTGGGACCACACTGCCGGAAGCAGCTATCATGATGCCTCTCCAACGGCACAACACCGTTCTCCCACCACTATTGCCCCACTTACCCGTCCGCCCCCACACGCGGGCCCTTCGCTTTGTTCGAAGCTTATTCGAATAAGCTTTGGCGGTACTGGGTAGGTGAGAGAAAGCAACGTAAGGAGCAAGCGATTGAAAGCCGGAAGCTAGGTGAAGGTATGAGGGGTGGGTTCTGGCGTAGGAATGGAGGTTGGGCGTAGGAGTGGAGAGTCGTGCACTAGGACTAGGGCACCAAGAGCAGCACTGGCTACCAATACACTCTCGGCCACTACTCTCGGTCACTACCTTCCTAGTCTCGGCCTCCGCCCCCATTCCGCAACCTCGCCGCCCCATCACGGCGTGCAGCGCGATGCGAGGCTGCCGACGAGCTTGCAAGCGCTACAAGATGAGACAACTACGAAACATCCATTGGAGCCAAATCCCTGCCATTCGATAAGGGTGCCGTGAACATCGCACGGGACTCCTCTGCGGAATTGGGTCGAGGTAAAAGCTTGCAAATGCCGGACCCGATGTGCCGCTGGCACACGAAGTCCGCAGCATTCGCTGCCGCAAAACTCACAGTTTTGTATATTTCTGTTGACGGTCATGGAAGCCTGTTGTTATATGGGCAGCTGCAGCAACGGGAATGCAACGCGCCTCTTCATCTCCTGCTAGCTGTGCCACCAGTTGTCGTCAGTCGAGACAAACTGCAATGCGTCTACTCAATATATATGTGAACACGCTCGTTGTATGCTAGGGACGGTGTAACACCCCAAGGCACAACTGGGCACATGTGACGAGTAAAGGAATAATTCCTAATGTGATCGTGTGAACTACAATTCTTGAACCTTACAGAATGACGGGGCCTCCGAAGGGGCTTCTTGACAGTTGACCGGTTATACATGCCATTAGTAGCCGATGACGCCCGCGAAAGCAATAGATAGCTAGCATACACGAAGCCATTTCCATGACATATGCAATTTCACTACGCTTGCCACCTGTCGAAGCGCGGCCATGCGGTCAAGTCGCCCGTCACGTGTATGCCGAGTCGACTGACACCAGCGCTTTCCTACGCACGACATGCGGTATCACGTACGTGACTGTAAAGCATTCCATGTGAAGTGATTAGTGAAGTAAGCTACAATGTTCACGCGCCGTTGTGACCGAGTTTTGCAATCATTCGCAATGCTTGCCTGCAAACGCAGTATGAAAGAAGGAGGCTGTTACCAACCGCACCAACAAAATACAAAACCGAGAAGCACCATCACGCACACAGCTTCTGTAACATCCAGCTGACCCGGACAGGCGGACACCTACGACATGCCAGATGCCGCCCTTCCAAAACGACTGTGTCCGCGGCTGGCGCGTCACCGTTGGCCTTGCGTTGCGCTACAACAGGGGTGGTGGTGGAGCTGCCCACTCTAACCTCTTCTTGCTTACCGGCACCCGCCCCCTCTCTCAGCTCGTTCCGGCGTCTCCCCCCTCAGTCAGTCCCTACTGCCCCGTGGACGCTGCTTACCACCACCGTCTCGGCGCTGCAAAGCCAGGTGAGGCGGGGAGAGGGGACGAGCCGGCCGCCAAACGAGGGCATGAACGGGGTTTCGCGACCAACGGAAGGGGAGTTAGGGTGATGGTTATCGTGCAGTGCGTCCTGCAGTACCCGCCTTACGTAGTCGGGAGCCGTGTGGGCGCTGCTTGCTGCCGGAGAGGAGGTTGCTGTCGGGGTGTAGGGAAGGGGGGGCAGGGTAAGAGCCCCCCGCCTGCCCCCGCGCGCACACGTCCCATTCCAATCCGGCCTCCCTCCTGTACCTGGAAGCGGCTTACGCCCCGCACTGAGCCCCCGACACTGCCCTCCTGCCCTCCTCCCCTCCTCCTCCTGCCCTCTCCTCGGGGTCCTGCAGGTGCGGGTCGGATGCGTGTGAGGAGTGCGCGGGCTGGGTAGCAGCGGCTTAACCGCACATGGTAAGCGCACTCAGGGGCTGCCGCTAAGTGGGAGGAGGTGTAGAGGAGAGGGGGAGGTGGGGGGGAGGGGGGAGGGGGCTGCGTTGGCGGTAGAGGAGGAGTCGGTAGGGGGGAACAGTCATGCAACGGTAGCCGCATGCGCCAGCAGCACGCGGCTCCCGTATAGCGACGGACTAGCGTTCCGAGCCCCCATGCGGCACGGGGAGTATGTTCACTCCTGCCGGGCATGCCGATGGTCGTCCTCATCTCCCCCTCCTTCGCGTCTATCTCTCCTTCCACCCCACTCGCTTCTCTTTCGTGTCCCTTGCAGACTGTTCCCAGGATCGCGGGCTGCAGCCCAAGGTTGCGGCAGGGAAGGAGCCTTGCGCGGCAGGCGGGATCTTGGGCGGGATGTAGCAGCGGCTGTATGCGGGAGGTAAGCAGCAATGGAGTACAGAAACGCGGTGTTGCGGGGCTTGCAGCTGCGCTTAGGGTGCTTGTGTTCACGAGGGGACACACCGCAGGGGTGGGGACGCCCGGGGTGCAGGATGCGGCCCCAAGAAAACGCCAGCGCCACCTTGTCGTGGGCTACGTGTGCGTTTGGAGGTTTTATTGGCTTGCATGCGCACGCTGCCACTGCCGGTACCGGTGACGCCTGGTTCCCCCTCCCGTCTGCCGCCTGCTCCCTCCGCCCTGCCCCCCTCCTCCCGGTCCTCCTCTCGCAATCGGCAACCGGTGCTCAACTCGGACCGCTCCTTCCCCATGTCCCGCCATACGGAGCCATGCGCTGTGACACGGGGAGATGTCGCCGGGTGAGGGGGTGGTGTGGGGGGGGGGGCAGTAACTGGGTTGGTGCGGCGGCTGCAGCTCCAACAACAGCCGCTGCCATTGCGACTGCAGGCCGCAGGGTGGGTTTACCTCCCCGCTGCGGCCTCACAAGCGGGGCTGCTGTACACTCATGGGTTGTCGTACACTGTTTTGTGGCATTGAGGGCGCGGGTGTCCGCACCCTTTGCTCCATTGGGGCGGGGTTGTGAGCTTGTTGACTCCTTCCAACGGTGTCTTGCTGAGGGAGGGGTCTGCGACTGGTTGGGTGGCTGCCAGAACGGCTGCCTCGTTCGCTGCCCTCGTTCGCATTGCCACGCGCCAAGCGCCCGGTGCCCTCTCCTGCAGCAGGCGGTTGCAGCAGGCGGAGGGGTGGGCAGCTGCCCACCCTGCAGGGGCGGGCGGGCGGGTGGCGGGGGCGGGTGGCACCACACCCGAGCTACTCGCAGCACCACCACCAGTCCCGAGTGTACGGCAGCGCTGCTGGGGCGACCTAGCAGCCCCGGGAAGCAGGGGTAAGAGTGGAGGAAGGGGCCGCTCACAGCTGGGTGCGCCTTGCAGGCTGTCTGGCTGGGTGCGGTGCGGTGCGGTATTATCCTGACCGCCGCCGCTTCAATCGCTTCTGCATTGGGGACGTATCAGCAGCAACAATAGCAAGGCAGGAAGTACTAGAGTTGGATGTGCGGCTGCCCCCTACCGGGCAGTTCAGCCATGTGAGCACGGAGGAGCGGGCTTTGGCTTTGCAAACCAACATCATCGCCAAATCCCGCTATGCCTGCGCCTCCTCCTCCTTCAGGAGGTGGCGGCTACTGCCGGCAACCGGGCTAGCTGACGTGGTCATCCTCCGGCTACTCCTCGCGACTAGGAACGGAAAAGAACCGCATCGAGCAGCACCCTCCCGCCGCTAACGTATGTGACGTACACGGGACAAGCACGGGACAGGGGGAGGCGGTAGGGCAGGGGGCAGGAGAGGCGTGATAAGATAAGGAGAGCATGCAGCAACTGACCAACACAAGCAAGCTGGAGGGGTGCTGTGTTGACACGCAAAATAGAGCTGCGGCCTGTGGCCTGTGTGCTGTTGCCCGCACCTCCACACCTTGTATGTGCACGCCATGCCTTCGTCGTATAAGCCCCTATCCTGCCCATTCCATTCCGTGCCCCGAACCCCTACCAAATCTTTCCGCCGTTTCTAACACTCCCGCACAGGTCGTACAGGCGCTTGGTGGGGCTTGACACGGGCGCGCTGCTGCCCCGCCGGCCCGTACGGTTGGGTGGCTGGGTACAGCCCGGTGCGGCCTGCAGCAGGTGCTGGTGCCCCCAAGCAGGGTGCCGCATTGTGATCCCGGGTACTCGTCATATCCGTTGGTTGCTGGACATCCGCGTGACACAGGCTCGCGAGCTCGCGGCACTATGAAGCCGTTGTTTGTGGTGGGTCATGAGGCCCTTGCTTACCGCAGCAGGTTGTATGATTACTATGTGATCGGGTGATGATTAGGGCTACCTCATAGTGAACCAGCTACCGGTAATAGTGTAGGTTGTGCGTTCTGTTTATACTAGCATGTGTCGACAATGAGTATCGAAGTTGCCTGTAAGAAGATCGGAAGCACCTCCTGCATTGCTGAGGATTCCTGCCGTGTATAAGCCACCCCAAGCACCTCATGCGGAAGTTCCAATCCACCGAATTACCTGCATGCACACCCTATCTCCAGCTAAGCGCGCAAACCTGACGCATCAAACACTGCATTGCACAGCAGAGGATTGCCGTACAGTTCACCATGCTAGACCGTACCACAGCAACAAGAGAGCGGCTAAAACTCCTGCATGCCTATACCAGTGTCAACCCGATATGCGCACAGCTCGAGCTGGCATCTTCACTGCTTTCCGAACAAGTCTGCGAGCTCCGCCCTACACATGCACATGCACGTGCCCATTCCTCCCCGCGGCCAGTTCCCTGAGCATATGCGCAGCCTTGTTAGTCATGCACATGTCCTGCGAGCCCCCAAGAACCCTGCGACCTCTCGGCTCATGCTCGGAGGAGAAGATCAGCCAAGGCTTGCTTACTGCAGCGCTTCATGCTACTACACCTGGCAGAGCCCTGTGTGAAGGCAACTAACTGCACCTAAGCCACCCACAGCTCACATGCACCTCAGCCGCACGCACACGACATACACGTTAGTCGGCACCTTCCCTCCCGACTCCTTCCCCTTACACCAGCTAGCGCCCCCGGTTTATCATGACGCACACCGCACCGCACCCGCGAAGAGGCACTGCACCGCACCACTAGGCGCCGCAGTCCACTCGCTCCGCAACCCACAGCGCCTGCACGGCGTTCCGCTTGCCATAGTCCACCACCACCAGCACCTGCTGACAGCAGCGGGAAGGGGGGGCGGGGAAGGGAGGGTTGTTGCGCGGGACGGAGGGATGGGGTGCAGGGGCGGGGTGCCTCCGCTGTGCTGTCGCGAGGAGGGCCAGCGGTAGTGCATGCGGTGCTGTGTCGGCGTAAGGACTAACACAAATCGTTCTTATGGGGGTCATCGCCTGGGAAGCCCCTGTCCCCAGCCAAGGCGCGGAACCAGCATGGCTCTCAACCCACACTAACCAGGCATCCCGGCATCCAACTCCTGCCCCTACGGGAGGCAGGATGGGAGGCAGTAAGGAACAAGGGAGGAAGGCGGCTGGGGCCATGAAAGGGGTGGGGGTTTGTAGGGGTGCATGGAGAGGGTGGGGTGCGTGGAGGCAGAAGGGCAATGGGACAACCCATGCACGCGAACTCGGAATGGCATTCACCTTTCGCCTTTCACCATGCATGCGTTAAAACCGCCCTCCCCAACGCAGTCTCCCTAACCTAAAAAACAGGAGCCAGCTGTCCCTCCCGTACTCCGCCCACCTGCAGCAGGTCTCGCTGCAGCACCCGCGGCGCCTCCCGCCGTACCGGCAGCCCCCTCTCGTGTTCGGCTTCATGCAGCATCCACTCAGTGTACGTCGCAGCACCCGTCACCTGCAGAGCATGAAGGGAGGGGTGGGGGAGGGGCGGGGGCGGGGTGGGATGGGTAGTGGGAGGCCAGAAGCCAAGTCGGCGACTAGGTCGGGAGCCGAAGTCATGTCTGGTCGGATCTGGAGTAGAGCTGACACCCCTTACCAGCCAACCCAGCCTAGCCATCCCAGCCCCTGCACCTTGAAGGCGTCCAGCTCTAACCCAACCGCCCGCTCCACAATGTTGAGCATCGTCCACAGCAGCAGCAGGCTGCAAGGGGCGAGGACAGATCGAAAGCGGGCAGGCGGGTAGGGTCGGCGAGGAGGGCTAACGAGGGTGCACAACTGCCAAGAACCACTGCGAGCAGCAAAGCACGGGATGCTGGCATGCTGAATCCCTACTCTCCCTCTGAAAGCCTCGGGGGTTTGGGAATGGCAGCGCTAATAGCAAGAATGCGTCGCTTCCGCAACAGCACCACCCGGCGCGCTCCCTTCTCCACCGCTGCGCCATTACAGCACGACTCTTGCGTGGCGGCCGCAACCATACCCTGTCTGTCCCCTCCGTTGCCCCCCTCGACTCGGGACGAGCGAGGTCGGAATGAATCATCCTTCCTTCAGCTGCAGCCGCGTACTCGCATGGCCGCGCTGCGGAGCCGTGGCTGCGCAGTTCAACGAAGGGGGAAAATCCTCTGGAAGTCTTGCTCAATATCTCTCCACCTCCAGTATCAGCTAGTGTAGGTTCACATGTTCTTCGTTTAGAAGGCGCCGCAAATCGCTAGGCAACGCTCGGCAGGCATGCGGCTTGGATTGGCCGTCGCCCGAGCGTTGCCTAGCGATTTGCGGCGCCTCCTAAACGAAGAACATGTGAACCTACACTAGCTGATACTGGAGGTGGAGAGATATTGAGCAAGACTTCCAGAGGATTTTCCCCCTTCGTTGAACTGCGCAGCCACGGCTCCGCAGCGCGGCCATGCGAGTACGCGGCTGCAGCTGAAGGAAGGATGATTCATTTTTTTTAGTGCAGCTGTAAGTATTGCTATGCCCTTTTGCTGATTGGATTGCATTGTGGCGACCGTACGCAACACCCCAGGTCCCCAGCGGTCTGGTGGACGATCTACGCATACTAATCTCTATATAGTAAAGTCATGGGCAGTCCGTTTCCCATAGGCAACTGCTTTGTTTGTCGAGATTTCTGCCTTGTATAAATGCTCTGGAAAAGGCAACACAGTGAATTCAGGTCGCATTCTTGCCGCTTGGCGTAATTGACATTAGCAATTCTAATAGAGGAACGTCCGTAGCGTGGATGTGTGCGCAAGGCGCGGATGTGGCGGACACCGGTAGGTGCCATCACGCGCACCGAGCTACTTTATTAGCATCTGTCTTCGCCAGCTTAAGCTCTATTTGGCCCAATGAGTGGATGCCAGAGGGTCGCTGCTGACTGGGCTGGGCTGAGCTCGGGGCGAGGCGAATGACGTACCTGGTGGGCCGGAGCGAGGTCGGGAGTCCACAGGGGACAGGGAGGGAGGGCAGGCAACATTGGGGCCTCTGTAGTGTCTCACGACTGGCGCGTCACTGTTGGCCTTGTTTTGCGATACAACAGGGGTGGTGGTGGAGCTGCCCTCTCTTAACCCCTTCTTGCCTACCATCACCCGCCCCTCTGTCAGCTCACTCCCCGCACGGCCACACCCGGCCCACCCAACCGCTCCTCCCCCCCCGACCCCACTACCTTCCTACCCCTACCCCTCCACTCCACTCACGCCTTCTCACTCTCATCCCATATCCATAGTGAAGCCTTGTCATACAGCTCGCCGGCTTCATTTTTTACCCCCCCCCCCTTCTCCCCCACCAGGCCCTGTTCCGCCCCATGGCCATGGTGGTCCCCGACTGCGCGCTGGTGGCTGAGGTGGCGCTGCTCAGCCGCGAGGTGGTGCTGCCGTACGAGCTGGCAAGCGAGCAGCCCAGCCAGCGGGGCCACTACGACGCTGGTGAGGGAGGCAGGCGGGGGCGGGGGGTGATCTATATACTGACCCTCATACTGACCCGCCCCCCCCACCCGCCGTGCGCTCAAGTCGGTGCTTGTCCCCGCCGTCAGCCTCCAGCGCTCCGCACCGCTGAGGAGGCGGTGCCCCGGTGCGCGAGTCCAGCATCGCCAAGCTGCTGCCACAGACGCGCGGGTGTTTGTGCCATCGTGACGGACCCCTTCCCGGGGGGGGAGCTGCCGAATGAGGTGGGGGGAGGGGGCGGGGAGGGACTGGGGTTAGGGCTAGGACGAGTGGGGAGTGAAGGGAGGGCAGCATAGGTGCTGTTATGTTCAGTAGACGCATGTCCCATCGTCTCTTCCGCCGCCCCTGACCCGCCCCCCCCCCCTCTCCCGCCCCGCAGCACGACGAGGGGCTCCTGGGGGCGCTGGTGGCCGCATGCGGTGCGCTGGGGCTGCAGGTAGGGGGAGCGGGGGGGGGGCTCACATGCCCACATGCCTGTCTTGCGCAGCCTGATACCTTGTGCATGTATCGCTCATGCCGCAATCCGAGCCGCGCACATGGAGAGTCCACCGCCATACCTTTATATACAGCCTCCCTTCCTCCAACCGCACCCACCACCTTCCCCACACCTCTCCCCTTCCCCACCTCCCTCTCCCCCCTCCCTCTTCCCCTCCCCCCAAATCCTGGTATCTTAATCCCTATTAACCCCCAGTCCTGGACGGCTGCTGCATGGTGCGCCTGCCCAACGGCGAGCGCATCAAGCTCAACCCCGCCACCGTGCGGGTGCTGCTCGAGGTGGCCGACCTGGCAGCTGCCCTCCCCCCTCCCCGCAAGAGGCGGCATGGTGTACATCACACCGGATGAGGTGGGCTGGAGGCCGTACCTGAAGTGAATGCAGGGAGGGGGGCTGCGTTGTACGACACGTGCCCCTTTCCTCCTGCTGCCCCTCGCCTTGCTGCTGCTGCCCCAACTTGGAGGGGTACCGCTGTTCCGCGAATCGGGTGGTCCTAGGTGGGGGTCTGGAATCCAATCTTCTTCCTTTCTTGGCTGTACTTTGTCCGGCATGTTTGCACAGGGCCGCAGTCAGCACAGGGGGACCGGCGGCGGCGGCGGCGGCGGCAGCAGCGGGCCGCCTCTGGTGACAGCACGCGTCAGGGCAGCAGCGGTGCATCTACATACTTGCGTACTCGCTGGTGCGGGGCTGGGTTTGTGTTGCCGTCTCAGCAGGGTGAGCGGGATGGCAGGGCATCTGCTGGGGTCAGGCGCGCTTACCTGCCACTACTTGCTTACCTTGCCGCCCTGTGTCAGCAGCCAGCTCCTCCTTTACCTCCTTCCCTCCCCGCCCCCGCACCCCCAGGAACGTCCGCCTGACCCCCTGGGAGGCCGCCTTGCCGCTGTGTCCCTCCCACCCGCACCTGCCGTACTGGGCACCTCCTGGCCCCCACCGTGCACCCCGCCCGCTAGCAACACCACCCGCTACGTGCGGAGCTGCTGCGGGCGCTGCTGGCGGCGAACCGCTCCGTGCGGGTATGGGGCCAGGCGGCATGGGGGGCGCAGTGAGCTGCTGGGGCACTTCCGGGGCTTCAGGTGGGTGAGGGTGGGGGTGATGGCTGCACGGCCCGCTGGCATGGCTCTCCTCCCGCATGCGCATGCTGCCTACCCCCACCGCGTGCCCCGCACACGCCGGGCAGGGGCCTGTACGACCGCAAGAAGTTGGTTGCGAGGGAGGTGGATGGCACGGTGCTGCTGGCGGCAGGCGGGCCGGGGGGGAGAAGGGAGGCAGGTGGGGCGGACAAATGAGGGGAGAGGAGGGAGAAGACCAAGCGCAGACTGCGGTAGTGGTGGTGGTGGTGGTGGTGGTGGTGGAGGATGTCCACGTACCGGGTAACGCAGGTGCCGGGCAGGTGTTTGCGGGTCTGGGGTTTGGGCTCGGGGGACGCTGCCGGGTATCCATCCTTTGTGCTCCTGTCGCATGCCTTTTTCCGTTCCATGCGTTTTTCCAAACATCCAAACATCTTCCGCACGCGAGAGTCCCGTCTTCCCCCCCACCCCCCCTTGCTGTAGGCTTGTGTGCGGGCCGAACGTGGCTGCTTCAAGGGGCTGCCGTACGAGCTGCTGCTGCTGCTGGTGCGGCTCGATGGGGAGGGGCGAGTGCGAGAGGAGAGGGGGGAGCGGAGATGAAACGGAAAGACTAGCACGAGGGGGGAAGGAAGAAATGGTTATAGTGCTGGCGTAAATCCTCCTCCTGCCCTCTCCTCGGGGTCCTGCAGGTGCGGGTCGGATGCGTGTGAGGAGTGCGCGGGCTGGGTAGCAGCGGCTTAACCGCACATGGTAAGCGCACTCAGGGGCTGCCGCAAAGTGGGAGGAGGTGTAGAGGAGAGGGGGAGGTGGGGGGGGAGGGGGGAGGGGGCTGCGTTGGCGGTAGAGGAGGAGTCGGTAGGGAGGAGCGGTCATGCAACGGTAGCCGCATGCGCCAGCAGCACGCGGCTCCCGTATAGCGGCAGACTAGCGTTTCAAGCCCCCATGCGACACGGGGAGTATGTTCACTCCTGCCGGGCATGCAGATGGTCGTCCGCATCTCCCCCTCCCTGGCGTCTATCTCTCCTTCCACCCCACTCGCTTCTCTTACGTGTCCCTTGCAGGCTGTTCCCGGGATCGCGGGCTGCAGCCCAAGGTTGCGGCAGGGAAGCAGCCTTGCGCGGCAGGCGGGATCTTGGGCGGGATGCAGCAGCGGCTGTATGCGGGAGGTAAGCAGCAATGGAGTACGGAAACGCGGTGTTGCATGTTTGCGCCACCACCGTACGACCTAGCAATGTTACAGTTACAGTCTGTACGCGTGTACAGTGCATGTCCGTACGAGCCAGGGGGGCCAAGGACACGCTGAGAAAGTTAGTCTGAGTCAGGGTCCCCTACATGCCTCCGTTTAGGGGCTCTGCGCAGGTGGTTTCTGACAGACATGCGGGTCTCGCATACGCGGCTCAGGTAGCTAGCCAGAGCCTCGGGAGGGGCAGAGGTCATGATCTCCCTCTTGGACCTACTGCTATAGCTCAGGGAACCCTCGTACTTCCGACGTAGCTCGTCGTAGCACGGGCATTCCATGAAAACCTGCATCTCATCCTCAACTGCGTTATCCTCGTTGCAACACTTGCAAACTCTCTCAGACCTAGGGCGGTTCCCATGCGAGTTCACCTATATCCCAACACCCTAGCCTAAAACGCATGAGCAGCCGATGCTTGCCGCGGGGGATAAGCGCACTGGCGTGGGGCAATGAAGGCCCCCCCCAAGTAAGCCCGTTCTCGCAGTATACCCGCCCGCTCCCCTCCTCCCCTCTCCAGGCTGCCGGCACCGCCGTTTGGAACCGAAGACCGACTTTCAGTTGCTGCGGGGCGGCAGCACGGGGGCTGCGGGTGCGGGCCCGCAGCAGTGCAGCCGGGTGGTGGCGCATCAGCCCACCGCTTCCCCCTCCCCTCCTAGCTGCTAGGGAGGGTGTTGCGGCTGGAGACAGGGCCCGGCATGCGAGGCAGGGTGCCGCTGCTGCCTCCGCCCCTCGGCCCCCCAGCAGCGGAGGCGGAGGCGGCGCAACCCCTCCCTGGCGGTAGGCATGCGGTTGGGGCGGCGGCGGGTGTGGGCACGGCGGGGACGGCTGTGGGTGGGAGTACGGGACGGACTGCGGGCGGGGGGGTGCGGCTGGCCTTCCCGGATGGCAGCAAGGCGACACTGCAGGGCTGACAGGCGCGGCTGGAATGGAGGTACGAGTAGGGGTGCATGGTGCGCACGGTGGGGGGTAGGAGGGCGAGGGGGGGAGGTAATATTATGGGGTGTAACCCTCATTGCGGTGGGCAGGCGGGTGAATGGGGGGGCGGGGGTGAGGAGGACGTGCGCGGATCATTAGGAGGGGGGCAGCTCGGTGGTTGGAGGAGGGGGCGGTTCCGGAGTGGGGACGGCCGCTAGGTGAGTGGGAGTGGGGACGGCCGCTAAATGAGTGGGAGTGGGGACGGCCGCTAGGTGAGTGGGAGTGGGGACGGCCGCTAGGTGAGTAGGAGTGGGGACGGCCGCTAGGTGAGTGGGAGTGGGGACGGCCGCTAGGTGAGTGGGAGTGGGGACGGCCGCTAGGTGAGTGGGAGTGGGGACGGCCGCTAGGTGAGTGGGAGTGGGGACGGCCGCTAGGTGAGTGGGAGTGGGGACGGCCGCTAGGTGAGTGGGAGTGGGGACGGCCTCTAGGTGGCGGTGCCTTAACAGATCCCGCGTGCCCCGCAGAAGGCCAACCAAACCCACCGAAGCAACCCCTTCCCCTCCCACCCGCCTCGCATGTCCTTCTTTACGGACTACCCAGGTGCCCATCCAGGAGGCCCTGCGCGGATGTTGCGGACGCGGCAGGGGCAGCAGGCGGGAACAGTAGTTTGGGGTGGCAGGCTCCCTCCTCCCTCCCCTCCCAGCTGACAGCGGGCGACCTGGAGCGTGAGTTCGGGTACGTGTGGCGGCTGCGGAGGCCGCTGCCCCGGCTGAGGGAGCGGGGGGGGGGCTGGGCCGGCGGGGTGAGGCGGCAGGGGGCGTCCGCAAGAACAAGGGGAGAAGGGAGGAAAAGAAGAGGGATGCGAAGAAGAGGGGAGATGGGAGGGAGCGCTGAGGGGTGGGTGGGGAGTAGTAGGGATAGGTATTCCGCAGTAAGTTTGAGAGTTGGGATTGCGCATTGGTGCAGGTGTTACATGGTGTAGTAGCAGCAATCAGTGGCAAACCGTATTCAAGCTCCCTTGCCGGCGGGTGTGGTGATCTAAGACCATTGGACGTTACAATGACGAATGGGTGTGGGCGGAGAACCGGACATATGTCCCCTTTTTGTTGTTGTAGTAGTTGTTGTTGGTGGTGGTGGTGATGGGGAGCAGCAGGGTGCTTGCTCCGCTTTCAGAACCGCTGGTCGGAGGATGAAAAGGGGTATGCTGCCTGTTCCTCGGTCTCGGGTCCCGTCATCCCCGCATTACATCCGGCTGGGCGGGGTCGCGGGGACATGCTGTGTTCACGTGATTGGGAAGGGAGCTGGTAGCGAGGCGGGTGGGTGGACGTGGTTGCCGCGTTGCTGCTTCTCCTCCGTCCCGGGTTGGGCGGCGCTCTGGGCTGTGTTGCATGACGGGTTGGAGTGGCATGATGAAGAGCGAGGGGGCGAGTAGGGCACGTTCTCGCGGGTAGGCGCACGTGAGTGGGGGGAGCGGTACAGGCGGGAAGTGAGCCGCAGTGGCTTCTGGCGCCGGCACGTGTGGGGTGAAAATAAGGAAAACTCACAAACTGGTTGACGCGCGTGTGGGGTGGGATGGGGGTGGTGCGCTGTGCAACAGAGGAATCGAGTGCAGGTAGTTGGCATGCAGAGAGGCAACACGGCATTCCTGTGGCCACACCCTGATATCTATCGTAGGGTGGCGGTTGTGCGGTTGGTGGTTGCAGGTTGGCCATGTGGGGGTGTTGCCTCAAGGTGTGTGCGGGGGTACCTTGTGGCATGGTGCCTGCCCGCTGTGATTGCGGTGCTGCCGTACCGGGGAATGATGCAGTTGCAAATGAAGTTCGGGCAGTTGTACAGCGTCCTGTTGCCCGTGCTGGGGTTGAGCAGCTTGAGGTCAAGTTGGGTGCTGTGGTTCCTCGGGCTGCTTTGTGGTTGGCTTTGCCTCCCTCGGGCGTGCAGCAGTGTGTTTGGGATGTTGTTGTCCTGGGTGAAATTTGCGGGTGTTGTGCCTGGGCTTGCTGAGCAGACTGCACTTTTTGCGTTTTCCTGGTTTTGGGGTCAGCTCCAGGGGTTTGCTTGTTTGGGTGTTTCCCGTCGGGGGTGGACTGAGGTGGGCCCTTCTCATCCTTTCTTGCGTGTTGGTGGGCGGCTTTCTGTACTTGGTTGAGTGTTCTGTGTTTCTGGCCCCGTGTGAGTCCGCGTGGTAGGGTGCCCTGCTGGGCTCCTCTGGCGTTTGCATGCGTTGATACCGGGGGGTAGGTGTTTGCCCTTGTTTTGCTTGTAGAGGTTTTTTTTGCTGGGGGGCCGTTTCTTGGCTTCTACCCTCGTTCTTTACCTCTCTTGTGGTTACTGTTGGGTTCTCATGCCTGTTTCCTGCTGGCCCGTTGCGGTGTTGTCTTTCCGGCGTGTTGTGCTTCTCTAGCAGTGTAGGGTTGGGTTCATCACCCGTGTTCCCTTTTAGGGAACCATTGTAACGGTCATTCATTCACATACTGGTCTAGGGCCACGCTCATACCGAGCTCCACCATACGCAACGTAAGTGGGGCTTAACAGGTCAAACACCTCATGTACCCATCTGGACACGCCTACAGCCCCCCTGCACGCCAACTGCACGCCGGATTTGGGGCATTTTCCTGTTGTACGGCATACACAACACAGGCTTCCCCTTTTCCAGAATAGGGCTACTGTACGTATTTAGCACACGCTGCCCTAAATCTTTATCCTTATATTATACGCATAACTATGCGTACACGTAAAGTACGCATATAGGCATGGATATACGACATGCCTATCCACGCGGCAGAGAACATGCAGCTCTGCCTGGCTCAGCTGCCGTTGCGTAGCAGTTGCGGAGAATTATGTTGTTTGTCACTGCGTTTGTCTGGGCGGCGGAATTTGTTGAGATCGAGTCTGCGCAAGGTGTGCATGAGCAATGTGGCCGAGGATTTTTGTAGCCAGCGTCCCCAAGGACATGGGTTGCGTGGGGTTGGAAGGTACATGGACGTCCCATATGGAATGAGGTAGAGGCAAGGCGGCCCCTCCTAGGCTGTCTGGGGACTTCACCCTCGTGTGAGCAGTAGCTCGGTCATTGGCAGGGTTCTGGCAGCAGAGCGACATGGTGCCGTACTTTATGGAAACCATGGGACGCAGTTGCCTACAGTGAGTCGATGAACAGTTATATAGTTTGGTGGAACGGAAGGTTGCTTTGAATGTCCCATTGTTGCCCTGGCTAATGGCAAATCGCTCAATTACCTGACCTTTGTGCGGCCACACTTTGCTGGGGCGAAATTGTATCCAGCTCTATAACCTTATGAAATACAACCCCTAATTTATCTTAGGGTCCTGCTTAGCTGTGGAAGTCATACAGTCACCATTGGGGTAACGCGCAGGAGGGTGCTCATTGAAGCTACCTAGCTAATTACACGCGTGTTACATCTTTTCTGTCAATTATCAGCTGCAGTATGTACCACGCGGATGCAAGCCAGCAAGGAGGTTGCGCAACCAGTTTAGGCCAGCCCGTTTTGCTCTTCCTGCGCAAAGGCTTGCCTCGCCGCTTCTTATGTTGTCGAACTTGGCACATACTAAGCAACCCCGTGTTTGACCCTTTCGATTCCGGAGGGCGCTTGGCAGACCACAATGCTGTCGAGGCTTACTCACGGCGCTTCGACGCAAGCGGTGCGTACTGAATGGTCTGAACACCTGCTGACCGATCCTATAAGCGTGCTTACGCTTTGAATCCTGGATGCGTGGACCAGGTCTCTCCCACATCCGAACCGTTTCGCGGTACAAGGCTGAAATTGACGCCTGGCTGGCGGTAAACGCCACCGTGGTCCCGGCCAAGACATCCCCTGTCGAGAAGTCTACGGAGCCTGAATGGTGGTCTTGTTGGAAGGCCCTAGAGATGCCGCCCGTGGCTTCCAGGCCACCCTGCTGGGTTCCGCAGCCTGGTCAGGAGGCCCCAGAGCTGTCCCAGCGGTACATAACCGCGGCTGCCGTACCTGCGGAGCACTTTTGCCCCCTGGCCCGTTGCGTAATGCGCGAGCCGGTGCGGGACTGGCGGGACCCCGAGCACGTGTACGAGCGGTCCGCCATCACCGCCTTTGTACGGCAGCACGCATGTAACCCGGTCACCGGTGAGGGGGGCAAGAGGGGGAAGGGTGAGAGGAACAGGGCAGGGGGAAGGGTGCCGGGGATTAGGTGCGGATCCGGTCCATGCATGCAACCATGCACGCCACACGTGCAAGCCACTTTCGCTTCTCTCTTTCCTCGCCCTCCCTTCATACCCCCTACCTCAGGCCAGCCCATGTGCCTGGACCACCTACGCCGAGACGCCTTTGAGGAGGATGCCATACGCGACTGGGTTGCAGAAAACACAAAAACAACCTCCTTCTCGGGCGGGGTCAGAGGGGACAGCGGCAGCGGAGACGGGCAGGCAGCAGCGGGGCAGGGGCGGGCGGGTCAGCAGCCAGCAGCGGCCGTGCTAGCCACGGCAGCAGCGGCAGCAGCCGGTGGCGGTGCGGGCCCCTCCGTGCCAGTGACTGTAGCGGCCCTGACTGGGGCGGCGGGCGGGGGCGGGGGTGGCAACACGGTGAGGCTTGTGTTGAGTGAGTTGGACCGACACTGGCACCCATTCGGGCTGTTCCGATTTCACTTAGTATTCTCCCTGCACTTTGTACCTACCTCCTTGCATTACATTCCGGCCAATCCCGGTTACCCTCGATGCGCCCTCAGGCCCTCCCACGTGCGGGCAGGAGTGGGGCCGCTGCTGCTGGAGCTACTGCTGTTGCGGGTGACGCGTCCATTCCCTTGAGCCCCTCCCGCAAGTGCGAGGTGGGTGGCCCCGCATGGCAGGAGTGGCAGGCGGGCTGGCGCTGGGCCGGGTCGTGATGGTGGTACAACACCCAGGCTGGCAAGGGTTTGGTGCATTCCGGAGGAAGGCCCCTCCCTGGCCCCGTGCACCGCTGCCTGCGGTTCCAGCTACCGGTAACCCTGCCTGTTCACCTCCGCCCTCCCCCTCCTTCCCTCTCCTCCCCCTCCCAGGACCCGCTGCACCCCCCGCTGGTGGGCCCCTCCTACTCGCTGAGCCTGTCCAAGCGCCGCGCCAGGAAGTGGTTCGGGGAGAGCTGCAAGGGTCGCACGCTGCGAGTGCGGGTGGTGTTGGACGAGCAGCTGCATCCCGGCGAGCACTCCGTGCAGCTGTGCTTCATGCGGCCCGAGAAGCGCTTCCACCTGGCGCAGCTGAGCCGGGTGGCGGAGGGCTGCCACCACCTGGGTTGGAGCTGCGTGCCGGATGAGGTGCTGGTGCTGTACCTGAGGTCACCCGGGGAGCAGCTACGCAGGGTGGTGGAGGGGGCGGCAGTGCGAGAGGGGAGGGGAAAACAGGTAGGGGGACGACGGGGGCATTGGTTGTGTTGGAGTTGGAACAACAAGCGACAGACGTGAATGGCCGCGCCATCCTACCTTGCAGGGGTGCATGGGGTCCAGCGGGATGTCCGAGGAGCCAGCAGGCGCACCCGCACCCGCAGCATCCGCAGCGCCCTGGTCCCTGACACCGCTGCCCCCCAGCCCGCCACTGCCGCCTGCACCTCCATGGTCAGTGATGCCAGCTGCAGCAGGCTGGGTCGGAGCCGCCGCGGCTGCTTGCGGCTGCTGCCCTCCCGCACCCCGCGAGCTGGGCCCTGCAGCTGCAGCGGCCAACCCAGCGGCTCCCAGAGCAACAGCAGCCGCAGCCGCTGCCACTCCGCTGCCTGCTGCTCCAGCCCCAGCATTCTGCTGTGGGTAGGAACACATGTGGGAAAGCTCAGGCTGGGGAAGCCTGCCACTGTTCACCGGCAACCATGTGGGATTAGCACTTGGGTGGTAGGTGTGCTGAACAACCCTTGTTGTTCCAACTCCAAGTGCTAATCCCACATGGTTGCCGGTGAACAGTGGCAGGCTTCCCCAGCCTGAGCTTTCCCACATGTGTTCCTACCCACAGCAGAATGCTGGGGCTGGAGCAGCAGGCAGCGGAGTGGCAGCGGCTGCAGCTGCTGTTGCTCTGGGAGCCGCTGGGTTGGCCGCTGCAGCTGCAGGGCCCAGCTCGCGGGGTGCGGGAGGGCAGCAGCCGCAAGCAGCCGCGGCGGCTCCGACCCAGCCTGCTGCAGCTGGCATCACTGACCATGGAGGTGCAGGCGGCAGTGGCGGGCTGGGGGGCAGCGGTGTCAGGGACCAGGGCGCTGCGGATGCTGCGGGTGCGGGTGCGCCTGCTGGCTCCTCGGACATCCCGCTGGACCCCATGCACCCCTGCAAGGTAGGATGGCGCGGCCATTCACGTCTGTCGCTTGTTCACGAAAACGACATTGCCTTGACTAGGTTGTTATGGTTGGCGTCAACACTCCTGCCCTGTCCCTGCTTCATGAGAGGGCCTGGTATGTATTCCAGCTGGTCCTTACATGCGCCGCTTCACACTCCAACACAGGATCCCCTGCGGCCGCCGCTTGTGAAGGACGCGAGCTGGTTGTACTTGTCAACGAAACTAGTTGAGGGGTGGTTCGGCTCGGATGCCTCCACCAAGGAGATTCGGACGAAGGTGTGACTATGTGGTGAATACCCGTATGTCCGAGGCTGCTTCCCTCTTTGCAATTTTGTGTCGGGACAAGCCCGTGAGTCGCGGCTTGCCGTCTCCAAGCCAGCCAGTGTCCTCCTAGACATGGACGCTTGAGCCATAGCAAGACCGTGTGACAGGGGCCTTGCCTCCTCACAAGCGCTCTTCTCGCCACCTCACCCCGCCGCCTCACACCGCAGGTGGTGCTAGACGGCCAGGTGCAGCCTGGGGAGCGCAAGACCAGGCTCAAGCGCCATAAGTCGCAACCTACATACTCCGTGCGAGGTTTGAGCCATGTCCGGGGCAACTACCTCCTGGGCTGGAGCCGCACGCGGAGCGGTGTACTGGTGCTGTACCTGCGCTCGCCTGTGGTGGACGAGGAGGCGGGGGGGGGCCGCGGCTACAAACCAGGCCGCCAACGTGCTCAATGGAGTTAAGGTAGGCCGGGACACGGGAAGGGCAGTGCGCCATGTGCGGCTCTTCGCACTCCCGACCCTGCTGCACTGCACGTCTGTAGCGACCAAGATCCCCACGCATACCTCCCCCCTCCCTGTGAAACCTCCAGTACCGCTCCTTCAATGCCCCTTTTAGCTTACCAACATGTCTGTCCCCCATGGCTGAACACGTATGCAGGGATACCGGGGAAGGCTGCTCACCCACCATTACCTGTACATCAACGCCGACCAAGCCCGCCAGTGGTTCGGTACCGTCACCAGCCAGTCGGACATCCCCGTCACGGTGAGCCTGACACACCCTCACGCAAGTACTGCCCGAGCAGTGACGGTATCGCGGGTGGAAAGGCGGCATGCGCGCACAGCGCTTTGCGGAACACCTGCTAACAAGGGCACATGTGACATGCCTCTCCCCCTTCTCCCGTTGTACCTCAGGTTGAGGTGGACGGGCGGGTTCAGCCCCGGACGTTCAAGGTGAATGCGGCACTGCATCCGCGCGGCTTCTTCGCTGTGTCTGGCGCCGACCTGGTCCGAGCTGCGGCCGGCAAGTGGTTCCTGGGCTGGTTGCGCCCCTCCCCTGGCGGCCCGCTGCACCTGCTGCTGAGGACAGCCACACAGCAGGAGGTGGCGGTGGCACATGGGTTGAAGGAGCGCAAGGTGGGTGTCACGGTTGGCGTACTGGGTGTTGATCCCTTGCTCGCACGGAGCATCCACATGCGCCCCTGGGTTGTTGCAGCACTGCCTGCGTGGACATGAAGGGATTGCCGCCTGACTGTGCACCCACACCAGACTCCAGTGCACTCGTTCTCAACCCGCGTTAAGCCTGTCTGCCCTACACCTCCTGGTACTGCTACTGCGCAGAAGCAGAAACGACGGCGGCCAGGCGGGTTGGAGGGTGCGGCAGAAGGCGGTGCAGACGTTAGCACCCGCGAGCGCAGGGTCAGCGAGAGAGTTGCCCAGGAGGAAGAGCGTGCACCTCTGAGAGTACGGTTGCATATAGCTTTAGTGAACTTGCCTTTCCAGCCGCAACCGCCTGCGTGCCTCTTTCTGGACGCGACATTTGAGAGATTTGAGCATGGCGGCTGTGATGTGGGATTGGGAGAGGAAGCACCGTGTCTGGTCCTGTATGCACGGCCAGGGTGCTTTCCCTTGCTTCGTTCGGCATGCGGGGCTGGCGTGATGGAGTGAGGGGAAAGCAGTCGAATGCAGATTGTCTAAGGTGCTGGGCAGTGGCGGTTGTTTCAGTGCTGATTGGTAGGATAGGTAGGAACTGAAGAACCGAGAAGGATTCTCCAAGGTTGCCCGGCTTACACAGCCCCTGCATGTATACGATCCAGTTGTACGCTAAATTCCACCCCGTTACGTCGTTCTCGCATGCCAACTTGGCTACCTACCGGCAGGCGGCTTCATTGTGCCTATGTCCCTGAGGCTCCGCTGCGAATGCTGTTTCATAGGGTTCATCGTTGTGTGGGCTGGCTGCTTGTGGTTTACAAATCCTGCTCTGCATGCACACGGGGACATCCCCGCTTAGGCACGATAGGTTGGTCGTTTGGAGGGGCGCAGGGCGGGTGGGAGCCGGGGCGTGGGAGGAGGATCTGTATGCTACTGCGTCGAAGGACCTTCCCAGCTGCCTCGAGGTGTTGTGGTACGATGGTTGGGGGAGGTGCCCGTGCTACCAAGGCGCCCAATGCTGTGGGATGGCCAATGGCTATTGCGGTTGCGGTGGGTTACTGGGAGGGTGAGCAGGGAAGGAGCGGTGTTTGCCTGGGCCCGTGTTGCTGTTGGGCCTCAATAATTAAGATGTAAGCTACTGCCGCCAATGCTGCGTTTCATTCGTAGCCCTGCTGCATGACGGCAGCTGTTGTGTCAGACCTGCCAACACCAGCCTGCTGGATGTCCACTCCCCCATTCTGCGAGAGTCATGCCGTTGAGGATGAGATGCATTTTTTCATGGAATGCCCGTGCTATAACGAGCGACGTCGCGAGAACAAGGGTTGCCTGAGCTTGACATGTAGGTGCATGAGGGAGATCATGACCTCTGGCCCCCCTCGGCGCACTGTACACGCGTATTGACTGTAACTGTCTTGAAGGTATACGGCAGTGGATTAGGCTGGGTGGATTCACCCGTCGTCTCCTTCAAGGCTTCCGTTTCCAGTTGTTGCCGCTTCATCAATGAGCATAGGACAGGAGTTGCACAAACTTATCCACAGGATGTGGCTGAGAAGGCTTGGCCGTTTTCCCTGCCAGATGTGCCCCCAGGCGTGCATGATGCACTCCAACTTGCAAGTACTAATACATGCATAGCAACGAGGCCAGTGCATGTATTGTGAAAGCCCCGTTTGATATGCCCGCCAGAATGCTTGTCACCACCCTGCAGATGGCAACTAAAAGGACGCTGACTTCTTGCTTTAGCTGCCGTGATCCCCCGATGCGTACAGCAGATAACGTAAGCCGAAGCCATCACCAACTCTGCACCGCCTCAACGCAGCAACCGAGAACTCCAACCCTAACACCACACGTCCCAACACCCCAACCCATGGTTTAGATTGTGCTGTAATCTTCACACCCACGGTTGCACCTTGACTGCCGACCAACTCCCTTAATTGAGATACCGTCACCATCCATACAAGCATCCTACTTGATAAACAAAACGCAAGTAAGCACCCCCACTCTCTAGGCGCGACCCCGAGCGGGTGGGTGGGACCTAAGCAGCCACGATCCCGGCAGAGGGATGGCCACCTGATACCACCAATCACAACAGCAGTTAAAAGCACAAAGCATGGCTAAGCTGATGAAGTACCATCGCGGTCGTACGGCAGCTAGCACGAAACCTACTCCTTCAGTCATACTGCCCTATGGAAGTGGCATCTTGATGTCAGTATGAAGGTTCTCGGTCCCGCTATCCGTCGCCTTTTATTTATTCCTTCAATGTAAACACATCCTGCATATCCTATCCCTGCTGCATGGCCATGTTCCCTCACTCTCCACCCTACCCAAGCCCTACTCCACCCGCTGCCCCCCTCTTGAGCAGCACTGCCCCCGCATCATCCCCCACCAGTGTGAACAGCTCCGAGTGCAGCTTCAGGTAGGTCCGCATGCCGGCCCGCACCACCGGGGGCCGCACCACGGCGCCCTCCAGCTCCTCCAGCCGCACGGGTCTGCCCCACTGCGCCCGCAGGTAGGCCACCACCGCCCGCAGGTACTCCTCCTTGGTGGCAGGTGTGCTCTCGGGGCCTGTGGGGAACGGGGGTGCGGGGGAGCAGTACCGGTAAGCACTGCTCTTCCCGGGTGTGAGGTCTTCCTTGGCCCCTCACTCCTCTTACCCGCTTGGGTTGACACAACGATTGCCTGCACTGCGTCTGGCTCGTCCAGCTCTTGTTGCTCCGGCGGTGGTGGCGCCGGTGCAGGGCTCTCCTGGAGAGACCGCTTAGGCGCCGGCTGCCGCTGCAGGACCTGCGCCAAGCGCTTGCCACCCACCTGTATGGGGAATTGGGTACTTGAGCTGACATGCATGTCCAGCACTGCACGCAGTTGCCCTGCGTGCTCTCAACAAGCCATCAGACCACACGCACCATTGATTGCAAGGCGGATGTTCTCGGCGTACTTTGCAACAAGGGGTAACAAGAGTGCCTCTTCGCCGGCTTCCTCCCGCCCGCACTTGCCTTGTCGGTTCGAAGATCATTCCCGTCAGCACCAGGAGCGCCCTCCTGCCCACCCAGCCCAAGGAACTCCGCTGGAGTTAGGACTTGCAGTACCCGCGTGGAGCTCGCCTGGTCAGCGGGTGGGACGTGCAGAATCCGCACACGCGTGGGACACCGCCCAACCCCCTCATCGCCGAAGTGGACGCCCCGCGCGCAGTACTCCACCCCGTAGCGGTGGCCGCCCGAGCCCACCTGGCTGCTGCTGCCAAGGCAGGGGGCGCTGACAAGCACCTGCAGGGGGAGCAGATGGGGGGGCACATGGTGCGTGGATGCCTCACACCGTCCAGTTGTAATATATGAATACAGGCAGCAGCAGCGAGGCATACATGGCAACAGCGCCCCATGCCAAGGGGTCCGATTCATGTCTACGAGCAAGAAACAGGCGTCACTGCCATGCCACTGTTACGCTGCACCCTGCTTGCACCACAGACGCACCGGCGCGTCCGGGCCCCTAAGTGTGGCAGCCAGCCGGGGCAACGCTCTCGCCACCAGGTCCGCTGCCTCCGGGTCAAGCGCCCGCAGAGAGCGAACTGCCGCAACACTGCTCGCAGCTGCTCGCACGGCTGTTTCCTGCGCGACCAGGCGTTGCTCCTTGTGCTCCTGCGCTCCTAGAAACTGCGCTTTCTCCTCCTGCACTTCCCCACCGTGCAGCCGGCTGCCCCCTGCCTCGGTGGTCGCACCACCCGCAGCACCCTCAGGCGCGCATGGCGCCTCCTGCCCAGAGAAAGGAGGAGAGGGAGGAGGGATGGCAGTGAGCGTGTGAGCTATTACGTGCAAAGACATACGGTAGTCGATAGCTATGATGCCATCCATCCATGTCATTTAAGCCGGGTGCTCGCCCACCCGAGGGTAAGCAGCTGTAACGCCGCAGTCACTGCTCTTTTATCACGACCCGCACTGCACCACGAGGACCGCAGCTGCACCTCACCGCCCCTGCCGGGGAAGCTGTCCGGCAGGCCCTCAACCAGTTCTTCCCCTCCAACTTAGCACCAATCAAGTTATGGCAAGGCCCAGGTTCGCTCCCGAAGCACCGCCCGCCATGTTAGGACTCCGCCCAGTTATGTATACCTTGCAGACCGCCTGGGCAGGCGCTGCTGCCACTCTAGCTGCAGCCTCCCTACCAGCCGCAGCAGCCACAGAGGCTTCCAAAGGCACCGAGCTATCGGCCGGGCCTAGGCCCCCCAGTGGCGGTGTATGCAGCAGCGGAGCACCGCCCGCCACAGGAGCCCCCACCGCTATTACTGCGGCTCCGGCCACCTGCTGCTGCAGGAGCGGTGCCAGCAAGGGGGTTAAGTAAAGCCAACATGGGTTAGCCAGCATGTCAAAGGTGAACCTGCGAAGGCAGTGCCGTGCTGGTAGGCCCCGTCGCCATAACAATACATCCCTGCCCCTCCCGAGGCTCCGGCTAGCTACCTAAGCCGCGTATGGGAGAGCCACATATCTGTCAGGAATCGCCTGTGCAGAGCCCCTAAACAGCCCCTAAACTGAGGCCTGCAGGGGACCCTGACTCAGACCAAATTTGTTCTCATAGTGTCCTTGGCCCACTTAGCTCGTACGAACACACTTTACACGCGTACAGTCTGTAACTGTAACCGTAACTGTACAATGGGGGGCCGTCACGCGTGCACTGTGCCCAACCTCTGCGACTTGCTAGCCCATCTGCCCAGCATACTCCTCGCATCCCCACCTGCTGCTGTGTTTGCGCATCAGTCTCCGCGCCTTTGCTCTGTTGCTCGGGTGAGCGCGCGCCTTGCATTTCCTGCTGCGTGGCAGTCCTCAGCAGCAGGTGCAGCGGGCCGCCAGGGGAGGGGCGCGACAGGCCCAGGAACCACTTGCCGGCCGCGGCCCTGTGCAGCTCGCTGCCAGCGATGTGGTACGACAGGCTGTCCCGGGTGCGAGTCATGGCCACCCGGTATGGCTGAGGCTGCACCTGGCCGTCGGTGACAAGCTGTTGAGGGGCCGGGCAGTGGAAACGCGGGAAGGACAGGGTTGCAAGTGGCAGCCACACGGGAGTGGCAGGAACAGCTGACAACATTGGGGACAGGCATACCGGTGAAAAGGGGTTACCTTAGACCCTTGGCACTGGCAGCGGCTGTGTACCTGGAATCCTTGGGATGCGCACGGTGCTTACCGTACATGTCTGGCGCCCTGCCGGGTCCCACATGCAGCTCCTACCTGGACCTGCACATCCTGCAAGCTGGCGGCACTGCCCAGCCACTGCTGGACCTGATCCACAGCCACTCCCAGCCAGCACCCCGCCTGGAGCAGCCTCTCTGGGTAGCCCTGCTTGGCAGGAATGGAAAGGGAAGGGGAAAGGGCGGTGTAGGAAAAGTCCAGGACACGCAGTACCCAGTAACGAACGGCATGAGACGAGTGGCATACGCCCTGCCGCGGGGCAACACGAGCATGGGTTGGGTTGCGTTGGCAACTCCATGCAGGTGGCGGTATTGACCACCTGGCACCTGTCGGCATCCCCGAGCCAGCACCGCGCCAAACGCTCGTGCAAGTCAGCCTGGTGAGCCACATGGCTAGCTGGAAACGCAGGCAGCGGTGCGTGGTGCCAGGAGCGGAGCCACTGAAGTGCAATAACAGCCCATTGCCTGCTACCGGTACCATGCTGTACCACCTTCACAACCCGGCCCAGCGCCACTCCACGCATGGGGCCACGCACCTCGCACTTGCGGGAGGGGCTCAAGGGAATGACGGAAGATGTGTCCCCAACAGCAGCAGCAGCAGTAGCAGCGGCCCCACTCCCGCCCGCATGTGGTAGGGCCTGAGGGTGCATTGATGGTAACCGGAATTGGCCGGAATGTAATGCAAGGAGGTAGGTACAAAGTGCAGGGAGAATACTAAGTGAAATCGGAACAGCCCGAATGTGTGCCAGTGTCGATACATCTCAATCAACACAAGCCTCACCGTGTTGCCGCCCCCGCTCCCGCCCCCGCCCGCCGCCCCAGTCAGGGCCGCTGCAGTCACTGGCACGGAGGGGCCCGCACCGCCACCGGCTGCTGCCGCTGCTGCCGTGGCTACCACGGCCGCTGCTGGCTGCTGACCCGCCCGCCCCTGCCCCGCTGCTGCCTGCCCGTCTCCTCTGCCGCTGTCCCCTCTGCCCCCGCCCGAGAAGGAAGTTGTTGTTGTGTTTTCTGCAACCCAGTCGCGTATGGCATCCTCCTCAAAGGCAGCTCGCTGCAGGTGGTCCAGGCACATGGGCTGGCCTGAGGTAGGGGGGATGAAGGGAGGGCGAGGAAAGAGGGAAGCGAAAGTGGCTTGCACGGGTGGCGTGCATGGGTGCATGCAAGGACCGGATCCACACCCGATCCCCACCATCCTTCCCCCTGCCCTGTTCCTCTCACCCTGCCCCCGCTCGCCCCCCTCACCGGTGACCGGGTTACACCCGTGCTGCCGTACAAATGCGGTGATGGCGGACCGCTCGTACACGTGCTCGTGGTCCCGCCAGTCCCGCACCGGCTCGCGCATTACGCAACGGGCCAGGGGGCAGAAGTGCTGTGCAGGTACGGCAGCCGCGATTATGGACAGCTGCTGGGCCTCCCACCCCGGCTGCTGCTGAGACCACCCCTGTGCCTCCAGGGCGGGTTCAGCAGGCCACGGCTTCCTCTGTTTAGGTTGCTGTGCTGGAATGACCGTGGCAGGCACCGAAGTGGCGTTCTCTGCCAGCCATGCCCCAAGGAGGTTTTTGCATCGGACGACGACCGGCAAGCAAACATTTGCAACACCTGCAGTTGAGACGTCAGCTCGCTACGCAACAGTTCTCGGCGGTGTCAGGGTTTTGTACTAACTGCGCCTAACCTTTTCGCTGCAGATGGGCTGTCAAAGTTGCGCGTTCCGCAAGTCGGTGCTCAGGATCGGTTGGGTCCAGCACAGGGTCGCTTAGAATGCACCAGCTGATATAGCACATAAAACGCCTTGGAAGGCTCTTGCGGAGGAAAAGCAAAGTAGGCGTATCATGCACTCGGACATCTCCAGCCTGCTCGTGGGCCTGCTCCTGATCCATTTAAGGGGCCATTCACATATGAGTGATTTTGGGAATGAGTGCGTAGGAGCGCGTAGGGGAAAATTGTTCAGATTGTAATTTTTAATTACGTTTGGCCTGGAATTATTTTTAACAACGCCTGAGTTCAAAAAATAATTCCAAAGGTGAAACATGAGTGAATCATGAGTGAAGTTGAGTGAAGTGAGTGAAGAAACTTGTGAGCAGGCGCCCCCTGGCAAATAGCATCCCTATGCCAAGCGCATACTTTGGTTGCTTTCCTAGACTTCGCGACTGCATATTTTTGTTCTCGATATACTACTTTCTCATAGAAAGCTTTGCGCGGCCTCGCGCGGTGCGAGTTTGACGAATTTGCTAACGTTGGTCGCGACAAGCAACTACCGCGTGCGCATGGCTGCGGAGACCTGCGAAGAGATCATCTTGGCAGGTCTACGCAGCCACTAGCTTCCTGCCTTGCTGCCCGTGTTCGGTCGCGGTCGCGGCATTTCGACTCTCACTGTACGCCCGACCAATGTGAACGCATATTGAGTTTTTTCGACTCATTCACGCGCCCTCACTCAAAAGCACCTCCTTCATATATGAATGGCCCCTAAGTAATACGTAGGTCTGCCTTTACATAAACGTCTTGTTCCAGCCTGATAGCTTCTGGTCTACAGCCGAGTCGAGCCCCCTCCCACGAGGCGTGTTCTCCAGCCAAAAGAATGCAGCAAGGAATTGAGTATTACATCCCTAAGACAAACCGGTAGTGTTTGTGTTTCAATCAGCGAAGGAGAAGGAAACGTCCTGAAGTAGCAGTAGTATGTGGCGCCAGTGTTTAAGGCCGAGGCCTGGAGTTTCTTAAGCTGTTGGAACGATGCAACTGTATGACGGAAAGTGCTCTTCAACCAAACCTGGACGTAACGGGCATGCCGGTCGTTTACTCCTGCAACATCTCCGGTACCGGTAGTATAACCGGAGCTGCAACTTGTAGGAAAGGGGGCTAGTCGCTGGTACCGTTATTAAACAAGGAGCGGAAGAGTCTATACAGTAATTACTTCGGTTTTCTTACTGAAGCTATTGTCCCCGGCCTGTGAGACGTCCTGCATTTTGGACATAGGTTTTACAGTGTCTCCATTGACAAAAAGCAGCAGTCACCGATGAGTCCCTGTGTAGTTTGCCTAAGCACTCTCCTACAGGCAAGCACAGTGGCATATTTCGCATTCCTCCCGTACACACCAAGCCGACAGCTTCATACGCAGCAAACCTCACAGCTGTAAGTGGGCATGCGTACAAGACCATTGCCACAAAGTACGGCGGCAAGCACCAAGAGCTTGGAAGCCACCCACATCACATCACCACACGACACTGGCCCAACCGGTGTTGCGCGCATCCGTGCAGCAGCCCTCAGCAGGGCTTCCAAGGAGCACCCGTCATGCAGGCGACCCGCACTGCCAACCACACCACATGATGTACATCGCACTCGGCCATCAGCCCTCCCGACAGCAACTGCCTGCAGCAGCCTGCCTGCAGCCCATCCTGCACCTCCCCCTGCATCTTGCGGCTAGTGCAGGCGCCGCAAGACCCCATCACCGCCAGCCTGAACGTACTGACACCTATCGTACACCTACACAGCCTGCCGTACGGGAAACAAACGTGCGAACAAACAGCGAACCATAACCCTCCATGGGTTTGCCAACGTGACCGTTGGAAAACCCATGCTGGTGCCAGGCCTCCAACCTGCAACAACGGATTCCTAAACTCCACAGCGTCCGCGTGAAGCAAGGAGTGTACCCTCCTTCCTTCCACCCCTGCGAGTCCTTTGACGCCCTCCTGCCTAGCTCTGCCCCACCCTGCTCCTCACTGAGAGACAGCTCCACCTGCAATGATGCGCATTCTTCCAATCCTAATCCACTCTCATTCTTCCAATGCTAATCCCAACTCATTCTTCAAATGCTAAAGCAACTACTCTTCCCGCCAGCTATACAACCTGCCCAGCTAAAGCCGCACCAGTCAAGACTCAACCTAGTACAGCCACACAGCCACCTTGCAGCCCCCCCCTCCGCGGGTTGCAAGCCATCCTGCCGCATCTTCTACCCTCTCACACCCTTGTGACATGTCCGCCGGGGGTACCGCTGCACCCGTCTCCCGCCCTCCATCATACAGCTCCCCCCACGGCTTTCCGACCCCGCCAACCACCTGTGTAACGCCAACCCCTGCTGGGGAGGAGTGCCTGGCTGGGATGAGCTGCCTGGGCCCAGTCCAACGCCTGCACCCGCTGCCGCCACTGCTGCCGCACCCGCACACAAGCACCTCCCCCACACCCTCCCGGCCCCTCCCCTCCCGCTCGCCCGCCCGCCCTCACGGGTTGCTGCAGCGAGACGTGAGCCACTCCAGGTAGGTCGGGGGCTGTGCAGGGGGTAAGGGACGGCATGTGGCGATAGAGGACGCCGGGTAAGGGCAAGCTGCTGCGAAAGTGGGCATGCGGCAGTACCTGTCCTACATGGGGGCGCACATGCATGTGCACGTTCTTAGCTTTGCTTGATTCGTGGGCGACCATGCTTTCCTCCCCGCCCCCACCTCCCACCCCCACTGCCGCCCCCCCCCACCTGGGTCTCCGGCTGCGCAGGCAGGTCCTCAGCCGCCTCCACACGCACCCGAGAGGGCCACCCAGCAGCCGCCCCCTCCGCCGCCTCCTCCGCCGCCTCCCCCCAGACGCAGAACTCCGCCGGCGAGAGCACCTGCACCTCCCGCACCCCCTCCTCCACCCCACCCCCGCGGGCGGCCGGCACCACCAGCAGCCGCACCCGGGAGGCGGCGGCGGAGGCGGAGGGGGCCCCCTCGCTGCCGCTGCCGTACGAGGCGCCGGCGGGGCAGAAGGCCACCCCGTAACGGGGGCCCCTGGCGCCCGCCACACTCAGAAGCACCTGCCGGGCGGGCGGGCGGTGTGTGGGGGAGGGCGGCATGAATCGTGAGGATGAAGCATCCGGGCTTCATGGGGGCGGTGACGGGCGCACCATCCTTAGCACTAGAGGTGGAGCTCCCAACTCGGAGCTCGCATGGAGCCTACCAGCGGCCGCAACCCTGTCGCACCCCCGCCCCGCTCACCGGCGGGCACTCCCTCCAGCGGCTGCACATGCAGGGCAGCACGGCCGCCACCAGCTGCGCAGCGGCAGGGTCAACCTGCAGCAGCAGCCGCAGCGCCGCCACAGCCGCCACGGCACCGCCGCCGCCCGGGGGAACAGCGGGGGCGGGGGCGGGGGCCTGTGGTGGGGCCGCCGGTGGGGGCAGCTCGCCCCCGGGGGGCACCGCAGTGGTCCCTGCCTGGTGCAGCGCTGGCGGCCCCTGCGGCTGCGCGGCTCCGGACGTGGCCCCAGCCACCCCCACCTGCACCTGTGTGCCGCCAGCTGCAGCGACTGCGGGCGGTGTGCCTGCCGCCGCCACAGCAGCTGCCGGTGTCGCGGGCGGGGTGGCCAGAGAGGCGTCAGGTGCGGAGGCAGCCCCGGAGGAGTCGGGCGAGGCAGGGGGGCTAGGGGAGGGAGAGGCCGCCCTGAAGGCCGCCTCCCAGGCACTGTAGGGCCGCCAGGACGGCTCCAGCTCGCCCTGCAGGCGAGGGGAAAGCGGGGGAGGGGAGGCGAAAGGTAGGAGGGGAGGAGAGAGGGAAGAAGCGGCTTGAAGGAAGGCTCCATGGGGTTCCATGACCAGTGCGGTACATAGCAACATTGCAGGTAGGTGCAGGTAGGTGACGGACAAGCACTGCGAACCGGAACCGGCTCCCTAGCCAGTAACACCTGTAACACCGACCCAGGGGTCTGTGGGAAAAGGGTAGGGGCGACATCACCACCCACGCCGCCTCACCTCTGCCACCTCGCACACATGCATCCTGTCCCTCCAGTTCGCCCGGCACTCCTGCGCCAGGAGCCACTGCCGAGGGGACGCCAGCTCGCACTTGAGGTGGCCACCCCCTCCACTGCCCTCGCCGCTACTGCCGTCGCCGCTACTGCCGTCGCCACCACTGCTGCCACCCCCACCCCTGCCGCCGCCCGCCTCTCCCTCCCCGGGTGCGGCTGCAGGTGCGGGCCCCCCACCCGGGCGCTGCAGCTGCACGTGCAGCACCCGGGCTGGTGTGCCCCCCCTGCGGCGGCTGGCGGGGTCCGAGTAGCTGGCGCCCAGGGGGACCACCGCCAGCCCGTAGCGGAACACGCCGGAGGAGGAGGGGGCGCCGCTGAAGCAGCGTACAAGCCGCTGGGGGGTCAAAGACCATACCAAACCGGCGGCGGGGGGGGGGGAGGTTGCATGAAGGGTCTAGTTGGGGACATGGAGGACCACAGGCTGGCAGTTGCAGGTAGTTAACCCGGTCGTACACGCAGAGAAATCACCGCCCCACGCAGCAGCATCCAGTGCGCATGTTGGCCCATACTGCTGCGGTCCAGTAGCTGCATCTGCCACACATGAGCCCGTCGCTTCGCAATCCCCCGTCTCCCCTGCCTCCCCGTCCCTCCCTCCCTCCCCGTCCCCCCCTCCCTCCCCCCCTCCCCTCCCTCCCTCCTGCCCTCACCGGCTGGTTGCGCCCCTGCAGCTCCGCCCCCCGCGGGAACTCCCGCCCCGCCAGCTGCCGCAGCGAGTGCAGCGCCGCCCCCACCGCCTCCGCCACCTCGCACCCCGCCACCCGCCGCAGCAGCGCCAACGCGGGGGGCAGCGGGCCGCCGCTGCTGCTGCCGGCATCAGGGTTGCTGCCCCGCCCCTGCTCCTGCACCTGCTCCTGCACCTGCTCCTGCACCTGCTCCTGCACCTGCGCCTGCTTGGCGCGCTTCCTAGGCGCCGGGCCCGCACTGCCGCCACCATGGCCCGGGTCGCGCTTGCCCAGCACGGAACCCTCTTCCTGCCGCTGCTGCCCCCCCTGCTCCTGCTCCCCCTGCCGCTGCGGCTCCTCCTGGCTGCCCTCCGCCAGCAGACAGGCCCGCAGCCGCTCCCTCGCCGCCTCCCCGCCCAGCCGGGCAGACCGCCGAAGCCCCCCCGGCTCGCTGCTGCCCGGCGGCCCGGCGAAGGCGCGCGCGTGTGCCTCCCGCAGCTGCTCCCGGGAGGCCCGCCGCGCCGCCACGTCTGCCTCCGCCGCCTGCCGCAGCAGCTGCAGCACGGCAGGCTGGCGGCAGCGGAGGGGCAGGAGGGCAGGCGCCGCGGCCTGGCTGGCCTCCTGCTGCTGCTGCCTGCGTCCGCGCCACCAGCGGTGGTACGGCAGCAGTGAGCCGTCCTCCTGGGGGGTGGGGTGGACGAGAAGTAGGCGTGGGGGTGGGGGAGGTTAGGGAGTGAAGAGGGCAGGCGGGGCCAGGAGACCAGGGGAGTCCAGCCGGTAGGGGACGTGCAGCAGGAGGGGCTGGGGAGCAGCGCTTGTGGGGGGCGTTCGCAGGGGTCGGGAGGAGAGGGGGAGGTGGTGGGTGCGATGTTGTACGGGTGGGCGAGCGGACGGGCAGGGGATGGGATTATAGGCTAAGCAGGGGAGCCTCCAAGGGGCTATTAGACAGTTAGACAAACGCACAACACCCCTCCTTCCCGCCCCCCATCCCACCCCACCCCCCACCCCGCCCACCATCTGCACGTGCAGCAGCTGCTCCCACTGCTGGTCCGCCAGCCGGGCTCCCGGGTGCCCCGCCTCCCGCAGCGCCGCATCGGGGGGCAGCAGCACCAGGCCGCTGGGGGCGCAGCAGGGGGGAGCAGCGGCCTCGGCAGGCGGTACCGGGACAACACCCATGGCACCTCCCTCCGCGACCGCGGCCCCCTCCTGCAGCTCCTCCTGCCGCTTCGGGCGCCGCCACTTGGCGAGCAGGAATGTGGCGGTCAGGAAGTCGTACGGCAGTGCGGATGCACGCACCTCGCACAGCCCCAGCTGCTGCAGCTGCCGCAGTACCGACAGGTCGCGCAGCTGGGGCCGCAGCTGGGGCAGCAGCTGGGGCGGCTCCCCACCCGGCTCACCACCACTACCACCACCACCGCTGCTGCTGGACGGGCCCTCCGCCGCCGCCGCCGTCTCACCCCCCCTGCGCCCCGCCTCCTCCCCGCCCCCGTCAGCAGCGGCGGGCTCCGCGGGGCCCCCTGCCGCCCGCTCCACCGGTAGCTGCAGGATGATGACCTCCGGCTCCAGAGCCGCACTCGCTGCACCCGCACCCGCAGCAGAGGGGAGCCTGCCATACACCTGCAAGGAGGGGGACAGGAGGCGGGAGGGGAGGGGAGGGAGGGGGTGGGGTTCGTGCTTGGCGAGCGGCTAGGAAAGAGGGGCCATGTCAGGGAGGCGGCGCCCCGCTGGTGACGTCCCTCTAGCCGCCATCAGCCGCCCCTGCCACCCCCCCACCCCCCACATCCCTCAGCCGGCTGTACACCTCGGCTAGCAGCCCTTCGCCCGCTGGCAGCCCAACCGGGTACCCGTGCTGGGCAGGTTGCGTGCACACGCCCTTCACCACACGCCCCCAGCCTCCTCCCCCCCAACCCACACATTGCAGTATTCCATCCCAGTGTGGATATTCACCTGCTATGAATCCCGCCCCCCCCCCTTCCCCCTGCCGCACTCACCACCCAGTCCTGACGTCCCTCCCCCGGCAGCACCGCCCGAAGCAGCCGCGACGCCAACACCCCCAGCACCTCCCGCACCGCCGGCCCGCAGTGGGGGAAGAAGGGGCACGCCTCCTCCTCCTCCTCCTCAGCCGGCGCCGCCTCCTGCTGCTGCTCTTGGTCCGGCTGCGGCTGCTGCTGCTGGGCTGGGAGCACCTCCGGCTGCTGCCCCCCCTGCCCCTCGCTCTCACTGTCCTCACCCCCCCTCCCACTCGCCCCCTCATCCACCTCGTCCTCCTCGTCACTCTCGCACCCCTCCCACACCTCCGCCCCCAACTCCCCATCGAAATCCTCACCCCCCTCCCCCTCCTCTTCCAATCCTAGGTTCTCCTCCTCCCCTCCCAGCTCCTCCCCGCCCTCCCCTTCTCCCTGTCCCTCGGCCTGGTCTGCCTCTCCCTCCTCCTCCGCCTCCCCCTCCCCCTCCCCCTCCACCTCACCACCTCCCGCCTGCGTGCAGCCGGCCTCCTCTGCCCAGCAGCCAGCCAGCAGCCCTTCCTGCTCAGGGAGCGGGTCCAGGTCCTCCTCCTCCTCAACATCCCCTCCCTCCTTCCCTGCCATCCCCTCCTCCCCCTCTCTCGCCGCCCCCTGCTGCGCCTCCCACTCCGCCTGCTCCGCCTCCCTCCTCGCGCGCTGCTCCTCCTGGAACGAGGCCGTCATCCACTGCTGGCCCAGCTGCACGGCCGACACGTCCTGGCTGCCACCCCACCCCTGGCTGCCAGCAGGCGGCTCCCCGGCCGCCCGCCACCCCTCCGGCAGCAGCAGCTGCCCTGAACCCCCTGCCGCCGCCTCCCGGCGTGCCGCCATCTCCCGCTGGTAGGAGCCGGTCATCCACTCCTGCTCGGGCAGGGGGGGCTGGGAGTCCCCCGGGGGCGCCTCCTCCGCCTCGCCCGCCTCACACCCGCTGGGCTGCGTCTGCTGCTGCCCCTCCTGCACTGCCGCCTGCTGTGTGACATGCTGCTCCGCACGGCCTGCTTCCAGTCCACTGCATTGCGTCTGCAGCTGTAGCTGCGCCTCCTCTTGCACCTCCTCCTCCTCCTCCTCACCCCCAGCCTCCTCTTGCTCGTGTGCAGCCCCCAACCCGCCTCGCTGGGTGTGCTGCCGCCCCTGTCTCGCCTCCAGCCCGCTGCACTGGGTCTGCAGGTACTGCTCCTCCTCCTCCCCGGGACCCTCCTTCTCCTGCTCCTCCTCCTCCCCCGCCTCCCAGACACCGCACTGAGCTGCAGGGCGCTCCGCAGCACCCGGCACCTCCTCCTCCTCCTCCTCCTGCTGGGCACCTGCAGCCGTTACAGCAGCAGCGGCAGCAGCCACATCTGCAGCAGCGGCGGTGGGGGGCTGGGGGCGGGGCGGAGGAGCCGCCGCCGCCCCCTGCCCGGGCCCACCCGCCTGCCCCCCCGCAGCTGCCTGCAGCGGCCCCTCCTGCCCCGCTGGGGGGCACTGCGCGGAGTCCGGAACACGCTGCGGACCCGGCTCGGACTCGGGTTCATGGAGGGGCGTCTCCGGGACGAAAAAGGTCGGGGAGAAGGAGGGGGAGGGTGGAGGAGACTGGGGGACGGTTGGGGGCGAGGGCGGCTCCCAGGCCGCCGGCTGCTTGGGGACGTCACTGCCCCGGCGCTGCTCTGGGCGGGATGCGGCGGCCCCGGCGAGCCCCCCCTGTGGCTCGCCCTGCTGCTGCTGCTGCAACTGCTGTGGCAGCCTCCGTGCGTCCTGCTCAGCTGCGGGCGGCGGCTGCTCCTGCTGCGCCTCCCCCTGCCGCTGCTCCCCCTGCTGCTGCGCGGGCCGCCCCAAGATTGCCCGAGGGACGCTGCGATCTGCGGGGGCAGGGCCGCCCAGTCCCCCCGGCAGTGCCAGCGGGCGGGGGGGCGGCGCGCTCAGGCCGGCCCTCAGCAGCGCCATCAGCAAGCCCGGCGCCCGGGGGGGCCCCGCGCCCTCCTCCTCATCCGAGCTGTCATCGCCCGAGCTCTGAGAGGCGGGCAGCAGGCTGCCCAGCGACTCGGCGCTGCAGCGGCGGCGGGGCATCACAGGGGGCATAGCGGCAGCTCCTCGCTCCCTTAGCTTGACGTCCTCAAGTGCCGGGGGCGGCAGCTGCTGCTTCTCTTCCTGCTCCTCCCGCTGCACAGCTGGCCTCTCTTCCTCCTTCGCCGCTGGCTCCTCCTCCTGGGTCGCATGCAACCGCCACCCCTCCTCCCACCCCTCCTCCTCCTCCCACCCCTCCCCCTCCTCCTCCTCCTCCTCCTCTAGGCTCCTCCGCAGCTCCCCCTCCAGCGCCGCCTGCTGCAGCGTCTGGTGGTCCGCCTCCTCCGCCAGCAGCAGCCACTCGGGCACCTCCTCAGGGTCGCAGGCGCAACCCTCGGGGCCAGCAGCCTGGGACAGCCGGTCCAGACCCTGCAGCAGCAGCTCCTCGCCAGCTGCCGCCGCCCGCCCGCCCCCTCCCGGGCTCCCCCCGGAGGCGCCCCCGCCGCTGCTGCCGCTGACGCTCGCCTGGCTGCCTCCCACCTCCTGATCACCTACATCACACTCGCCACCCCGCCAGCTGCCCCACGCGGCACCACCCCCGCCAGGCTCGCTGCGCACCCAGACGGCCAGGGACACCTCGGGGCCCCCGCTGCACCTGCTGTCGGGCTGGCTGGCCGGCGCGTCCGCAGCCTCCTCGCCTTCCTGCAGGTCCCCCGGCCCGCCCTTGCAGCCCTCACCCTCCGCAACATCCCGCTGCGAGGGCTGCGGGGGCTGCGGCGGTTGGGCCGCACAGGGAGCTGTCGTGGTGCCCGGCGCCGCTGTCGCTGCTGCAGCCTCAGCAGCTGCCGCCCCTTCTGCCGCATGTTGGGGTGCCGGGTGCCGTACGCAGCCGCCGTACGGCACCGGGGCGGCGGTGGTGGAGGGGCCGCACTGGGGCTCAGCGGCGGGTGCAGGCGCCGGGTCGGACCGCACAGTTGCAGGGGCCGCTGCGGGTGGTGGTGCACGTGCAGGTTCCGACACCTGTGCGGCTGCGGACTTCAGCAGGGGCCCGGCAGCCGCAGCCGCAGCGGTTGCTGCAGCAGCGTCAGACGCCGGAGCGGGAGGTGTGTCTTTGGCTGCAGGTTGGGTAGGCTGGGACGCAGCAGCAGTGGCGGTGACCCCCGGTGCAGGCGGACGGTGCGGCGCAGCTGGGGCCGCCACGTGCGCCCCGCTCCTGCTGGCGATGGCGGCATTCACGAGCCTCAGCAGGATGCCGCCGCCTGGGGTGTCGACCGGGTGCTCCCGACCCGTGGGTCGTTGGGCCGCAGCCCCAGCAGCCTGAGCGCCCGCGGGGCAAGGCGGGGCCAGGAGTAGTGGCGGCACCACGTCGTCAGCTGCTGAGAAGGGCCGCCACGCACCGTCCTGGTAGTGCGGCTCCAGCTCCGGCTCGCACCACTCGGCCGCCAGCTCATCTTCTGCCGGCTGGGGCGGCAGGGGTGGGGGCGCTTGCATGCTGCTGCCGGGGTCGCCGCGCTGCTCCAGGAAGCTCCTGAACAGGCGCCTGCGCGGACTGTCCGCCTCCGCCTCCCCCTTCCTCTTCACCACCTGAGCGCCGCCGCCACCAGCGGCCCCAGCAAGTCCGCATGCCGCCGCTGCGAGCTTGCGCTTCACCGCAGCGACCTCGTTGGGTCGCACCTCGTAGCCGGGGCTCAGCGGGACATGCCGCAGTGCGAGCGCCCCTGCAGAGCCGGACGGTGCTGCAGTGGCGGCACGGCGGCGGCGGCGGGAAGCGGTCCTGCATGGCGATTTGCGGGAGGCGGGGGGCTCCGGCGGGGGCGGCTGATCGGGTGCAGGGAGCGCGCGAGGGGGCTCATCCTGCGTGTGTGTGCAGGGAAAGGGTGGGGACGGGAAGTGCGTCAGACGTTGCATCTTTTAGCTATCTCCCTATCTGGAAACGGAGACCGCCGGTGGGTATTAGCCGCACGCATGGGCCGCATGCATGGGTGGATGCAGGAGTGGGTCGGGACAGGGAGTACGCGGCCACAGGGCGGCTGCGGGCCTGCCTTGCGGATAATGCGGTCCCATTGCATGTAGCTCAGCGCGCACTCCAGGAGCCCCAGCCCCACCCAGCCGCCTGCAGTCCCCCGTGCGCTGCCCCCGTCACGGCGGTAGACCCCTCCACCAGGCCCTCCCCACGTTCCGGCGCTTCACTTCTACCACAGTTGCTTTACCCCCTTTCCCTCCCTCCGGCCCCCACCCACCGTGGCGCCATCCGCTGCGCCCCCACCGCGGCTCCGCTGTTTGGACTTCTTGTGCTTCCCGCGCTTCTTGTGCTCGCGTGGCGCGGGAGGCGGGCAGTCGGCGGCCTGAGGGCGGCAGTCGCGCCCGGGCACCCCACCGGGCAGCTGGGGGTCCGCAGGGGCAGGGGCAGCGGCGGCGGCAGGGGCAGGGGCGGACTGCAGCACCGCCGCCGGAGCTGCTGCGTGCGGCGGGCCGGGCTCCTGCAGGGAGGGTAAGCCACGGGACGGGGTCAGAGGAGACACGGCAATAGCCATTTATCCAAATGGACCAAGTGCGCAAACAGGCGAGTCGCGCGCGAGGCGGTGCTAGCAGTAGGGTTGGATAACGCGGCTGGGTACGGCTGAGACGTATACGTACGGCAGTCAAGGCAAGGCGATGAGGGGTTGCATGCGTCGCGGGGCAGTGCAGCAGAGGTGGGGCGGATACACACCGGCAATTGCCCCCCCCCCCACCATACCGATATGCCACACACCTGGCGCCCAGCGACTCCTGCCGCACCGCTCTCCGCAGAGCCCAGTGCCCGGGGGCTGGGAGCTGCGGCCGGTGGGACGGGACGTGGAGGCGAAGGCTTGGGGGTGGCGGCCTGCGAGGGAGGGCGATGGGAGGCGTGGGAAAGTGAGAAACGGTCGGACTTGGCTCCAGATTGGGCTGCGGAGCTCTAACGGGAACCCCTGCCCCCCTCCCTCTCCGCTACTCCCACGCACCTGCTGCTGCTGGGTGATGGCCCCTCCGGCCGCACTGCCCTCCGTAGGCCCGCCTGCTTGCTTGGTGGCAGGCGGGGCAGGCGGAGGAGGGGCGGGGGGAACAGACCCAGGGGTCACCCCCGCACCGCCTGCAGCGGCGTCGTGCGCCTGGGGCCTGGTGAGTTCGGCTGGCGCGGAGGAGCGGTTGGGTGCGGGCTTGCAGGGAGAGCGCTGAGTCGTTGCCTCGCCGCCGCTGCGGCCCAGTGGTCCCACCATGCCCCTCCTGCCCTGCTGCGGCAGCGACAGCACCTTCTCCGCCCGCTGGCCCGCCTGCCGCTGGCCCCCGCGCCCTCCTCCCCGATCCACAGCCGGTCCTTCCCCTCCTGCACGCCCTTCCCGTCCCTCCTCCTGCAGGCTCCCAGCCGGCTCAGCGCTGGCGCCTGCAGCCGCCCCTGCTGGGACGACGCGCGTCTGGTCGCTGCAGTTGCTGTCGGGCTGGCTGTCCGGCAGCACTGGGGCGGCACCCGCGCTGCTCTCCCCGCCCTGGGGGGGCCCGCCGGCACCCCCCGCACCGCCCCCACCTGGTCGCGGATGAGGATGCTGGGATGGAGGCGGCTGGTGCGGGAGGAGGGGGTCCGAGGCGCTCGCTGCGTGCAGCGGCTCCCAGCTGCGCGCCATGACATCCGCGGTGGTAGCTTGGCCTGCAAGAGCCGCAAGGGCAGGTGGAGCAGCAGGGGGCGGGGCCTGCGGGCACTGCCCCTCCTTTACTCTCGGAGCACCACTGCCGCCCTCGCCAACTTGGCATGCCCTTGCTGCCGCTGCCGCCTGCTGCCTCTCCGGCTGAGCAACCAGTGCTGGCAGTTGCTCGAGGCCGGGCCCCACCCCGGTCTGCAGCGCCGCGGCTAGCTCGACTCGGGCGCCCGCCGCGCCGGGTGGTGGGACAGGAGCAGCAGCAGAAGCAGCAGCTGCAGCCTCGCGGTGGCGCCGCTTGCTGGAGCTGCCCTTGTGCTTCTTGCGCTGTCGAGCGGGAGCAGCCCCCGGGGAAGCGGCGCGGGGGGCAGTTGGGGCTGCAAGGGGGCGGAGGGACGCCTGCAGGGGCCAGCAACACAAAGGAATGGGAGTGGTCAGAAAAGGAGAAAGCGACGTGCCGCCAATGAACGCGTGACCACCCGCACTGGAATAGATAGCGGCATGGGTTCCAATGACAACCGGCGGCATGCAGGATGGAATGGCGACATGCACAGCGACGTATGGGGGTAATCCTAGGCGTCCCGGCAAGCTCTCACGAGCCAACCTCCCTCATGCGCTTGGCTTCCCTAAAGCTGCTCTAGCGCACATAGCGATACGCACACGCCACTCCCCCACCCGCTCACCACGGCCGAGCCGTCCCCGCGGCCGTGCAGAACGTATTCTACAGAACCACAGCCAACGACCTGACCGCGCTCCTCGGTGGGGGCCTGGGGCCCAGGCTCGGCCTCTGTACGACACAAGAAACCAGCGGCTGCTTCGCTGGCCGGCAAGAGCATTGCCGGCGGTATCTGCCGTACACCTTCTTCGGATTCCTTAAGCCGTGGTCGCTTGAGTGAGTCGACGTCCGGCAGCGGAACGGGCAACCCGCGGGCTGGGTCTGACGTCTCCTGTGCGGCTGCTGGTCGCTTGGAAGACTTGGACGACTTGGAAGGCTTAGGCAGCCCTGTAATGTTAAGGCAGCAATTTAGTGACATGTTGGAGATTATTCGAGCGCACTATATGCAAGCATGTGCTGCAAAGCGAACCGACGCTTTGTGCGTGGATGCCAACACATTGGGCCGGACCGGCCACTAATACTTCCGATCACTAACACGTATCGAAGAGGACGACTACGCGAATGCGCATGGGTAATGGCACCGGGAAGTGGCATTTTCGGCCTCAGTGGTTCTTGCCTGGAGAAGAATTGGGCGCCATCGCGCCACCGGTATCCTAATCCGCCAGCGCGGCCAACCTGTAGGGAGATAATGGAGTGCAATAAAGTATGTGAGTGTGTGGGCTGGAATAGTAAGCGACCAGAAGCAAGTCGATTTTAACGTTTCGCCATGCGCCTCAATTACTTGCCGCGCGACGTGTAGAAGTTCACGGCCTAGCGCACCTGTTCAGAGGGCTTTCAAAATTGTCTCCTTACAAGTATATAACAGTATGCACATAGCTCTTTCGCCTTTATTGCATACCAAAAATGACAAACGCGACACAGCAAAATTTGCTTCTGGAGGTCCCAGGGCTGACAATAATACGAGGGCACGTGATTACGTTTCCCGCAGGCACTTCTCCACCTCGCCCAGCCTCCCGCCATAGCTGGAGGTTCCAACCGTCCGTACGGCTGTGCTGTGCTCTGTTTAAACCGTTAAAGGAGAGCGCCATCTGCGATGCAACCATACGGTTGATAATACACATGCTCCGTGAGGTAGTACCTTTTCCAAGTGGCTGTTGCGGACAGCCATGTAACGCGCAAAGATGCTGTTGGTTGAGCTGGCGCAGCACCGCACAAATCACAGATGACATGTCTTATATACTTAGGTAGTCGGCTGTCAAACTACCACATCCAGGGGCAAACCCGGCGTACTGTTGTTGACTCGCGCATCCACCTCAGCTGCACAGGCCCTTATCTTAGGGGAGAGGGGGCGACGGGCAGCAGGAACAGCGCGCAGTTTGGGTCAGCTCGACGAAATGCCGAGAGGTTAACAGCATGGACATGGACAAACATCAGGATAGCTGTGGGAAGGACTGTCATACCAGTTCCAAGCAAGGACTAAGCCGCATGCGTGGCAGGGTGGGGGGGCACACTGGGGGGTAGGCAGGCGTGCACACTGCAGCACTAGGCGGGAAGGGTCTGGGGCAAGCCCATGCATGCGGGGTTTGGTGATACGGAGGTACGAGGTGTACCGTTTGAGTACCCTACATCGTTATCACCGGACTGGGACCGCAGCGGACATGTGTTGCATTTCGTACTACTGAAGGCACCTAACAGTTGGATGGGGCATTGCGTAGTGGCCTACCAACCCAACGGCTGAGCCATGTTGCATGGCCATTCATTCTTGTAGGTGTGGCCATTGCTGCATCAGGGCGCGTAGGCTAGCATGCTGATTGAGTAAATGAATGTCTGTCACTGTGTTGTTGATAATCAATACGGTGTTACCCCTGGCAGTAGTAAATGGCAATGAGAAGAGACCTACTATTGCACCATTTTCAAACCTACTATGTTAGCGCTTATATGACGGTGAGCTGGATTCGGACCAATGAACCGGCTAGAGTAAACGGTGGTGTGCAGCACAGTCAGGTGCAAGGGGCTGTTGGGATTACTTCCGTTGCATGCTGTTGTCACGTAATTAGCATGACGGCCCATGTGCGGTGGGGCCGGGTGCGCGCCCCCTCCTGACACCCCTCCCAACACTACCGCATGGGCAGCGGGTCGGGATCATGTGGAAGGGAGTAAGCGGGGAGGGCCTACTGGGGGTTGTGGAGGAGGCCACCTTTCTGAGGGTGGGCAGGAAGGGGGGAGAAAAATTATAAATAAGTGCAACAACGCAATCCCAATCCCGAATCCCGACTCATGCAGTGAGCGCATTCGGAGACACTAATCTAGAAACACGCATCTCAGAGGGAAGGGGGGAGGGGTAATGCATCCACGGGGGCTGTTGCGGTGTTGTTGCATGGGTCAGATTTGCTGGAGGTTGGGTGGTGGAGAGACGGGCTGGTGTTCAGGTGAAGGCGCTTATCCTGGGCGCTGTAACAACAATGGCGCTCTGCTATCGCACCTTCTAGTTACTGCCGGTACGTCAGATCCTAAAGGTCCCCGTGCTTCAGTTTACCAGTGAGTTCATGCACAGGCCTCCTTGTGAAGCGAATCGCTGCTGCGGGACACACTGGTATATAAACTGATTCGCAGATTATTTCAGGGCATCGGTGATTAGCGTTTCTGGTGCTATATACCGGTACAATAATTGTGATTGCGATGAGCTTATCAGGGAACTTACTTTAAAGCCATGAATCGCTGGTGGTTTTACATGGTGCATGTAGCCTTCCTGGGTATAAGGATGGACGCGGACGGCTTACGGTCTCGCGGCAAATGGCATGTCTTACATTTTAACATGGCTCGAGGTCCGCTTAGATACCTGTCGAAAGATGGCAGCAGCGCTTCATAGGTATTCCCTCAATTAAATTCATGTCCATCCTGTCGAGCATAGTACGGTTTCTTGGGCAAGTTCGGCGGAGAAGGCGGGAGCTTGTGTACGGAAGACGTTGGCGCGCTCTTGCAGTAGGTTTAAGCCCTTAACCATCTACTCTTCTACACACTGTCGCCTAACTAGAAAAACAAAATGGACCGGGCTCATAACGTGTTCCGTTTCCTTAAGGAGGACACGAGGGAGCCCAAACTGAGGCGGACCGACTCTGAGCGAAGCCGCAATAGCACTGGAGACCAAGACGTGTCGTGTTCGGCCAATCCCAGCAAGTGGGCGCGGCGCCAACGTCAGTTCGCGGTTGCGCTGGACAATGCCTCAATGACTAAGCTGCACATCGTAGAGCAGCGATAACATGGAGCATCATTATTGCTCAATTGCATAGTCATCCGTGTAGTGTCGCAGGACGGTATGGTATAGTTTAGTGCGCCCTGGGGCTGACGGGTTCCCAATAGAGACGTTGGTGGCCTACAGCACTAGCAGAAAAGCCCATCGGCATAGTTGAGGCCTTGCAGGATGCTGATATATGTATGATATCGGATTAGTTAGTTCCAGTATGTATATGATTACTGTGTACTTCGAAGGCGCCAGGCGGTTAGTTGGATATTGCTTAGACGCGGCCAAAGTGAATTACTTCACATCTCATGCTATAGTAAGTATATTGGGCGGTTCTTGACTCATTACGAAGAAGCACTAGCCAATAGTAGCAAGCTTGGGCGAAAGCGGTCCGTCGCATTTTCATAATGTCGTTTTTAGTGCTAAGTGTTTTTGCGCGGGCCAATGTAAGATGTATACATAGTATGTCTTGTCAATGATTGACGCCGGTGTTAACGGGCCGTTTGCGTACTTACCATAGTACGCATCCCGCCGAAGAGATGGTGGCATACTTGTAACTGAGACGCAACACGCATGGCCGTAGCACAAAGACCCTCGCAGTCATTAAGGTTTCGAAACAGCCCTGGCCATTGTGTGTACTTCCTCCCCCCCCTTCTGCATATACAGCTCACATACCGGTACGGCACCCGCATGACTGGTTGGGTAGTCGCATCCAGCCCTGCGAGTCCCCATCAACCCCTCCAGCATGCATGGCTCCGCCTTCCTCCTTCATTCCGAGTCAGCCACACCAGTCCAATAAACACCATTTCACGCATCCAGCTACGGTGAATCCAGCACCGCCAACCCCACCGGCCACACAAGGCAGCCAAGATAGTTGTCGGCTTGCGTCTCTGTGGGCCCCTGCTAGCATGCATCTCACGCACCCTCGCCCCCCCCCCCTCATCCTGACCCCCACCCGCACCCCTTGCACCCCTGGCCTTCTCCGCTGCATCAGCGGGTTACAGACGCCCTGACCCACCTTCCCATCCCACCCACCCCCCTCCCCCTCCCGCCCCACTCCCTCACCATCCTCAGCCGCATGTCCGGAACCCGCCGCCCCTCCGACACCGCTGCTGCCACAGCCCCTGCCACCGCGCGCAAGTGCTCCCAGCACCCTCCCTCCCCTTGACGCTATCGAGGGGGGTGGGCTGCGGGGAGGGCGCGAAAAAGGAGAGGGGAGGGTTGTCGTGAGGTTCAATGTAAGCTGCAAGAGGCCCCCCCGCACCCCTCCCCACCTCGCAGACGACCCCATGCAGTGCAGAACCGTGCAGCAAGGGAGGCCGGACCACACCCCGGCCAGTCAGCAGGGCGCACCCCCCACCCCAGCGCCCCTCCCCTTCCCTCCTCCACTTGCCTTGTTTCCGGGGTGGGGCCGTCTCCCGCACTGCCCCGTCCTCCCGGCCCCCACCCGGCTCCTGTCACACAGTTTATTCCTCTAGCCCCTGCTTCCCGGGGCTGCTAGGTCGCCCCAGCAGCGCTGCCGTACACTCGGGACTGGTGGTGGTGCTGCGAGTAGCTCGGGTGTGGTGCCACCGGCCCCAGCCACCCGCCCGCCCGCCCCTGCAGGGTGGGCAGCTGCCGGAAGCCTGCCTCCCACCCCTCCGCGTAGGGCAGCAGACGAGGAGAGGGGTGGAGGGTAAGAGGGGGGTCGAAGACCAATCCAAAAAGAGCGGGGGGGGGAGATGAGGCGGTTAGCATGCGGCAATGCGATGGCAGCAGACTGGCTAACACCAAAGCAGCAGCCAGCAGCTAGCAACACGCAACCAGCCCCAGCCCTGGCCTTACCTAACAATACCCCCTAACAACGAGCACACCTCTGCAGCCCCACTGCCGGTATACTGCCCAGCAGCGGCGCGACAGCATCAGCCCGCACCTGGGGTTGAGGGGTGCAGCCAGCAGCGGCCTGTCAGAGGAGGGAGGAGCGGCCCCACCTGCGCGCCACCAGCAGTGTGTGGCAGCCTGCGCGAATGGGGCCGGGAGGAAGAAGGGGGAGGGAGGGAGCGGGTGGGTGCGGAGAGGATAGGGTGCGAGGAGCACCCTGGGTGAGGACGGGGGAAGGCACCGCGATGCGTCACCCTTGCCCCTGCACCCTGACGCCGACCCTGGAACCCAGCATGCACCGGCCCCCTGCCCGCCAACCGCCGCAACGCCGTTCCCCCCTACCGACTCCTCCTCTACCGCCAACGCAGCCCCCTCCCCCCTCCCCCCCACCTCCCCCTCTCCTCTACACCTCCTCCCACTTAGCGGCAGCCCCTGAGTGCGCTTACCATGTGCGGTTAAGCCGCTGCTACCCAGCCCGCGCACTCCTCACACGCATCCGACCCGCACCTGCAGGACCCCGAGGAGGGGGCAGGAGGAGGAGGGCAGGAGGAGGAGGGGAGGAGGGCAGTGTCGGGGGCTCAGTGCGGGGCGTAAGCAGCTACCAGGTACGGGAGGGAGGCCGGATTGGAATGGGACGTGTGCGCGCGGGGGCAGGCGGGGGGCTCTTACCCTGGCCCCCCTTCCCTACACCCCGACAGCAACCTCCTCTCCGGCAGCAAGCAGCGCCCACGCACGGCTGCCGGCTACGTACGGCAGCTACGGCAGGACGCATCGCGTGCACGATAACCATCATCCTCCGTTGCGACCCCTCGTTCAACCCCGTTTGGCGCGCTGCCCACCCCTCCCATTCCCACCTGGTCTAAGCTACTTGCCCCAGGGCGGTGTGGGCTGCAGGGTGCAGGGTACGGAAAAGGAAAGAGTAGTTGAGCGAGCTGAGGAAGGGGCGGGTGCCGATAGGCAAGAAAGGGTTGAAGAACTAGGCGGCCCATCAACCCTGCTGCCCGCCGCCTCCTGCTGCCCCTGCCTGCGGCATCCCCCCAAGGCCCAGCACCAACTGCATGCTGCTGCTGCAGGCTCGCTGCAACGTGTCGTGGGTCTCGTTGGCCATCTGGAGCTACTTACGACAGCTGCAAGAGGAGCCGCTTGTACTGCTGCGCGGTCGACACTGCTGCAGAGCTGGGCAGCTGCTTCCCGGCCTGGTAGCGCAGGGGGGTCCGGTGTTGGGTGGCTGCTATCTTGTGTGGCAGCAGCGAGGGGCTGTAGGACAGTTTTCCGCCGTTCACTGTTACACGGCTGTGGAGCCGTATTGGGGGATGAGGGTCGGAGTCATGGTGCAGGTCGTTTGCGACGCCCGGAAACCCGAGGCATCACCCTTTGGGCCGATCCAGTGACAATTTGGGTCCAGAGCAAGCTAATGCTGTGTCAAGGCATGACGCTGCAAGTTATGAAGTAGCACAGCCGCCGCTGGCCCCAGCGACATCGCATGGCGTTTGCAACGGTTGGCTACCAGCATCAGCGCTAATGCCGTGTCAAGCAACTGGGTTTGTAGCACTTGATCTGTTTCACAGAAGTTATCATCGGTACATACGGTCGTCCTTCAGCGAGTCATACTGTGCCACGGCTTAGCTCACGGAGGCACGATAGCCAGCGGTCTCCGCAGCTAACATTCTTCCCAAGAACACAACTGCTTGCGTAGTCTCAAAGCTTGATTACTCAAGTCGTGTCTCCTACTCTCCTTGCAGTAATGGTTTCGGTGCTTGAGGATCCATTTCTTGTCCTTGGAGATTGGGCACTAGTCTATGCCCTGGCGGAGGTTACGGTATTACCTATTTAGGTCCCAACTGACACCGCTTCTACAGGTCCTTTCCATTGAGGACGGTCTGTCGCAGCTTTTTAAATTGGAGGCTAACCATGTGTGCAGCTATGCTTTCCCGTAATGAAGAGGCTTTAATGAGTATCATGAAAGTCATAAAGAACGTCGACAGGATAGCCCGTAATGTAGGTTTAGGACGCTGGGATGCGTGCTGAACATTTAGCATGCAAGGGTCCCACAGGCGTTAACCATTGAGCTACTCTTTCGCAAAATTCAGAGCATTGCTGTAACCTCGTGTTGCCGAATCTACTTTGACGGACTGCACAGGAAGGTTTCTCCGGAGAGGGCATTGAAGGCCTCTACGGAACTATCGGCTTTAACGGCCAGATGGTCCTAACCTTCAACCTCATGAGGCATGGAGACCTTCCCAGCAATATGTTACGACGGAAGCCCGGCCACGGACCAGTAGTGGTGGACTTCGGCGCTGGGATTGGACGGTAAGGGTGAACAATCGGCCGGGATGCCGGAAACGACGCACTCCGTGGTAGTGGCGCTGCCACTCCCAAGTTTCCCGAGGTTTTCAAAAGGGAGCGGGGCTTCAGCATGACAACATGAATGCTTTGCTGCTCGCCGGGCGCTTTACACGGCCACTTTACCGTCTAGCACCACTAGTTGTCGACAGGAAATGCACCCTCGTTAGCCCTCCTCGCAGACCCTACCCGCCTGCCCGCTTCCGACCTACCCTCGCCCCTTGCAGCCCGCTGCTGCTGTGGACGATGCTCAACATTGTGGAGCGGGCGGTTGGGTTCGAGCTGGACGCCTTCAAGGTGCAGGGGCCTGGGATGGCTAGGCTGGGTTAGCTGGTAAGGGGTGTCAGCTTTACTCCAGATCCGACCAGACATGACTTCGGCTCCCGACCTAGTCGTACCGACTTGGCTTCTGGCCTCCCACTACCCATCCCACCCCGCCCCCGCCCCTCCCCCACCCCTCCCTTCATGCTCTGCAGGTGACGGGTGCTGCGACGTACACTGAGTGGATGCTGCATGAAGCCGTACACGAGAGGGGGCTGCCGGTACGGCGGGAGGCGCCGCGGGTGCTGCAGCGAGACCTGCTGCAGGTGCGGGGAGTACGGGAGGGACGGCTGGCTCCTGTTTCCTAGGTTAGGGAGACTGCCTTGGGGAGGGCGGTTTTGGCGCATGCCACCCCAAGTTCGCGCGGATTAAATTTGAATGAGTAGTCCCGTTGCCCTTCTGCCTCCATGCACCCCTACCCTCCCCCTTCATGGCCCCAGCCGCCTTCCTCCCTTGTTCCTTACTGCCTCCCCTCGAACCCAGCTGAGCCCCGCCGAGGTGGCTGCCCACCGGCCCACCCTGGGCTACAGCTTCTGCGCCGGTGTCAGCCCGAAGCCCAAGCGCCGCATCGGGGACATATTCAGGGCGGTGGAGAGCATGAGGGTGGGCCGGGTAGTCGGGGGAAGGGGTGGGGGCAGCGTGCGGGGTGGCGGGAAGACCGGGTCGAGCGTGTGCGCCAGACGCAGGTGTATCCCTCTTGCTCCCGGACAGGAGTTTCGCAAACCTTCACTGCGTAACGTGCTGTGACACTCTTCGGGACGGCTTGCAGCTGGGGTCTTGACGCGCTGATGTGGTCCCTGGCGTTGCGACCGCAACACAGCACCGCATGCACTACCGCTGGCCCTCCTCGCGACAGCACAGCGGAGGCGCCCCGCCCCTGCACCCCATCCCTCCGTCCCGCGCAACAACCCTCCCTTCCCCGCCCCCCCTCCCCGCTGCTGTCAGCAGGTGCTGGTGGTGGTGGACTATGGCAAGCGGAACGCCGTGCGGGCGCTGTTCGGGGACCCGGAGGAGGAGCAGCAGGGGGAGCAGCAGGGCCCCGGGGAGAGGGTGGTGCTGCACCGCACGCTGCGGGGGCTCAAGCCAGTGGGTGGGTGGCGGGGTGGCGGTTAGGGGTGGCCAGGGGGAATGCGGAGGACCGAAGTGGCGGGACTCCTAAACTTCTTTATACGGATATGTAGCATGTCATGACGCTTAACCAGTCAGCGTGTCCTTGCGTACAGCACGCTGGCCTAATCACTCCTGCTCTGTCCCCTCCCTCGCCCCCCTGCACCCACCATGCGCCAGGCAACAACGGCACCTACACCGCCTACATCTTCCGCAAAGAGGAGGGGGAGCCGCGGCGGTGAGGAGCTGTGGGACGACCTGGACGAGGTCCGCTGCACACGTGGCTGATCACCACCCACCTGCATGATCAGCGCACCGTGGGGTGAGGGGGCGCCCCGCCCAGTCGCAGGGTTGTTGAGGACTCGCAGGGCATCTGCATGTGTTTCGGCAGGACTGGGTACTTGCATGTGTTTGGTGCGGGACTTGCAGGCGTGTGAGGAAGGCAGTAAAGGTATGCTTGAACTCTATTCGGATAGCAAATTGACGTCAGCAGTTGACATGCAGGAGGTCGCAAGGGGGTGTTGCTGTTGTTGTAAAATGGAGCATGTTGGCATGTACGGCCATTCGTTGTTGTGCACTGCAGTGTTTGTTAGCGTTAAGGCAGGTTTGCAAGCTTAGCTGAAGATAGGGTATGCATGGAGGTGCAGGGATTGGGTGTATTTGTTGCATGAGGTGCATCACTGGGTTTTACTCGGCAGGGATTCTGAGCGTTGCATAAGATGCTTTAGTTCCGCTCATTGACATCTGTGGTTGCTCAGTACCGGTGGCTTACCGTAGTAGTGGGTGCTGGTGTCGTACGGTTGGCCGTGGTAGTAGCGCGACGCAGTGGGGCTGCTAGGACTACCGTTAGGAACGAGGGACCAGCGTGATGCGACAACTGCTTTGTACTTGTGTTGGACGTACGGCTAACGTACCGAACCGGTGCAGTTCCTGGCTGGGGCTTAGGATACGCGTTTTGCTCATAGCCCTTAGGCAGGCATCTTCGGAACCCAACTTGCTGCTTGGCAACTCTTGGGCCTCTCCCTCGCTACATTGTTTCCAGCAGCTTCAGGAGCCCTGTGTGCCTGATGTAAGCCAAGACCAACAACACCAACTTGCTCCCGAACCCCACTGTCCCCAGGCCCACAGGGAGCACTCCGCATCAACCGCCTCGCATGCCTGCTTCGGCAGCCAAAACAGCAGCGTCCAGCCATCACCCGGAAGCACCCCTCTGTGTAGGACACGCCTACATGGCGCACAATCGCTCCATCATACTAAAGACGCATGGCTAGCGTGCACCCTATACCCAGACAGCGCCTGCCACCCCACCCTAGTGGTCCATTGGCGTTCATCTGCTCTATGCCAACCAGCCATTATTCAGAACGCACCTCCTACACTAGAGGAAGCCCTATGCATCACCCGCGTACACAGTTAACCATGCAAGCTGCTGCGGCAAGCAACAACCTCACGACCTGCAACAGTACGCTTCGAGACCGTCACGCACGTACATCCAGTGCTTCACCGATGATTAGATAATTGCCGAAGGTTACCTTTGCGGCACCCTGCTTCGCCAGCGGGAAAATAGCACCTGCTGCCAGGCCACACCGGGCCATGCGACCTTTCCCGCCCATCCAACTACCCCAATACAAACATCGCGTCTTCCGACAATCACAGTGCGTTCTTCCTCACTAACACACACACTCATATCACACACACTGACAATCCATTACGGTCTTATTCGCGGCCAGCCTTCTTAACACCCAAGCATGCAGGGCCAGCGGCACACCAGTGACAAAGGCGGCAGATGCTGCGGGTTGCAGCTGCACGCAGCACTTCTAAGACCTCTCCCTCACCGCCTGCTTTGGCAGCTGAGGCACCACCTCCCGCAGCGTGCCCTAAACGTGCGCGTCCCGGGGCCACTCTGCCAACATCCGCAGAGCTTCTGCTAGCCGTGCCTGACCCGCTGCACCTGCCTCCTGCCGCTGCCGCTTGCGCGCGTTCGACCAGCCTTCCACCACACCTGCTCCCCCACCTCCCCCCGCCGCGGCCCCCCGGCCCCCGCCCGCCAGCTTCTCCAGCAGCTCCCTCCCCTCCAGGGGGCGGCCCAGCGCCCGCTGCTGCGCCTCCAGCTCGTCCAGCACCGGAGCCAGCTGCGCCACGAAGCCCCGCCGCTCCTCTGCCGACAGCGCCTCCCAGCCCCGGGCGGCCTCCTCAGCCACCTCGCCCTCGCTCAGCTGCAAGCACACAGCGGCGGGGGGGACGGTGGCGGCAGGTGCCTTTGCTGCCGGAGTCCTTGTTAGGGCTGTCCTCACTGCTGCCGCCTGTGTAGTCCCTGCTCTGGCCTTAGTAGTCCCTGTCTTGGCTGCTGGCGATTTGGTTTGCTTTGCCCTTGCCGCCGCTGGCCTGCCCGGACCGTCCTCTTCCTCCTCCAGGCCCCCGCTCAACTTTTCATCCTCCTCATCCTCCTCCTCCTCCTCCTCCTCCTCCTCCACCCGGTACTCACTGTCACTGCCAGTGCTGCTCTCGCCGCTGCCGCTGCCGCTGCTGCTGCTGCTGCGCTGCTCGCTCTCCAGCGGCGGCTCCCGGCTGTAGTAGCTGGCACCGAAGTAGCCGTCCTCCGAGTCCAAGCCACCTGAGTGGGTGCCGTAGCTGCCAGAGCTGTAGCTGGGACCGTTGCTGATGTAACCGCTCGAGCTTTGGCTGCAGCTATCGGAACTGTGATCGTACGCTCCTGAGCTGCGACCACCGCTGCCACCGCCTCCTCTGTCCTGGTCGTGTGGGCCCCTGCCTCTGCTAACGGTGTTCGATGGAACATGTCCGTTATCCGGGATTGCCTCCTCGTCCCTATCTCTTGAGCTCCGTGCCCCTCTATCCGCGCTGCTGCTGCTACTGCTGTCATCCCCACTGCTGCTGTTATCGCTGTCCCCACTGCTGCTGTTATCGCTGTCCCCACTGCTGCTGCTTTCCTCGCTCTCCCCGCTGCTGCTGCTGCCGCTATCACCCCCATCGCTGCTCTTATCGCTCTCCCCGCTGCTGCTGCTGCTGCCGCTATCACCCCCACCGCTGCTTTTACCGCTTTCCTCTCTGCTACTGCTGCTGCTATCATCCTCGCTGCTGCTGCTGTCATCCTGAGTGCTGCTATTGCTGACATCCTCAGTGCTCTTGTCCCCGCTGCCCGTGCTATTGGGGCTGGTGCCTCTATCGTCACGCTGAAGGCCGGTCTCCTCCACTCCAATATAAGAGGCACATTGCAGCTGGAGCGTGGCTGCGTAGCTTACTAGCACCACGAATAGTTGACGCGCAAGGGCCATCCGGGATTCGTCGACGGGAGGCGACGAAGGGGCGGCGGCACCGCGCACATTCACTTGAACGCCCCCCAGCAACTGTAAGGATTGGGAGATGCAGTAGGTGGAAGCTGGATTAAATAGGGCTAAGGTTTGATTGTACCAGGATGGCATTTTATCCACCCAAGTATACCCGTGAGACCAGAGCCGAAAGTTTGGTGGAGTCTTTGCACTGGGGAAAGGCGACTTCTAAAGCCGCCAACAGGCCCAGCACCGCCTGCCGGAAGGACAAGAAGTGGATGTCAGCGAGCATGGCAGTAGTCATCACCCGCCAAAGCTAACCGTGCTTGCCATCTCCTTGGTCACAGGCTCATCCAAAGGATTGCCGCGCTTTGGTGTCATATTCTGCCCAGCACTTCCAGTTCTAAAACAGGCTAACAAGGATATATAATTTTGGCTAAAGGCACCGCTGCCGCTAGGCTAAACGTTCTATAATAACATAGTGCAGCTTTCCAAATGAAAGTCGTATTTTCGCATCAGCTTTCGGGAGGCGGCCAAGAAGATGGCTAACGAAATGTAGGCACATACATAAGTGGATCGCGTCCAAACACAGATTTTGAGCTTGGTGAGCTTGCTAGAGCAAAAGACACTAACTTTCAGCCACGCTACCTGGCTGTGCGCGTACCGTTACGCATATCGGTTGGTTGTACATGTTGGTTGTCGTTCATTTAGTCATGAACACATCGGGCGCATACTGGCCTACCTATGCCTATAACGGGATGGTCTTCGGTTAATGATTTCAGGTTGGCCGTGTCGATGTTGGAAGGGTTTGGGAAGGGATCTGTCAGGCTTGCATGTTCGGCAGCACAGGGGCCGACAGGCCATCAGCCTGTCTGGTCAGCCTGCACATGGTCTGGTGCACGCCTTGTATGATAAGGGTACCTCCTCCAGCAATTAACTACACCAATGGTACATGCTTGCCCGCCTACCGGTATACTTTCAAATTCACTGCCAGCTCACCCCGCTTCAGCGCCGAACGCCAATGGCTTGCGGCAGGACAAGGGTCCTGACAGCATACCTGCTCTCCACGTGGCCCCGAGCTCACGGTCGATCGGACAGTTCACACGGTGGATGGCGGCTACAGCGCAGTTATCGGCTCCCACCCAGTTCAAAAAGGACCATCAAGCAGGCTAACAGATCCAACAGCGTGTATTCATATCCACGTCCTGCCTAGCCCATGCAAGTCCCGCTGCTGCCACCCTCCAGGATCGTTACCTACACCACTTGCAGGCCGCACCCAACAGTCGCCCTCTACACCCTTCATGCCCCCCTGTGGCCTGGGACCACGACAGGGGCAGCCTGGATGGCCACCTATCATGCCATCACCATATTATCGGGATGCCTAGCATGAGTTGTACACAGTAGGTTTCAACCGGGACCTTCATGCTGCATCGTTGACTAGAGAACAGGTCTTGTAGTACCGGTAACAACCCCACTCAGGCACTCAGGACCCCGCCCTCCCCATCCACCAGGGACTCCGCCCTCCTCACCCCGCCAGTCCCTTGCACGCTCGCCCCGCCCACTGCTACCGCGACTGCCGCCTGCTCCGCAGCTGCCCGCCCCGCCACCGCTCCTCGCCTTGCACCAGGCTCTCCACCGCACCCACACCGCCCCCCTCCGCCGCCAGCGGACATGCCACCAACAACGGGCGGCGGCAGACCCCGGACCGACTGACAGCGGCTGCCCCCGGGCTCCCTGCTGCACAGTGGCCTTCCGCAGCACCCCGCAGCCGCCGCAGCGGGGAGGGCAGCAGACCCGCGGCCTGCCGGCGGTGCAGGGCGGTGGAGAGGGAGGTAGGAGGGCCCGGTCAGGTGCAATGGGTCGTTGCTGGGTTTCCCGCAACAGGGCTGGGTGGCAGCGCTGGAGGCGGGGAGTACAGTCGGGGACGTATCTTGCTTCCAGTTGCTCGGCACCACGTACCCCATGCCCCCCGTCAGCCCGCTTCAGCCCAGTCCCACCCACCCGACCCCACCCCACCCGCGCACCCACGTGTCAGCTCGCCGACACGCGGTGACCACCTCCAGTCCGCCCCGCAGCAGCAGCGCCCCCCCCAGCCCCTTCGGCGTGCGGCCGCCGTCTGCAGGCTGCTGCTGCTGCTGCTCAGGCTGCGAAACAGCTGACGGAGCCTGCTGAGGAGTTGCCTGTATTGCAAGTTGGGGTGGCGGCGCTAATGTGGGCTGCAGCGGCTGTTGCTGCTGCTGGGTCAGCTGCATGTGCGGGAGGGGTTGCTGCGGGGCTCTAGCGGGTTCCACCACCACCACCACCACCACCACCCCGTCCACCTCAGCCGCCTGCTGCTCGGCACCTGCCCCCGAGTCCAGCGCCGCCTGCTCCAGCAGCACCGCGAACGAGTGCAGGGAGGGAGGGCGGGCAGGGAACCAAGCAGTTGCTGCGGCGAGCCGGAGGGCAAGCCGTGGACCACCAGCTTGTGGGGAGGTAAGGTAGGCGGGAACAGGAAGTTGGTAGTGATGGTGAGGAAGGGAGGTGGGAAGGAGGCGGGTGCAGGGTGAGAGAAATGGAGGTGGTTACGTCACCCGTCGCGACGGTTCCTCTCCCAGCAGCCCTGTCCGAGGCTTTGCCAACGCGGCCGTGTCCTCATGGGTGTTGCTGCGGTTGCTGAGGCTCGGCTGACTGCACTCCGTCTCGGACCAACAGCTCCCATACCGGTGTACAAACTCCTTTGCCCAGCCGTGTCGCACGCTTACCTTCATCCACATTGCCCCACCCACCCACCCACACGCTGCACGCACAGCTGCGGGGGAACCCCCCATTCCTGCGCTCGGGGCGCACGGGGAGGGCGGTCGGCGCTGTGGCAGCTGCTGCGGTGGTGGCACGGGTAGCTGGGGTAAGCAGTCGCTGCGCAAGGGGTGGTGGCGGCTGCGCTTGCGGCCGCACCTGGGCACCGCCCCGCACCTGCTGGACCCCGAGGAGAGGGCAGGAGGAGGGGGAGGGGAGGAGGCGTCAGCGGTACCTGCAGTGGCGCCGTGCGCATGCAGGGTGGGGCCTTGCATGCGGTCTGCAGTGCTAGGCGGTGGAGGTGGCGGTGTCTGCGGGGGCGGCGAGGGGAGCTACACTGGGACGTGTACAGCAACAGAGGTGTGCATGGGGGTAAGCCCGGTGCTTGCTGTTTCCCACACGCCCCGGCCTCCGGACCTGCCGTGTGCTCGATGCCGCCGCTGCTGGCGGGAGGGGTTGTCCGCTGGCCCTGCTGGTTGGCGGGTGGGACAGCGGGGATTGCTTGCACGCCCGAGGGCCGAAGCCCCAAACCTCCAAACGCACACGCAGCCCATGACAAGGTGGCGCTGGCGTTTTCTTGGGGCCGCATCCTGCAAGCGCTGGCGTCCCCACCCCTGCGGTGTGTCCCTTTGTGAACACAAGCACCCTGCGGCGCAGCTGCAAGCCCCTCAGCACCGCGTTTCCGTACTCCATTGCTGCTTACCTCCCGCATACAGCCGCTGCTACATCCCTCCCAAGATCCCGCCTGCCGCGCAGGGCTCCTTCCCTGCCGCAACTTTGGGCTGCAGCCCGCAATCCTGGGAACAGCCTGCAAGAGGCACGTAAGAGAAGCGAGTGGGGTGGAAGGAGAGATAGACGCCAGGGAGGGGGAGATGCGAACGACCATCCGCGTACCCCGGCAGGAGTGAACATACTCCCCGTGTTGCATGGGGGCTCGGAACGCTAGTCTGCCGCTGTAAGGGAGCCGCGTGCTGCTGGTGCATGCGGCTACCGTTGCATGACTGTTCCCCCCTACCGACTCCTCCTCTACCGCCAACGCAGCCCCCTCCCCCCTCCCCCCCACCTCCCCCTCTCCTCTACACCTCCTCCCACTTTGCGGCAGCCCCTGAGTGCGCTTACCATGTGCGGTTAAGCCGCTGCTACCCAGCCCGCGCACTCCTCACACGCATCCGACCCGCACCTGCAGGACCCCGAGGAGAGGGCAGGAGGAGGGGAGGAGGGCAGTGTCGGGGGTTCAGGGCAGGACGTAAGCCGCTACCAGGTACGGGAGGGAGGCCGGATTGGAATGGGACGTGTGCGCGCGGGGGCAGGCCGGGGGGGGGGCTCTTACCCTGCCCCCCCTTCCCTACACCCCGACAGCAACCTCCTCTCCGGCAGCAAGCAGCGCCCACGCACGGCTGCCGGCTACGTAAGGCAGGTACGGCAGGACGCATCGCGTGCACGACAACCATCACCCTCACTCCCCTCCCCTTGGTCGCGAAACCCCGTTCACGCCCTCGTTTGGCGGCCGGCTCGTCCCCTCTCCCCGCCTCACCTGGCTTTGCAGCGCCGAGACGGTGGTGGTAAGCAGCGTCCACGGGGCAGTAGGGACTGCATCTGAGGGGGGAGACGCCGGAACGAGCTGAGAGTGGGGGCGGGTGCCGGTAAGCAAGAAGGGGTTGACGAACTAAGCGGCCCATCATCCCCCCCCGTTGTAGCGCAACATAAGGAAGACTGGCAGTGACGTACCAGTGCGAAGGCGTTTTGGTTTCCGGAGGTGAAACCTAGCAGGAAAAACCTGGCAGGACGGGGGGACAAAAGGAATGACGACTGCGCGCAGGGTCGGGTGGGCGGGCTCGTGCCTGCCCTGGCCTCCCTTCCCCGTCTCCTACCTCACCTGGCCTACAGCTTGCTGCGCGGGGCGGGGCGGTGTTGGCGAGCAGCGACCGCGGGGCTGCAAGGAGGGGATCGGGGAGCAGCAAGAGCGGGTGACGGTAGTAGGCGGGGGCAAGGGAAGAGGTAGGCGGCTTCCTCCATCCCCCTGGGGCAGCGCAACACAAGCAGTGGCGCACCAGTCGCAAGGCATTACAGTCAGCGGTGGTGGCCGCAGCACTGCACTCCCGCCCCCCTTGTCACCTGCCGCTCTGCCTCCACTCCGGCTCGCCTGGTACCCCGAGTACAGTCCGCATCGCCGCAGAGGCGCCGTCCTTGACCGCTACAATGGTGCCGTCCTTATTGTCTTTCTGTGATAATGTGTTTCTGAACATAACCGCAGTGGTGTCAGTACAAGATATACCGGACTGGCCCATATCCGAGGGTGCTTTTCAAGGCATGTCGATGGAATACTTGGAAGTACTGTGCGCCTAAAATGTGTGTCTCGGCGCCTGAGTTTTTGGAGTATTCGGAAAGCGCAGGCCATTGGCGGACGTTAATTGCTAGGGTGTTGCGCACAGTACGGTCGCTTTATTACGCACAGCTCATACCACAAAAGCGCATAGCCAATCGTGTGAAGGTGCAATGTCTGCACTGACTTTTTCTAACGCAGAGCCATTTACCGTAACGTATCTTTTCTAGCTGCTGCGCCGCTGCAGCTCTCCGGTCCTGCTGATCGCATTGACGGGGTGCTGCGGCGGCTTGTACGAGGGAAGGAGCTGGCGGGAGCCAGGTTGCTGACAGCTGATGAACACTTGGAGGCAGAGAGGATGAGGAAGGAGGAGAAGGCTGCAGAAGAGAGGCAAAAAGTAGCTGAAAGGGCAAGGCACGTGCAGAGGAGAATACGCAGCGCAGGAAAGCACAGAAGGCGGCAGCACAGCAGCGCAGGGAGCAGCGTGTGGTGGATACAGCAGCAGCAGCAGAGCCTTACCCGTGGCCGTGGCCGGGGTCGTGGTCGTGGTCGGGACCGGGGCCGGGGCAGGAGTCTTGCGGCAACCTTTGCCGCAGCGGCAGACAACACGGCAGCGGACAACTTAGCGAGCGACATTGTGGCAGCAGTAGACCAGCTGGACCTAGCCAGCCCAGGGCTGTGCGGCAGGGGCGCGGCCAGCGGAGGCGTGATGATGACAGCGAGTACGACGACGGCGTGCACTTCGCGGAGGAGGGGGAGGCTGGAGATGTGTCGGCGCATGAGAGTGGGTGCCCAAGTGAGGACGTTTCCGTGGACTAGTTGCGTGCATGGGGAAGAAGGGCGTGTATGCAGGGTATATAAACAGTTTTACTGCAGGATGCTAAGCTTCTGTATTCTTTGCCATTCAATTTTGGGGACGTGTGTGCCGCTTGGCACGGTGCCCTTGGCATTCTGGCTGAAACATGCTGTGTCTTGCGGTTGCCCGACGCCATAGCCGATAGGGTGCTATATCGTGTTCATTCGTATATAATTGGCATTCGGTGGGGAAGCTTTTTGTGTTTGAACGCGTGGAAAATGCTGGCAATCTGGTTGACATGTTGACGCTAACAGCACCAACGACGTTCCTATGCCCACAAACGGACGTGGGTGAGCTCCGTATTAATGTTGTAAGAGGTTATGATGGTCGGTTTGTAGTATATTTGCATAAAACGACATTTTTCGTAGGTTTGTCCCATATTAGGTCGCCGCAGCAGCGATTTGGCTGGGAACTTACTTTGGGTCATAATGTTCACCAGTACCCGCCCAGCGACTGGCTGCTTCTATACAGTTGTTACTTACATATAGAGGATCCTATTCGTCAAATAGTAGTGCGAATGAAGAGTTGTGCAGCGTGTACAGGTTACTTTAGCAGTTAGGACAGCAATTGCGCCCTTTATCCATCACCACTAAAGTATACTTTAGCAACGAAAGAAGTCTGTGCACTTGCATGTAAGTAATAGGTGTTGGCTGAGGCCCGAACACCTTTTGCCGTATGCAAGGTGCGATATCCCGTATTTAGCGCAATGGCTCCTCGCATGCTAGACCATTCAGCAAGTATGCTATAGCAGTGTGAAAGCGTCTACGTGCAACCCCCTGCTGGGCGAAAAACTTCGTATTTTGTTCCTATGTCTGACAGCTTGCTAAAGCGCGATTCAGGTGCAGTAGTTTTTTCCATAGAGCTTTGTTTTCAATATAAGTAAAGATCTATGTTATCTATCTGCTAGCGATGTTCACACCATGTGGGACCTTGTAGTAGGTGGTGCTGCGAAGTAACCGTAAATGAAGCCGCTGCAATAGATAGCGACCCATCAGACTTTAACAATATGACTTTCTAGCAGCTAGAGTTACAGCGCTTGTCGAACGGTGTTCTTGGCTGCCATGGTAGCTAAATCTATAGCGGAGTCAAGCTACGCCGGGAGCGGTGGTTCCTCGGCTTCAACAAACTCAAGGCGTGTGCGGTAAGAATAGGCTGAGTCTACCTTACGAACCGAACCTAGTGCGTAGGGTCATTCTGCTATCCAGCTGACGTAGGTTTCTGTATAAAATAAATGAACGAAGAGATATATGGCAAAGTCATATTCCTATATGCATATATCCGCTTGGCATTTGAGACAACAAAAAGACAACGCCGATAACGATTAGGGAACAGTGTGCCTGTCAGTGGCGGCCTTAGCCAGGAAACATGACGCCAAAGGGGTCGCATGAAATCCTTGGGCAATAAGCAGTTTGCTCTTTGTTGCGCTTCAACTGTAGGGTTGGCCAGGAGTCACAGGATGGCCAAGGTGAAAACCTCTTAGAACGTCGGTCTTCGCTAGAGGTAAGGTACAGCGCTTCTTAGCCGTTCTAGAATATAATATTGCTTTTGGCATTCATGCATGTTGCTAAATCCTAGAATTTTGGCTGAAAAGACCCTAACTGCCAGCTAATCGCTATTCAGCAATTGCCTCCAAGCTTTTATTAGGACAGACGCGCTGTTGTGGACTCGTTTGCTGTATGATGACGCTTAGGGCGGATCATGGAGCAGCGGGGTTTGTCCTTGGTTGTTTCGCACTTCTGAAATCGCCATGTACCATGAATGCCTGTTTGCTGGGAGCATCTCTGATGTGGAAACCAGGACGCCATTTTCGTGTTCGTGTTCACTAAAGAAGTGTACCGTTGCACTGCAGAACGGAATCTTCGGCGTCTTGTTTACCCTCAGGTGGGTCCTTCAGTCTGCTCCACCTCCCGTCAGTAGGCATGTGCTCCCTTTATCAGTCAGTGACCCGCCTCTCTTACACCTCTCCTTCCCCTGACACACGATGACCTACCAGTAAGGAGAACAGCGAGTCACACATCCGCATCCGCTGGGTGCTTGTTAAGATCCTGCTGGACGGCTGGCAGCTCTTCACCACTGTCATATCACCCGCGGAACAGGGATGGGCAATCAAGAGCAATGGAATGTGGGTGGTACCGAAATGTCGATCACCCACCGCTGATGTGATTGATCTCACAGCAGTCTGATTGAGCGTGTCCACCCATGTATGGCGCAGCTGCAATCTGAATTCCGTCTCCTCACACCTCACAGGGCCTGGTCAGTGGTCTCAGTGCTCAACTTCACCTGGCTAGCGGATCTGGTGAGCTGCTTGCCTGGGGCTGCATGGATTCTGTACAGCAACCGGATTTGCGACACGAGCGTGTTGATGCTGCGCTTGGCGTAATGGGCACACGGAGGGGCGCCATGCTGCGCCTGTCGTGGTGCCCTGTCCATGGAATCCGCATCCTCCATCCTCCGTTCAGTATGATTCCTTGACACGGGCATGTTCGAGATCGCGGCTTCCCGGCCACCATTTCCCCACCTGCCCCTCAGGGCTACGGTGCCTACATTGCCGTGCTGTACCTCATGCTGACCCTGCTGGCGGTCAACGTGGGCATGTGCGTGTGGGTGGCCTGGTGCTTCAAGGAACAAAAGTTCCCTGTTGTGTGGCCCATCATGGTGGGTGGTATTAGATAGGGGTGCAAGGCCTTATTGGGATGCTTAGTGCGCCTGGATTCAGTTGGGGATAGCCGTATAAAGCCGAACTTGGTTAGCATAGCTGCCAACCGTTTCGTGACTCGTGGTATCACGTCTCCGTGAACCCTGGCAGGTTCTGCGGATCTTCAGCAGCGTGTTTTTCCAGGCGTTCGATGTGGCGTCGCTGAACCTGCTGCAGGTGGGTGGGTGGGGTGCGATGCTCGGCAATGCGCCCATGACATTATGTTAGGGAATCCGTCCGGATGTGCGCTGTTGCTTGTTTGTCAGTGCAAGGTGGTCCTGTCCACAAGGGAGGCACACCCGGAAGGCCCGGGTAGCAGGGGAGGAGGGTAGAACGGTATGTTGCACATGCAGGCGCCGTGCTTGGAAGCCCGAGCCAAGAAAATGCTGCAATGACCTTGCCTGCATGCATCCGCTGGCGTGCTTGCATGCTATCGGGCAAGTTCAGGCTAGATTGTTCCTGCTACCGTAAACACCTTCGCTTCCTACCCTACCGTAACGCTGCCCCAACGCAGCTCGGCATCAGCTGCCGCTACACGGGCTACGTACAACCTCATCTGCACTTCAACCTCTTCCCACAATACAGTGAGTGCTGGCCAGGAGAGGCCAAGTATTTTGGCCTCTCCCTGCGCTTTCCTGCGTCTGCCTTCGGCGCTACAGCCGTATGTCAATTGCCGGCCCGTCCTTTCTCTCGCAGGCTGCAGCGCCGCGCCACACATCCTGCACGCCATTGTATCCGGGCTGTGCCTGATGCTGTTCGTGGCCATTGCGCTGCTGCTCAACATGGCGGAGGTGAGGGTGGGGGCATGGGTTTGCTTCATGGCAATACGTGAACTGGGTGGAGGTAAGGGGGCTAGCAAAGGAGGGGGGCTAGCACTCGGCAGTTAGACGTTGCTTGGCCACTCCGCAGAGGCATATGTTCGTTAGGGCCGCTTAGAACCGTTATGCTTTCCCACTCCCTTGCTTGTGCCCCTGCAGGTGGAGGTCAACCCCAAGTCACGACGGCCGCTTGCCCTCGGTCACAGCGGGGCAGAATTGGCGGCTTTTGCCATTAAGGTCCGTGCATTCTCCGGTGCTTGCTGCCGGGTCTTGTTCATAACAGCATGCTTGACCAGGCTCTCATGGCCGTGATGCTCGAGGCGTGGAATGGCACATAAAGCCCTTTGCCCCGCATATGGCATACATGCAGGTGCTGTTAACGCTGGTCAACGTCTTCTTTGGCTGGAGGCGTGTGGCTGCCTGCTGCTACCTTGCGCTCTCACTGGCCCTCGTTTACCAGTACCTGCGATGGGTAAGTGCTCGCAGCGTAAGGGGCCGTGCGCCTATCCAGGACTGCTTACCTACCTTGGCTTACCACTCAATGCCTTGCCTACCCGTCATTGCACACCGCGTGCCATACATCCACACGCCCCCCCTTATCCCTCACCACCCGCCAATACGCACGCTCCGCCCACTTTGAACGGCCCCCCGCAGAGCCCCCACCTGGTTGCCTGGGTCAACTACCTGAAGACGGGCGTATCCACCACCGTCGTGTGGTGTGCGGCAACACTCATGCTGCTGGTGTTCGAGCCCGGGGTGAAGCAGCAGGATCGGGAACACTGGTCGAAATTGATGACCGTGCTGATGCTGTCGGGACTGGCGCCTGCTTTTGGAGCTGGCGTGCTGATGTCCCGCACCATGATCCGTCACCTGACCAACAAAGCTTTTAAGTCTGTTGTGTAAGTTTCGTGTGGGTCACGGGTGGGGAGGTGCTTCTTCTGGAAACTCCCGTGCGCTTGGTACCCACACATGCTCTTAACTCTCTTGCGCAGGAACGCCCCTCCCGAATGCCAACTAATGGACTTGTTGGACGTGGACGGCCCACGGGACATCGAGATTATTGCAAGGTGCGGGTTTAAGTTGCCCATTTACAATTTGTCATCAGGTTGTGAGCTTGTCAGCGCCTGTGACTGTGATTAAACAAGGCCTGCTCTTCATGCAGGTGCTGCCGTGTGTGGAAGGATATGTACACGCTCGAGCCCGACGGTATTAGTAAGGCCCTTCACTTCATCAAGGTATGTGAGGTGTGCGAGCATTCCCGCCGTTGGCCTGTGCTCATACCTAAACATAGCATGCACCTGCATGACAAGACCACAGTTCTAGGCGCTGCTCGCCTTCCTTGAACCGTACTCAGACCCCGGATCCCTTTCCTATGCAAGACCCTCAAGGCCTGGAAGTACTGGCCCGTTGTGTTTGCCCATCGAACACCAAGCCCCTCCTTACCTCGCCCCTCTTACAATGGAGCAGGCTGGCCTGGCCAGATTCCCCGCCAGCGCCTACATGGTCCTGCTGCACGCCAACTTCATGATTGACGTGCTGGGGGTCAGCCAGAGTGGCAGCCGTCGTATTGAGGTGGGCCTGGAAACTAAGGCCTTTGCGTCTGGTTACGGCAGTATCCGCCTTCCCAACTGTTATGCATCGTCATGTACGAGCAACCCCTGTAGCATTGGCCCCACAGACCGCACATACAGCCCAAATGCATCCTGCGACTCCAAGTTCCTTTCCAACTCTACTCGGGTGTAAACGTGGATTTGCAAGCGTTAATACCTGTCCGTATCTGCGTGCAGGATGCGAGGAAGCTAAATCCTGGACTCATGTGCCGCTTTATCATGTTTGTACGACAACAGCAAGCCACGGTAAGCTTTTGAAGCTCTAGAAGCGTGGGCTACTGTGTAGTCCCTGCCTATCCCACAGTCCCGGCCTGCTGACACTGAAATAGCCGTTTGCAACTATTGTGCCGGGCCCCATTCTTGCTCCTCTTGTTTGCCGCAGCAAAAAGCCGCAGGTCACAGTGCCAATGACGGAGCTAACATGGACCTCCTGGGGTGAGCTTGCGGAGGGAATGGCTAGACGTTTGCAGGGTTACCTTAGGGCTGTAAAAGCTAGGCCCACACTACAGCATAGCGGGTGGGGTTACGGTTAGCTGTACATAATAAAGGAAATGAATAAAACCTGTCTGTCACAGCCAAATACTTGTTAGTGCCTTCCGACCCGTACGCCCTGCATCCTGAACCCCACGTGCTCTCTGACTAGACTTTGCATGCGTGCTCCTGAAACACGGGCATGCTGGCCTTGGCTGTCGCCCTAGCCATTGCCTGTGTCACAGCATCACCTTGGCGACCGCACCGAGTATGAACGCAACTCCCTTTTGCCAATCTCAATTGATTGACATCGCAGCTATGTGGAATACCAGCGCAAGCAGCGCATGGTCATTCGTCTGCACCGGGAGGCGCTGCAGGCCATGTGCAACTTCTGGTGAGTGAGGACTGCCTCATCCTTCTGTGGAGACCGTCCTTGCACAGGGGGGTAGTAAATCAGGGTCTGATGTTGGTGTAGTTTGAAATTTAGGGTCGTTTGCTAGGTCCTAAGCCCCCTGCTACGGCGGAAGGTACTTTCTTTGAAGCTCTTTCGGGTTCTTGGATTTTTTTATTGATTGTTTGGCTGTTTGGATATCGCAGGAAAGCACTGGACATGTCGACTGTGTCATTTACGCAGCTGAGCAAAGCGCTGGGAAAGATTGAGAGCTCCGTCTCGCAGGTGGGTGGCTGGGTGAGCTGGATCTTCAACCGCTGGCAGTAATGGCTTAATCAAAAAGGATATCGCCCCTTGCTGCTTGTCCTTATCGACGTCTGCGGCAGCAGCAGTTAAAGGGCACTTGTTTGCGGGATAGTGCTGGTAAAGCTTCCTCTTTTTGGCTTCCTCTTCCTCAGGCTCAGACGGCATACCGTGTCGTGCTCGAGAGCTACGGCAACAACCCCAAGCTTGTGCGTCTGTACGGCAAGTTCCTACAAAACATCAAGAACGACCCATGGGGCGCGGTGAGGCGTACCTGGCTTAAGTCTTTTTTTAGCATGTCATGCTCATCTCCAACCAATTTCATCCTGCGGTGTGACCGACAGGCGGAGTACTTTGCTGAGGCCGACAGGCTAGAGGAAGTGAAGAACAACGACTCTGCGGGTCCGCTGCTGCCTGACGGTATGCCGGGATCAGTTGGAACTGCTGTCGGGGAGAGGAATAGTGCATGCGCACAGTGCCGTACAACAAACAGCATTCTGCAGCACTCCAAATCTTATGTATGTCGCAGCAACAAGGTGCCGGCATTACATCGCCATTGTTCTCGCAGTATGCATCTCTATTTTCCGTTTCTATTTTCCGTTTCGCCAAATGAACTCCACATCACGGGTCACCTCCCTCCCGCCTCCTCCTTACCCCGCCCGCCTCTTGCAGGCACTCCGCTGGGCCGCATGGACGAGATGGACGTGGCGGTGCTGGTGCTCAACTCCACGGGGGACATCCAGATGGTGGGTGCGACGTACACACGTATCCACTGCATATTCTCTTCTGTCACCTTGAGCTACCCTGCCGGGCACGTGCGGTAACTGTCACCAGCAAGCATACTTTCTGAAAACCGACAAGCCTTTGGCCCTTGATGGGGCACTGCCTTTCCTGGCCTTGCGCAAGTGTATCGTGTGGAGTCCATCATTCTCATCCACGCCCCTGCCATCCCACAGGCGAACCGACAGACCCACCACTTATTTGGCTACAAGCGGGGTGAGGGACAACGCCACCCCACGGCAGGGACAAGACTGGAAAGAATCTGCTTCTGCTTCTGCACGAGATGCAAATTTGTATCACTGCAGCACTAATGACGGCTCTAACCATTCATCGCGTCCCTGATCACATGAATACTGCTCCTTATCTTCCTACGTGACATCATGGCCACCGCACGTCTTGTCCTACCTCTGCAGCGCTTAGCAACCCCGCCCCTCAATCATCCTCCCTCACAGGCTACCTCGAGAGCAAGCCCTTGAGCACCCTGCTTGCACCGCACTACAGCCGGCGCCTGTCAGAGCAGCTGGCGTCGTTGGTCGCTACCGGGGACCTGGTGAAGGCGGGCGGAGAAGGACGTCAGGGCGTTGCCAAGGAGCTAATGATGCTGGGTATGCATTCCGACCGGCTGGCGTTCCCGGTCAAATTGTCACTGCGGAAAGCAACTGGTACGTGCTGTCCACCAAGCAGCGACGGTGTGCACCGCGAGAAATAAGGCATGACGACTGGTCGACTGCTTAATAACCTCACACAACTGTGGAAAGCGATGGTGTTGCCACACTAGACACGAGTGATGGCCCTGCATGGGCCGCAAAGCAGGCATGACAACTGGATGTCATGCAGTGTGAGCGCCTGATAGACGTTGCCGCTGTCCTTCGCAGGTGTGGGCGAGGACTCCACCATCCTGGCGCTCATGGAGCCGCTGCCGCCCGCCAAGAACCGGGCAAGCCTGTGGGTGGCGCCCAATGGTAGCATCGTCGCGTGTGACCCACAGTTCGTAGCCAACTTCGGGTAAGCAGGACGCGCACATGTTGTAATTTTAAGGGGACGCGGCTTGTATAACCATATCAGGACATGCATGTGTCACGCAAACGCCGCTCTCGCTAGCGTTCCTGAAATACTGTGCGTGCCTCCACTGACCTGCTGCTGGGCTGGCTACCTTTGTCTATCTGTCGTACACATGTGGATGCCCTGCAGGTGGAAGCCAGCTGAAGTTCACGGTGCCAACGTCACGGCGCTCATTGTCACCCGCACCAAGGAGCAGCTGCTGGCGGATGCAGCAATGGCGCTTGCAGAGATGGGCGACGGCGTTGCTTTGGGGGAAGAGGATGAAGAGGAGGAGCAAGACGAGGACAGGATCGCACGCATGGGAGAAAGCGCCTGCGACCTGATTAAGAGGTGCGAGCCGTCTACTTCAATTAGGTCGGGATAGCTGGGTTACGTCAGAACCTCTGTTGATGGAGGGGCTCCGGCTGTGTTCAAATTAAGTAATGACTACAATACCGTGGCGATGTGGCACGCAGGTTGCAAGCAATTTCCACCGGCCCAAGGCTCCAGCAAGGCCTACAGTGCTATGTAACACACAAGTACGATGAACACCCTATAACATGCATGGTTAGCATCTTCGCAAAAGGTAAGGGCGCCCTCCATATGGTCATTGGGTTGTGTAGACGCTGCGGAGCGAAAGGTAGGATAGCCCTCCATATCAGTGTAAGGAAACCACGGTAATTGTCCGCGGCGAAAGTGTAAGTTAATCGAGTTTCCTTTGAACCCAGTTGCTCTGTGTACTGATGTCTTTCTGACGTTGGTGTACCCCCTTCATCCTCCACAGGCGCTGCTGATTTGGCCGTCCACGAGCTGCGCATCCGCCTGACCGCTGCTGACCCCACGCAGCTCCTTGTGGTCGACCGAAAGGGTGTCATCGCGCATGCATCGTCGGAGCTTGTTGCGAGTCTAGGTGTTGGGATAGTGGGCGCGGGGGCAGCAGTTGGTGCTCCAGCCGGTGCAGTCAGCGCTGTTGGCGCAGCGGGTGCCAACGGCAGCCATGGCCATGCACTGGGTGGTATGGCTGCCCGGGACTTACTACACAACTACGCGTTGACGGATTTCCTGCCGCCGCCGTGGAAGGACATGCACGTCAAGTACATGAAGGTGGGCTCAAGCCTGGTGTCAATGTGGGGAGGTGCGACGGGAGGATAAGTGCGGAAACCGCTTGAGGGAGAGAAGGTTCAGGACCCGACCAATGGCCTTGCACAGTACGCCTAATCCTATAAAGTCTAGCATATCCGCAAATCATGAAGTGTTTGCGGCTGCCGTCCACAGGACATCACTGCTCTCAGCCCGGCCAGCCGAAGCCTGTGGACTTGCCGCAAGATGCCTCCGCCCTCCTCCGACTCAGTCCCCGCTGGCTCGTCCCCTCCTCCCGGCCCTACTCTGGAGCTGCGCACTGCCAGCGGCAGCCCGCTCTTCATGCGCGTGTCGGTCGCTACGCTGGACAAAGCTGGGGAGCCGACTCACGTCATACGACTGGCAAGGTATGGTGATGATGTGCTGTCCACGCCGAGCTGGTAGTATACGGCTGCTGCTGGGATCATTGTCGGACTCTTTGTGTGTGCCTTCTACTATCGCTGTACCCGGCACCCACTTCCGTGCATGACTGTAACGTGCATGGGCATGTGGAAGAAGTTCCTGCGCTTCGGCCCGTACAGCTGGTTGGTTACGGACAACAGCCCAACATTTCCGGGCCTTCTTCTTGTGCAGCTCTGTTGCCAGTGAACCCTTCTGGCAATCACCCCGTCCGCGCTCACTATGCCAGTCACATTGTCGTGCAGGTCTTCCCTGGGGGCTGCACTGGACGAGCGGCGCATGCGGCTGAGTGTTTCCCCGGAGGGTGTCATCACGGCGGCCAGCAAGGAAACCCCGCCGCAGCTGTTTGGGCTAGAGCCGCAGCAGGTGTGGGTGGGGTGGTGCCTGGTCTTTTAATGCTGACCTGTGCGCTCTTCGGGACACGGCGCCCTGTATATCTGTTCAACCCCCCTAGTCCCTAATAGCAGCCGCATACAGCACCAATTGAACGTGCCCTTCTGCCCCCCCTGACACCCACCCCAATTTACGCATTTTGGAACACGAAGTTCGTTGGGCAACGCATTTCGGACATTATCGAGGAAACATCTCCGGCATCTGCTGTTGGCACGGTGAAAGCGCCGGCTACACCATCGGTGCAGCTGCTGAATCAGTTCGTAAGCCGGTGAGTTGCGGTTGCTTCGTGTATGTGCTTTGGCTATCTGCATGTTACCTGGCATGTCTATGACATGGTACCCGGGATAGGATGCCAGGAACCGTCACCGTTCTCCTCTCCGTCCTGTGCTCAATCCTGTGAGCCATCATGCCCCACGCAAGTTTCGGGTCACGATCATTAAAGGGAAAGGCTTCTGACTTCACCCAAACGCATAATCGTTCTCATGACCCAGGCCCTCACAACCGACTTAATCACTGTTTCCCCCGACAACGCAAGCATCCCATCAACATGCAAACGTTTCCACCACAGGGCGCTGTCCCAGCCTGGCTGCAGCTGGCGTGTGCGTGTGCTGGCGCCCGCTGCCGCCGCCCCCGCTGCCCTCACCTCTGGCATGTTGGCGGAGCTATCAGTAACGGCCCTGGCGAACATGACCAAGGACGCAGTCATGGTGGTGGGTGGGCGTGTGGATGGGTTTGGAACGCTTCTGTGTCTGTACAGTATGTAGCGGTGTGGTTTGGTCTCTCTATCTTGGGTAGAAAGCGTACGCCATGCATGATACACTAGTGACTTGCGCTTCACATCGCAGCCGAATGGGATAGTTCCTGGGTTGCTGCACGTGTTCAAGGTTTACCTGCACACTGGCAAAGCTGCAACCTCTATCCCATGCATGGTTAACTCCCTGCTACTCCTGCCAAACTTCCTCTCCAGGTCCACGTGGAGTTGCCGTACAGCCAAGCTGCTGCAACCTCCGCCCCTACTGTACACGTCGATTTGTGGCCGACTACCAGCCTCACAGCCGTGTTGGAGCTGAATGCCTCGGGCCGCGTGAACGCAGTGCTTGAAGAGCGCACTCGACCCGCGGGTCTGCTGTTCGGCGTGCCCACACAGTCGCTGGTTGGCAGCATGCTGAGCGGGCTGGTCACGCTGCCGCCTGGTCGCAGCAGCCCCAGTGAGCTGCTGTCCCTCCACGGCGCCAAGAAGAGCAGCCTCAAGGCGGACAACAAGGAGGCCAGCGTCAAGGTCGGCCCACTGCACGTGCTGCAGGGCGCCCACTCGGACGGGCGGCCGCTGGTCCTGGACGTGCAGATGGTGGGCAAGCCGGGACCCAACCAGCCGGTCACCGCCATACTGCGAGTGCATGCGGCGCCCATGATGCCGGGGATTGCAACGGCAACCCTGGTGCCTGCCGCGCCTACTGTCAACATTACACAGGCGCTGGACAGACAGAGCAGCTCCCTCATGAAGGGGCTGCCCACAGGAGGAAGTGTTGTGGCTGGGGCGGCCAGGATATCGCTACCACCACCTCCCAAGACCTCTTCTTCCAGGGCAGGAACAGCAGCAGGTGGGGTCAGGACCTCAGCAGTTCTCATTTCCCAGGGTTCACGACTGTCTCTACCGCCAGCCGACAAAGCGGAGACACCAAGCCCCCGGCTCAACACGCCTAGCCCTGACGTCGGCGTGTCGAGGACCGGTACAGCAACAGCTGTACCAGACATTGCAGCTACCGCTGGGGACGGTTTCAAACAATCTAAGCGTTCCTCAGGCTTGGACCCTGACAAGCCTGAGGAACGCTTGGACCCCAAAACACCGGTAAATATGACCGATGGATTGGAAGCCAAGGTCAATTTAGACGCGTTATGTGTCGTTTCACCTGGGGTTCCTATCGCAGCGACCAATGCTGGAGATTCCACTGCAATGGAGGAGGACGCAGGGGCGCCTTCTTCTCCCGCACCTGCGCCTGCGCCGGCTGACTTGCTTGCGGACACGAGGGATGGTGATCCGCCGCCCGGGGTGGCAGCAGACAACAATACCGCGACACAGCAAGTGGAGCGAACAGTGCTTTCAGAGCTTGTCATGTCAGCAGTAGTTGACGGAGCCGGCATTGAGCGCAGCGGCGGTAGCAGCAGTGCCAGTGGCAGAGTCAGGCATCTGCTGTCACGTGGTGGGGAGGGTGAAAGCGCCCCGAGGCTTCCGAGGCCAGGCAGCAGGTTGAGGAACACCACGCCTGGTAGCAAGGCCGGCATTGGAGCCGGCAGTGGCGAAGGAATGGTGATGGTGAAGAATATGGGCTTAGGCTTCGGGAAGACGTCGTTGCCTGGCACACCTTCAGAGCCAATTGCGGAGGAAGACATGCTGGAGCTGAGAAGTCTGTTGAGCCGTGGGGCGTCTGCAGCTCAAGGTGAGATGCTGCGTGTAGCAGTGATGTACTTGATGCTACCGGTGTGTGTAGCTGGAGGTGCTGCACTTTGAACATAATGGAAGCAAAGAGGGATGAGATCAAAGCTGTCGCCGGTCATATGGCTGATTGCTACATGTTTGTTGTACACCAAACCTCTCCTGTCAGCTGTCCTACGTTTACTATGTATGGCTTCTTTTCTCTTGTGTTCAACCCGTATCTGCCGTTGTGCCTTGACTGCACCCAGACCTGCCTGGAAGTGGCGTCGGCTTGTCGCGCCCAAGCCTTAGTGAGGGGAGCGACAGCGAGCAAGAGGCGGTACGCGACTGGTCTCATGGGTTGCCTACCCATGGCATGGACTGCCATGCTTCTACACATCATGCACATGTTAGATGTATGCGCGATGTTTACTCATGCCATTGCGGTTACCGGCAGTTGAGGCACCGGTTCAGTTTGACTGGCATGCAATACACGGGGTTCCAAGATGGCTTTGATGTACCATTGACCCCCGCCTCACCACCACGCAGGGCAACGATAAGGTCAAAGAAACGTATGGCGCATTACGTATTTCTGCCTGGGTGGAGAGTAAAGGTGCGTTGGGGGATTATTGGCTGCTCCTGGTGCACCTTTAGTCATGCTACTTGAAGAGAATGGTGGGGTTTGGAGGGACATTATTGTAATAGAGCAAACTGCATACACACACGTCAAATGCCTCCCCTCTGTTTTACCTCTGTTATTGCTTGTACTTGCGTTTCACGTGCGAACCTATCCCAAATGCTTGCTCTTATTTCCGCTCAACTACACACACGTCAAATGCTTTCGGGAATCGCTAAGAAGAGACCGCCTATTCGTTTTTTGGCACACATCAGCCACGTGTCACCGTGAATTTCCATCCCCAAATTGCATATCCCCATTTGCAGGCGCCTTCTACCAGAATGCTGTTGGAATTGATGTTAAGGTGCGTTCCGCATCTATGCCACATGTAGTATCGCATGTTAAGCTCCCTTGTTCCAAGAGTAGTTTCTGTATACGCGCACCTACCCGATAACCCATGCATGATTCCTACTCTGTGGTCATGAGAGTCCCATCCGTTACCTTTTTCCTTTATCTGGCTAAACTGCGTCTATTACCAAAACATGTACGGCTGGTATGGGAAGACCTTTTCACGTAAGCCCTCCATCCCTTAATCCAGCAGAGTGATGACGGCAAGTCTGTGGACGATGACGGTGCGAGCCCTGGCCGGGGATCACTGGGCACCCCCATCCTCGCTTCCACCGGGTTGCGCCCTGCTGGCGGCCAAACCCTAAATCAGACCACGGAGGGAGCGGGTATTGCGAAGGTGCCGATGAGGCCCGGACCCATGGGTCTGGAGGAGATCCGTGCTGTGGACGATGATGCGGCCAGTGAAGGCGGACAGAGCGCCATGTCGGGCCAGTCAGGTAGGTTCCAAACAGCAAACGGCAGCGTGACGGCTCGGCATTGGGACGCAATTCAACGCACACACTGACTCAGTAGCGGCTAGCTACCTAACTGACTAGCTAGGACGCAAGCAATGTCCGTCCATGCATTCGGATGTAAGGGCAGGGCGTAAGGGCGCTTTTGCTTATCTGCATGATTTAATTGGACTCCTGCATCGTTGCAAAGGCACCAAAGTAGAAGCGTCTGTCGTGGTGTCGATTTGGAAATGTTGATTTGGCGATCTGTGTGCATGCACGGGGTAATACATGTCCGCCCGTTTCCTCTGCACACAGGTAGTGGTGGCGCGGAGTACAAGCGCGGCAGGAGATACCGCAAGCTCGTGAAACTGATGGACTCAAGCCAGGCGCAGCAGGTAATGCCATAACAACATCTTGAGCCGTTGCTGCAGCTCCTCGCTTGCGGTTTGACAATTGGACGTCGACAGACGGCCTTCTAGACAGCTATTCCGGTATTATTCGGTTGTCCTACAGTTGTACAGGGTCGTGCAACCTGCTCTTAGGGCGTCGTCTCAATCAGTGCTCATATCTTCGCAAGTTAAGCCACATCAGTCATCGCCGTGTGTTGTTAGCTGTCGCATTGCTGAATCCCTTATGCCATACTTGCCCCATATGCCATACTTGCCGACCTCCTGAACCGAACATCCGGATCTGGATTTTGTGATACTGTCCGAATGTTGCATCATGTAGGTTCAAAAGATCTTCCGCACACGGGCCCTGGGCACCGTCGCGCTGCTGGCTAGCGTTCACGTTATCTGTTTCGTGCTCACTGTCATCGCTATCCAGTCGCAGCGCACCCGTATGCTGCAGCTCAGCCGCGCCGGCGAGTGGCAGCGCTACATGCACCAGGTACGGATTGGGGCCAGGGTGCGTACTGTATTTATCGGGAGTGATATTGAGGGCTGGTTGGGCGAATGCCCCCGTGAATCCCCCCGAATGCCCCCGTGAAACGCCGCTGATTATGTGATTAGGGGAAGGGCAATGTTGGCCAAGTTAGGCTTGCAGTCCTTGTCTACGAGCAAACTTGTATGCAGGAGCTTAATTGCCTACTAGACGTGTAGCCTCTTGCATTTCTTTTACGTATTCAAAGGCGGGTGGCTGCCTGATGTTTTAAACTTGTACGCCCGGAGCAGATTCTGCTGGACGTTCGGTCCCTGGACGTCATCTCAAAAAACAAGACAATCCCATGGCTTTATACGAAGGCTGATGCACCGGTAGGTACTACTGCGTGTTTTAGCAATACGGAACATGAGCGCACGGTGGCACCATTGTACACACTATGCAATGGTACATCATGCAATTTCCCTACGTCTCATCTTACTGATAATATTATCCATAGGAGGTAATCATCACAGGTAGCTGTTATGCGTCGGGGCTTGCATGCCGACCCTGGTGATGTCTGTTCATTTTGTTTTGCGGCATAGTTCCATATTCTTACCCAACAGGTAGTCCTTGTTGTTGCATGTGCCCGTGAGGTCGCATCCAATATGAAATGCCTCGGCCGAGAATGCCGAGTGGCCCAAACCAGCCAACATGCGCATGGGCCGTGCAGAAGCATTACGACTGCAATACACTACTGCTGCTGCTCCATGCAGACGTTTGTGGACCGCATTGCAACGGACGCTGAAGAGTTGAAGGTAAGCCTGAAAGCAAATAAGTAGATTGGTGCTTATAAGTTGGTTGTTGGGTTTAATATACCGCATGCACCTGAAGTTGCCTGTTTGAAGACAGCTACCTGACGTCATTTCCCGCACCAGACTCTGGCTATCGACATTTTCAGAAGCGCCTCAGCATGCCTTCTTAAGTTTCTGTTTGCATGACAACGTGCTTACCTCTGGTGTTTTGCCCCTAGGTCCGCCTGAATGAGATCATTAAAGCCTACCATGATCCAGATTCGCCTATGCTGCAGCTTTTCTTCTACGAAACCAGTTCTGTAAGTTCGGTTAATGTAGATGGTTGTCGTACAGATTGTGGCCCTGGTCTATCTATCTGGATCCCGCAAATTAGGACGTGGAGATATGAACAGTTGTACACTTATTTCCTAGTGTTGGCGACTAGGGTGCTAGAACATACCCACGTCATAGCCTAAACGGTTAACACCATGCCATTCGTGTGTGCCGTATGCGTTCAGGTTTGGAATGCAAACGAAGCTGACGGCTCCGACCAGTACACTAACCTGACGACCTGGGTAAGTGCTGCTGTACACGTAATTCCACAAGGAATCGTACATTCTTTGTCGAGCCTTTCCATTGCTGGCGATGTTCAACAGATGTGCCTTACTGCATGGTCCTTATATGAGCTTAGGTGCTTTCGGGACACTCAGGCATGACGGTAATTCCCTTGTCCATGCCACAGGACTTTTCAACGCGATTTTACGCTATGGCTAAAAACATCGAACAATACTACGAGGACTGGGTGCGAGACGGCGTGTACATAGCTGATACAGCCCCCGGACAGTTTCTCCTGAAAAGTGGACCGGACGTTTTTGACGTTTCAAGAAAGGTGAGTCTGGTGCAGGCAGGTTGCGGTTGCATGCTTAGATGTTTAAATCTGGTGCTTGTTAATTTCTGTAGTATTTGGGTCAAACTTGGCATACCAGTGCCCTCATGTGCTGTCCCAAATGCATTACGTTGCCGGTGTGATGAGGCATGACCATTGTCTTCCAGGATGGGCAGGTATTTAATTGAAAGCCACCAAGTGCTTACATCCCATGCTTTGCTATGCAGATACTGGACGCCTTGCTATATGTTGCGGTGGATAACGCACGCTGGGTGGGTAGCCGTAACGCCACAAAGATGTTCACCTGCGGCTTTGGGCTGGCTGTTTCCGTAACGACCATGCATGCCTCCTCACAGCTTGTTAGGTGACAGCCGCATCGTGCTGACACTTGTGGCCCCCATGGATAAAAGCTTTATTTACGCATCCCAATCTTTAAGCGACCACACCTTTATGGACGTACTTACATAAACGTTCAGGTTGAAGGACTGCAGTTCATTTTTCTAGCGGTGGAGGGAGCCGCCATCAGCTGCCTGTCCGCATTGTAAGTTTAGGGGTAAATGAGGGACGGAGACCATCTGGTGTGTCCAGGGCTGCTCAGTCGAGGGGAAGTCCAGTCTGATACACCGCCCCTGCTTTACAACCCAATTTTCTACATTGCGAACTAAAGTTTCATGTGTCCGGACAGTGTAACTGCTGACAACTCTGACCTCCGATGCTCATGCATCGTCCCTTTTGTGCAGCTATCTGGCGTATCTTTTACGTGCCGTAGCTACGCAACGGTACAAGCTATACGGCATCTTTTTAATCATTCCTGTGGTAAGATGGGGTTTGGAGAGCCCTGATGAGCGGTGCGTAGGCAGCTAGCATACACTAAGCAACCCGTCAAGGACGGGAATGCCTATTCTCGATGCGGGCTCCTATCCTTGGCATAAATTGGTGCAAGGCTAGGCATTATTGTGTTAATTTGTATGATTACAATGCCTGTCGTACCCGCCTATGCACGCACAGGGCCTGACTAGAGCGCTGTCGTCCCAGAACGCCAACCTCGATCTGGATGTAAGTGTAAGGCAGAGGCGCACGCCGAAAATACAGTGGCCGGGCCTTGCTTTTCCGAGGTTTCCGGGGTTTCCTCGCAATTGAAGGGGCATGGCAGGGAACCCGGTGCGCTGTGATACCTGACTTCAGTCCTGCTTGTGCTCCTCATGACACATGCTCTTTGCTTGCCTTCGTTAACAACAGGAGGACGAAGAGGAGGATGATGACGAAGACGAAGTGCCCACAGCACATCACGAAGCGCCTGAGGGGGAGGGAGATGGCGGCGCTCCTGCTGTACAAAAGCTCAAGCGTCGTGCTACCCTGAAGTTGGCCACAGGTCCCGACGGATCCACTCCTTCCGCAGGGGGTTTAGGCAAGGACAAGTCGCTCCGCAGCCGCAACACCAGGGGCGGCGATACTGGGGGCGTAGACAGAATGCCCAGCCGTGGAGAGGCTCCTGATAAGCGCAACGGTGTGGGACTTGAACGTACTTTGACCGGAGAGTCTATGGACGGCTCCTGGTGGGCTTCCCTGTTCAGTTGCTGCCAGTCCGGGCAAATCTGGCGCCAGCTAGTGAGGTATGGCCACACTGTGGTGCTTGCAGTTAGTTACCCCACAGTCTAGCTTGAGTACCTAAAAGCATTAAGACAGGACAGAAACAGTGCTGTCATTAAGTGTACTTGTGTGGGCCACGCATCTCAAGAGGTTATGCAAATTGCAGGCGGAGCCGCAGTACTGTCACACCACTTCCACAGTCCAATGCCAATGGCGGCGGGTCGTCACCCCAAACGGGCGGCGGCAAGCGAGTGCTCAAGTACAACTCCAACGAGACAATTTTTATGATTACGCCCTTCATTGTCTGGTCTGTGCTGGTGAGTTGTCTGTATTTTCCTTCCGTGTGCCACTGGAGGGCATTGGTCCTGTTGGCACATCATTGAACGTTCATGTTTGCAGGTCATCACTATCTACGCAATCGCGGTTGTAATGATGAGGGTAAGCGTTATCACATCTATGTGCCTGTTGCAAGAGCATGTGTACGTGGAGACTTACTCATTCACCATACACGTGCCCTTTGCTCCATGAGCCAACCAAAAAACATTTAATTTGACTCATGCTGCAGAACGTGGTTGAGGTCGTGGCTGTTCACTCAGTCTCCAATTTTCTTTCGGCAAGGACGTTGAGAACGGTAGGCCGGTGTTTGCATCTGGGTACAGCAGCCTCCAGCGAACCGGGGGTTCAGGCGCCAACCATGCATGGTCAGACACACCATCGGTTAACGCATCATATCAGCTGGGATGGTTGCATGCAATATCATCCGGGTGGGACGGGGTAGGCCCTTTTATTCCAAAGGCCCTACGAACAGTGTTCATTTCAGTGTAGCCTTTAAGTCTAGGCGCCGTACATTCCGTGTTACATGTTCGCCTGGGCTGAGTAACGGTACTAGAAACTGGGGGGTTGACTTCAACGCTTCACACCATCAAGCTACGCTCTAACATTGTTTCGTCGCTACAACCCTTGCCCACTGCTACTTCCCCTCCACCGCCATCTCTCCCAGGTCTTCTTCTGTCAGGTAAGGCTAGTACGGTTTCAAGCTGCTTTGGTTATGATCTGAGTGCCGTCGAAGACTGCGATACTGGAATGGCATAAGAGCCGATACAGGATCTAGCCTGATATCCGGTTCAATTGCATAATCGCTTGTGCAATAGTGAGAAGGGAGGCCGCACACGGCAACAACCGCATGCGTGCCTTGGCTTTCTTGAAGTTTTCCTGTGCCAGAAAAGTACAACTTCATAATGCGGGCTGCCCTTAAACCTTAGGTTGGACTCCTGCATGCGTTTTTGATGCTGGCGCAGGAAGTTGCTATCGTGGAGGACCCCTCGCAGCTGCTGGAAAAACGTGCCACCCTGTTCTCAGTTATGAAACTCGTCAAGGACGCCTGGTACACGCTGCAGCTGGGGAAGGATGCCTACAAGGCAGCTGGTGGGTGGATGTGAATATGGGTTGCCTTCACGAGCAGTGCACTACTGCCTGCTAGGGTTACGTTGGTCCACGTAGCTGCATGCCATCCAGGCAGCTTGAATGTAAATAATATTAATACATTTAGGTTTTGCAATTTTTGCACCGCATTAACAAGAATGTGCATGACATTATGGTGATTTTGAAGCAGCGATCTTTTTTATAATTCTGGCTTTACACAATATCCACAGGACCTGACACAGAGGTATTCCCGCTGGTGAAGACTGGTCTGGTATACAGTACCCCGGGCATAACGGATCTCTTTTATGGCACTGGCGCCTGCCTTCGCACCGGGGTGAGTAGCATTGCGATTAATGTGCTTGTTAAGCGCAATCTCAGTTCTATGGCTTTCTGAGACCGGTACATGCCCTCTGCAGAACCACCTGCCTTGCCCGGATTCCGATTACCGTTTCTACCGTATGACCCATTCCGGTCTTGATAGCATGATGCAGCAGTTCATCCTCAGCCTCTCAGCTATGGCCACCAACCAGAGCCTTGTGCCGGAGGGGCTAGAGGACGGTGAGGCCAGGGAGGGCGGGTAGATACCAGACGCATTCCAAAAGCATCCTAAGCACTTAGTGAAAGCGATGCTGTTACCGGCAAGCAAGGGGACGCGGGCTACAGAGCTGTCACTATAATGCAAGGGCTGAATGACAAATCTATCCCATGCATGGACCTTGTAGCATGGCATCGTATGTGTTGCCCCATTTTTTTGTCGTCTTCGCTTGGCAAGCCCCTTACTGCTTGCGGAGAGGACCAGGATAGTAGGACGCAGCTTTTTTTCCGCTACGCTAGGGCGGGACTACAGCAGGTAGACGCTGCAGCAGAGTCCCACAAGGGCAGGCCCAAACGCCCACATCGGGGAACAAGCATACCTTGCCTTGCAAATCTCATTTGCTGTCCCGTCCTATTTATTGCCCATGCCCATGCCCATGTCCTGCAGAACATTTTGACTACGTGTACAGTGTTGGTTCCAAGGTGGGTTTAGAACACTAGTGTTTGCATTGTTGGCAGTGAAACACTGCTAGTCATAGCTTACGAGCATTTAGCTACCCATACAGTGTTTCAATGGCACAATGTGTAACTGTTGCCGTCTGTGACATGTTTCCATGCAATACTGGGTTTACCGCTAAGACCAGGAAATTGGATAGCACACATGGAGTTCCATGTGCAGGGGTACAGTACACCCGATATCATGGCCTAATTAAGCCCAAGCTAGCTTCTCCTCACTACTGCAGGACCTGTTGGATGGAACCACAAAGCTCGTACAGGCGCACTACACGACCCTTCTGGACCTCTTCTCAAGTATGTTTGTGCCTTGGATGTTAGACCCTTCTCGGCACATATGTTCTACAGCAAACCGCACATACACCCATTTTCGTTGCCATTGTTGCCGTCCAATAATTCTGTGCCAATCTGCTTTGCTTGCGCTAAACCCATAACCGCTCCTACACCTATCTACCTGTATTCATACCCATGCAGACATCATGGTTCTCCACATCGTGTTGTTCCTGATGCTGTGGGTGGTGTTCATCTGTTTCCTGGTCTTCCTGCTCAACCCACTTATCAAGAGGACGACAAAGGAGGTGGGGGAAATGTGAAGCAGGTAGTAGCAAGTCGACTGTGAATTATCCTTGTACACACGCTTAACGGCATACATTTTCTGGGATACATAGCCGCAACCACTTTTGGTTCTGCTGCTCCAAGAATGTGTCATGCTTTTCTTTCCTCACCTCCACGAACCCACTTAGCTAGCTTGACTCCTGGCCATAATGTACATGCACACCCACAGCGGCGGCGCATCGCTGAGTTGATGAGCCAGCTGCCCCTGGAGCTGGATGTGGAGAAGCTGGTGGCGAGGGCGCTGGGAACAGCAGCAGCCAACAACAGCACGGCGCCAGGGGGGGCCCCAGGAGGAGGCGGTGGTAGTGGCGGGCCAGGAGGAGGGACCGGGGGACCCCCGGACCGCACCCACAGCTACGCTGACTTGGGTGACGAGTGTAAGTAGCACGTATTTACTTGACTGCGGTACCTGGCTTGTGTGGTAGCTACCTACAAAGCTGTGTAGGAGGTCATATAGATGAATTCGTCTGGTCACATTCGTGCGCTTAAATGTTAAGAACCTCCTCCCGACCCTCCTCCCATTGCAGCCGTTCATGCGGGTACCGGAGCAGAGGCAACAAAGTGGAAAGCAATTATCAGGTGTGTGCGACAGTGAAGAAGAAATATCAGACTAGCGAGTTGACGCCGCACTTAGCGCTTTATTTTGGTGTTGTTCATCTCCCCACGCTGTCTGGAAGGCTAATTCCCCCCAGTAAAAGGATATTTCTTCTCTTGCACATACAAGGTGCGTCCCGGCTGCTTAGTGACCAATGTGTGTCCTTGCGCAGGGCCGCGAGCTCGCTTAGTGGCAAGATGCCACAAGGCAGCATCACACGCCGTAGGTCGTCATTTGTGGCGCCCCAGAACACAGCATCGCACCTTCCGTGATTCAACGTTCCGAGACATCTTCAAATCACGAATACCAACTCCAGCGTGCAAATACCCTTCATCGAAAGTAACTTAGCTTCAGGTTTGGTCGTGGCTTCATCCGGACCAATCATCCAATCAGTCAAAGCCAACATTATTTTATTAATTGGCTGCCACCGATTTTAGCGGATGGGCGCAGTCAACAAGCATATACGAACACAGTCACGCCTGCACGAGTATCTACTGCATGCATGACTCTGTGCTGCATGGGAATGCACACCGGTGTGGTATGCGCACTGGAATGACCGTGGATTTATGTAGTACTCGTGAATGGTGGACGAACGTGCAATTTGCAATACAATACCGCGCGACCGAGTAGCCGAAAAACAGCGCTCCTGACATGTACGGCCGGTGGCCTTGCTTGGATGGTGGCCATAATGAGTTGATCACGGTCGATTCATCTTCTCCGATGCTCGGCTTTGGTATTTCATGTTTTGGAGCGCCCGAAGGGTCTATTTTAGAGTTGGCGCGGTGAAAAACCTCTCTTGGACGGTGAGAATATACCTCGCTGGACTGCCTGTTTGCGCACCTCTTTCGCATAATTTTCTGCATTGCTGTTTAGGGTTTTGGTGCACCAAAGTTATGCACCAAAATATTCGGATGTCAAATGAGTGACGTTTCACTGCGAGCTGTGTTTTTCCTGTCAGAGGTATTACTTCATACCAATCATCTGTTTCGTACAGCGTTTTCGACGACTGATTGAGACAGGGTTATTGTTTATCGCAACCAGAAGCGGCTATCTTGCCGTTCCCATGGTGCGCCTCCTCCACCGTACCGTAATGGAGTGGTTTTGTCCCGAGGTTTTGTGTGATAAACTGCTGCTTGCCTTATTTCCCTTCACGACATTTCACATTGGTGTTGGGTTTGTGCCATCAACGCCTGACAACCAAGTCTTTTACGGTGAAACCTGCTATCATGCTTCTTTAGCAATAAGGAGTGTGCATCATTTGACAGGACTAGCGTACGTGTCCATCGTGAGTGTGCACATTACTAATAATAAGGAGAGCCTCTTTTGGAATTCACGGGTGTAAAATTATCGACATCTCGTTCACTGATTAGGAAGCGGAAGTTACACTGGAGGACAGAAGCTGAGATCATTGTCAGACGTAGGAAGCGAAAGGTACACTGGAGGACATTCTAACAGGGCGTCGGCCGCCCTACCCCGCCCTACCCCGCCCTACCCCCTGGGGCACGCCGTGCACAAGGCAGGGAGCCCGCTAGTAGGAATAGCGTCAATGTACGGCAGAGCTCATAAACATTTGGCAACATTAAGGCGCCTGGCATGTGAAACGCGGGGCATTGGGAACGGAAGCTGATCATCGATGTTAAGGGCGAAACCGCAACGCGGAAGGATGCAGGAAGACGGACAGACCGTACTAACTGCAGATTGGACGGAAGACCGCAATTGTGTGAGACGCCGCTGTGTTGTGAACGGGCCGCAGCGACAAAAAACGCATGAAGAAAACGGTGAAGAACATAATCTAATTGTGCGTAGGAAAAGAGGCGATGCCGCAAGTGCAAAGCGGTTATACAACCAACTGTAGCCTCAGCCTCTTGACCTCTTTCCCAACATACATCTGCTACCCAGATCCCCAAGCGGTACCTGTTCATTTCTTAGCAATCCATACTGGGCTAAAGCAAGAAAAGGCAGTGCTAGGTGCGCAGCATATAGTAACGGTCCATGAATTGTAGCCTGCGGCTGTCCTTTTTTACTTTTTATGTTTGTGACACTCTACCGCCTCCCATCCCCTTTGCTTTGCCCTTACTGTGGTTTCCTATGGGTTGGTATGTCGTTAATTCCCCATCCTCTACCCGCCTGCCCTCTCACAAACCCTTTCCCAGAGTAGAAATGTTTACGGAAAAAATAGCCCACCAACGAATATTGAGCTAGAAGTGTGATGAATGGCGTTCATGTGTGAGAGGCCGTGCAGGCCAGCCTTCTCTCCCCTAACCGTAGGTGGCAGCACGATGACCTGATGCGTTTTCGGGTGTACTAGAAGATGGGGAGGGTGAAAAACAATAATTTGCGACAATCCAGAGAAACAACGGCAAAAAGCCATAAGATGCAGACAAGGAAAGCTAAGCGTACAACAATTCCAAGTAATTGCAACAACAGGGCACTTAGAGCAAGGGGAATGGGGCAATGGTGCAAGGAGGCAACGTATTTCAAGAGCAAACGTTTATCCCTTTTTGCATCGGATGCGTTTGCAAGGTAGCACCTTGTACGCATGCATGTAAGGGGGGATGGGGGTATGGGGGAAGGGGCACCAGCCCGGACCAAGATGCATAAGGTGCCAAGGGAGACAAGAGCTCCACAGACGGCTGCGACACTCCACGCTAGTTGTGCAAGTCCCACCGCTAGCCGGTGAGCTAGTATAGCTGACAAGGCGACCCAACCGTGGGTGGCAGTACAAAACCAACCTAACTGTAGCCTCAGGCGCCTTAGGTATCCCTGTAATTCCTGTATCCTACCTGTGCTCAATATGATTACATCTCAACTTTGCAAGACCCCAGCCCTTAGCAATGCCATTCTGCGTTCTTTTCTTGTCCATTCTGTGCCATGGACACCGACATGTCGTGGGTCCCCGTCACGTCCGGAGGTAGGCACCAGGCCGCCACCGAGGGTCCGGACCTAGTTCCGTTTACTTCTTAAGCATGGAAAGCTTGAAGGTTGCCATTAAGTAGCTCGAATGCGAGGCGCAGCTAGAAAAGACAAGCTTAGGTTGACACGCATGGAACATTACGTGCATAAACGTGTTTCGAAGGATAGAGTACAAGATTTCAGTACGAAGCGGCATGCACAGGTGAGCGCCCCTTTGCTACTTGCCCGCTCAATACAACGAACGTGTGCAAGCGTCCCTTGCATGAAGCCTTATATAACAGAACGCTCAGTTCGTCCAAAGTTATGTATTGAAGCTAGCATGGCTTAGTGAAGTGTCGGCAGCGACCACAGCGGTCCGGCGTCTGGCTTTCAGGCCAGCTTCGGAGCCCTGTGCTTCGCAGCCCGGGTGCCCGTTAGGTCTATGCCCGAAATCCCAATTGCACTGCATTACGATGATAGCTTTAAACAAGTACAGGTATAGACTAAAGTTGAGGTCGACTGGGTACCGGAACGCTCACCACAACCACTTGGCTAGGATTCTATTTTTTAAGTAACGCCGTGTGGCAACGTCGCCTTGCTTAGTTCATTATGACTAAGATACTTGCAGTATGTGACACGACGCCAATAGAGGGCCACGGTAAAAACAACTACCGACCATCTTTCAGCAACTTCCATCATTCATTAGCTGTGTTACACAGTTCACGTTTATATGCTGTTTATTCACCAAAGCTGGTGTCGTCCGTCTTCGACTATTTCAGCACAATTCCTTGGCTCTACATCGGCGCTATCTATTGGCTCAAGTACTGCTTTCAACTTACCATGAGGGTAGCAGCAATGGAGAAAAATATTAACAGTTACTTCAAAAGCTGCGGTCAAAAGCTGTCGTACATGCACATCATGGCCTTGGCCCTTGGGGCCTGCCGGCCGCCGAGGCCGGACTGGCCAGGCGCCCCTTACGCTGAGCGCCCAGCCTTGCGCTGATCAACGCTGGATACCTCCATCACTTACAGAGACGCGCGAACTGTCTGTCAGTTGTTTGACCTCAACCACGGATGGATGCTGAATGGATAGACATGTCGAGGAAATAATCTGTGTACATCTTAGGCCTTCCCCACACTACCAAAGCATGATTATATCGACCCAGCTGTTGTTTCCAGGGGCCTGATACGATTAGTTTTGTACGGAACATACTCAAGGATTGACGGGCCATCATGGCTGGCAGGTCTACCCCAGGTTTCGGCTATGCAGGGAGCGTTGCCTCATCCCGGTCCTCAGATACCAAGCGTGCATGGCAAGTTCTACCTGTAAAGACAACCCGATCCACTGTGCTGCCATGGTTATAATCAGTCAACAATACTGTGGTTAGCGTGTTTTTTGTAACGGGTGCAGGGCAGGGCAGGAGCCACAGGATGGCCACGATGAAAACCTACTGGAACGCCGTTCCTCACTTGAAGTGAGCTGCGGTGCAATCAATATCGCAGCTATCAGTTGCATGGGGCTTACACTGATTTCAGCTACACACACTTCTTGATGCTTTTGCCATGCCGTGCATTGAGCCTGGCGTTCCAAGTGGTCAGGCTGCCAAACGGGTGTAGTCAGTTCAGGGTTGCGTCAATTGATTGCCTATGTCACGTCGTGTTCTGGGCAACCATTACTACAGTCCTTTGTAGCTATCTTGGTTCACATGCACGCACCTGAAGCTTCACCAAATGGGACCTTTCACTTGCAGGATGGCATCTTCGGAGTTCTCTTTACCCTAAGGTGGGCCAACCCTTCCCTTGGTGGTTGTTTCCCTTACACACCACACGAATGCGCACCATAAGGATGCTTCAACTCCACTGGGCGCTACCAAAACCGCCTAGATTTGTTTAATACACAGCGCTCACAGTGCTTACCTCCCCGGAACTAGCATGCACGATGGCGCGAGAGCCTGCAACCATCTCCTGTCGTACAATGCCCTTACAGTAAGGAGAACAGCGAGTCGCACATCCGTATCCGCTGGGTTCTTGTTAAGATCCTGCTGGACGGCTGGCAGCTCTTCACCACCGTCATATCACCTGCGGAGCAGGGATGGGCAATCAAGAGCAATGGAACGTGGGTAATACTTGGTCCATAGCGGCGGCCTGCTGTGTCTTGCCCTGACCTTGCAGCGTCATGCACTTACTGCTGAGACTGCGTTGGGCGCAAAGCATGTCGCTGGCGTGTATATTGCATCCATGCGCTTGTGTGTCTTCAAGATAGAGAGCACATCACTGCTGTTCATAGACAGCTTGGTCCATCCCCTTCCTCTGCTAAAACCTTCGACCTGCTTCCTAACTCTTCACAGGGCCTGGTCGGTGGTATCAGTGCTCAATTTTACCTGGCTAGCGCACCTGGTGAGCTGCTTGCCTGCAAACTTTGCATGCACACGTTTGTCTTTATGCCGGCTAGCGGCCACGTGGAAATGGCGTGCGGGAGTTCTAGTTCACACAAATGTTATACCATGTTGGCCTACATGCATGCATGCCCCCCGTCTGCCACAGGGCTACGGTGCCTACATTGCCGTGCTGTACCTCATGCTGACCCTGCTGGCGGTCAACGTGGGCATGTGCGTGTGGGTGGCCTGGTGCTTCAAGGAACAAAAGTTCCCTGTTGTGTGGCCCATCATGGTGGGTGGATGCGGTTGCGGTTGGTGGCCCCAGTACTGCACGCGTGCTTGTCCGTTGTTCTTGCCTCCATACACGTGCCTTCAACTTCAAGATAGATGTCATCAGCAACCAGTAGTTATGGGATACGAATGTGCATCCGTCTGCCGCATGCAGCACGGGAGGGAATTCGCCCAGGTATCAGCACGTACGGCATGCTGCAGTTTACCAGCCGTCCGAATTGTTTTTGCGCGTTCCTGTGTAACCCTGGCAGGTTCTCCGGGTCTTCAGCAGCGTGTTCTTCCAGGCGTTCGATGTGGCATCGCTGAACCTGCTGCAGGTGGGTGGTTGCGGGAAAAAAAGCGACGTCTATGCCAAGCTTTGTGTACGGGGCCTTGCCTATTTGGGAGCAGTGCTTAGCTTGGCCTGCCAAGTTGCAGCCCATTTCCCGCATTCCGGAAAGCGTGTGGCGTTTTGTCGATATACCCGTACCATCCCTGCCATGACCTCTTTTGCAGCTCGGCATCAGCTGCCGCTACACGGGCTACGTACAACCGCACCTGCACTTCACCCTCTTCCCGCAATACAGTGAGTGCTGGCCAGGGCAGGGAAACAGTGAAGAACGTAGTAAGCAAGGGTTGCCCGGCGTTTCGGGGTCAGGTGCTGCCTGGATTGTCTGCTAGCGACCAGCAGTCTGTCCTTATGCACGCAGGCTGCGCGAAGGCGCCACACATCCTGCACGCCATTGTGTCCGGGCTGTGCCTGATGCTGTTCGTGGCCATTGCGCTGCTGCTCAACATGGCAGAGGTGGGGGCTTGGGGTGGGAGGGGGAGGAGGGGACTAGCAAGGGAGGGGGTCAAGCGCTCTGGTTACCATGCATGCATTTGCATAGGCACTAGCTATCAATGCTTCTAGCAGAACCATTTCCAAGCCGGATGTCCCGCCTCTACCCCCAGGTTGAGGTTAACCCCAAGTCGCGACGACCGCTTGCTCTCGGTCACAGTGGGGCGGAGGTGGCGGCATTCGCCATCAAGGTCGGCAAGCATGCGGGGGTTGCAACGGGCTGGTGCTGTGGGCTCCTTTGCGCAAGCATGCTTGAAGACAAAGCCTGGATCCGAGCCGGGACGCCTGCCGATGTATCCTTCGAGTCCATCATGTGCTGCATTGCTGCACCGTACTGTGGCTGCCTCAAGCTTCGGCCCGTGCGGGTCCTGAACACGGGGTACGCAGGTGCCGTCAAGCGCTAACTGTCGGCTGTCCCATGTGTCCCTCATGGCTTGCAGGTGCTACTAACGCTGGTGAATGTCTTCTTTGGCTGGAGGCGTGTGGCCGCTTGCTTCTACCTGGTGCTCTCACTGGCTCTAGCCTACCAGTACCTACGCTGGGTGGGTTCTTAAGCACATGCTGTTCACGCGCTGCTTGGGTGTCGGCTTGGCAGAAAGGAAGATTAGCCTTGACGTGCGGTTTCCTAATGTTTTGTCGTGACTCACTAACGGGGTGCCTTCCTATCGCACCTAATGCATGTAACGAGCTCGAATTGGCAGCTCGCTGGTGCCTATCTTTCCGGTCACACCCTTATCGCACCCCGCCCATCCTGCATTCCTCACATCCATGCAGAGCCCCCACCTTGTGGCCTGGGTCAACTACCTGAAGACCGGCGTGTCTACCACAGTCGTCTGGTGTGCAGCAACACTCATGCTGCTGGTGTTCGAGCCGGGGGTGAAGCAGCAGGATCGGGACCACTGGTCAAAATTGACGACTGTGCTGATGCTGTCGGGACTGGCGCCTGCTTTTGGAGCCGGCGTGCTGATGTCACATGGCATAATTCGTCGCATGACTGGCGGGGCAATCAAGTCTGTTACGTAAGTTGTCCTTGTGCGCTGCACTTACGGTAGGCGTTCCGTTTGATGGACTTGCGGGATAGCGTGTTTGGTTGGCACCAATGCTGAAATGCTTCGCCCACTTGTGCCCTATGCCAGTAACGCCAAGCCGGAATGCCAAGGAAAGGACTTACTGGACTTGAACGACCCACGGGACATCGAAATTGTCGCGAGGTACGTTCGGTGTTTAGGATCAAGCTCCCCAATCGTACATGGAGTTTTGGCGCCCATGTAGTCATCCGGACGTACGTGCAGCCTATCTACCGTAACCGTAACTAGGCCCCTGAATTATATTATAAGGTTTGACGTCCTATCACAGATGCTGCCGCGTATGGAAGGACATGTATACGCTCGATCCTGACGGCGTAAATAAAGCCCTTCAGCTCATCCAGGTACGCTAGCCATCAGGATGCCAGAACGTTCTAGCCTATGCAGCGCTTCTAGCGCGTATGGAAATGCCTTGCACACCATGGGGGTATTTGGGCTTTGTATGCACCACCGGCAACTGGTTGTATGTACCACCGGCAACTGGTTTAAGGTGCATAGCTGTCTCTACCGTATTCCCTCCCGGGCATGTGCCAATGTCTTGTCTGTGTCCTTACTCAGTCAGGCGCTGCCAAAATCCGTACTCACTCACCTTTCCGTCGCATCTACTGCCGTCCTCTGCACTCCGCCATTGCTGTTCCACATCACCGCAACCCCCATTCGTTGACGGCGCCCCAGGCTGGCCTGGCCATGTTCCCCGCCAGCGCCTACATGGTCCTGCTGCATGCCAACTTCATGATCGATGTGCTGGGGGTCAGCCAGAGCGGCAGCCGCCGTATTGAGGTGGGCGTGGTGTCGGTCAAGGGAATGGATGTTGGACAATAATTCCCAAGCCCATAGAGGACGCGTAAGACACCGCCTTGCTTGCAGCTCCTTACTTTCACATTGCAACGGTGATGCAATGAAACCGTTTACGACGGCATGGACGCCTGGTTCATTACAGACGAGCATGTTACTTGCACACGCTCTGTCGATAGGCAAACGAGTTTGTGCTGTTTTCTCGTGCATGCAGGATGCGAGGAAGCTAAATCCTGGAGTCATGTGCCGCTTCATGATGTTTGTACGACAACAGCAAGCCACGGTAAGTGGCATGCTGGGATGAGAACTGTTCTAAGGACTGCAAGGGGGCATTTCTAAAACTGTTCCTGCGAGGAGGCGCACACCCTTGGCCTAGCCTGTTGAGGGTTGGCGTCACACCACGGTCTCCCATGCGGTTTTGCCCGTTGCTTTAGGGACGTGTCAGTGCATAGGTCCCATGCAGTTGACGGTATGGGACCAGAAGGTGGTGTTACTTCACCCTGGCAGAGCCAGTAACTGGGCTAGCCCCAGCTAGCCCGCTCGGCCGGTGATAGCTATCACTTGACGCCCAAACGTCGTCACCAATTACCAAGACTGCATCGACCCTGCTTGTCTGCTTCCCCAGCAAAAAGCTGCAGGTCACAGCGCCAATGACGGAGCTAATATGGACCTCCTGGGGTAAGTTGAATCGGGAAGAGTAGCTGGATTGAATATCTTACTTGGCTATGGCCAGCTTACCCCTTCTCGTCCCTTTAATGATGAGACACTGGCCGCGCCCTTATAACCACAAATCCGCCTAAACCTAATTGCAGCTATGTGGAGTATCAGCGCAAGCAACGCATGGTACTGAGGTTGCACCGGGAGGCGCTGCAGGCCATGTGCAATTTTTGGTAAGGGTGTAACCAGGACCAGAGGATACAACCTCGTGCCGCTATTCCAGCACCAGCTGTAGCCTCTGCTACTCCAATGAATTGCTCAAGACGAGAAACACACATGCTCTGTACAAATTCCGTGTCTTCATCCCACACGCAGGAAAGCACTGGACGTCTCGACGGTGTCATTCACGCAGCTGAGCAAAGCGCTGGGCAAGATTGAGAGCTCCGTCTCGCAGGTGTGGGTGTGTGTACCGGTCGGTTGTCGTATCCATTGATGGTTTAAAGGTGAAGGGGCACAGTTTACGGTTCGTTTGGCTCAAGAGTCTGTTGGGTCGTTTGCGTGTTACTTGCAGCAGGCACACAAGGAATGCCTCACACTCAAACTTTCTCCCCTCAGGCTCAGGCGGCGTACCGTGTCGTGCTTGAGAGCTACGGCAACAACCCCAAGCTTGTGCGCCTGTACGGCAAGTTCCTACAAAACATCAAGAACGACCCATGGGGTGCGGTGAGTGGAGCCTTCTTTCCTGGATACCCTGACATGCTGGTTGTGCCATATCATTGGTACCGAAACTTTCATTGTCGCAAATGCAGTCGGAGTATTTTGCTCAGGCTGATCGCCTGGAGGAGATAAAAAACACCGTCTCTGATGGCCCGCTGCTGCCAGATGGTGAGTGGTGGTGCAGTACCGGTAGCATGGTTAGCATGCACGGCTTGCTGTTGCATAGCAGATTGGAAAGTGATTAACCACAATAGGGCCGCTTGGTCCCTTCACGTTGCAGGTGCATATAACTGTGCAACTCCCACTGTTACCAACTCGCTCGCCTCTTGCAGGCACTCCGCTGGGCCGCATGGACGAGATGGACGTGGCGGTGCTGGTGCTCAATTCCACGGGGGAGATCCAAATGGTGGGTGCGGTGTGGTGCGCGATGCTGCGAGTTAGGCCGCCATGGCCCCGGCACATGTGGTACATGACGTCGGAAGCGTGTCACAGAGGGTGTACTGCGATGTGGTCTGTTGCCCCTTCCTTCCTTCCAGCTCCATGCGAGAACCCAGCGCTCGTGATACGGTACCGGTACCTCCTGAAACTCCGCATGGGGTCTTGGAATGCTCATACCCTCCAACGCGTCTCACCGCACCCTTGCGACCCCAAACGCCAACCCCAACCCCCGTACATTCCGCAGGCAAACCGGCAGACACACAACCTGTTTGGCTACAAGCGAGGTGAGGGTGATATCGTTTCCTCCTCAGCGAAAGCACCTTCTACCTTTTCTATTTTTAAATACTGGCTCCACTACCGCTACTGCTGGTATGAGAACCCAGTATATGTAACCCTGCGCCTTGCTGACAACGGAGCCTGCGCCCACCGCCCGCCCCCAGGCTACCTCGAGAGCAAGCCCATGAGCATCCTGCTTGCACCGCACTTCAGCCGGCGCCTGTCTGAGCAGCTAGCCTCGTTGGTCGCTGCCGGGGATGTAAGAGCTAGGGTGGGGGCCGCGCAAGAATCTCAGCAGGGAGCAGTGAAGGAGCTGGAGGTGCTGGGCATGCACTGCGACAGGCTGGCCTTCCCGGTGAAGCTGTCGCTGCGGAAGGCTTCAGGTGCGTACGGCATATCCAAAACGGCAGTTAGTTCTGTGTTGTGCAGTCAACGCTAGCTGGAACGAAACGTAGGAGAAATCCGCTGTCATGGTTACGCTTTCAGCTGTGCCGTCAGGATATTTTTAGAACTGGCGTCAAGCTGCACGCAGGCGGTCATGTTATCACTGTGACCTCTCGTTGCGACAGGTGTGGGCGAGGACTCCACCATCCTGGCGCTCATGGAGCCGCTGCCGCCTGCCAAGAACCGGGCAAGCCTGTGGGTGGCGCCCAACGGCAGCATCGTCGCATGTGACCCACAGTTCGTAGCCAAGTTCGGGTAAGCAGGGCGCACAATTGCAATTGTGGAAAGTTGTGATATCATGGCTATCCTGTACACTACCGCGTACTACATGGGTTAACTCGTTGTGCCGTGCCATGTGGTGCTGTTGTGCACTTTCCTACGAGGTGACCAACATTCCATACCTTCCCAGCCGTGATTCTTGATTCTGATAAGTGCCCTCGCATGACGTGTTTCCTTGTTGCTGTTCATTTCACACTTTCGTTCAACCACTCCCAAACCGCCTTCGGCTTCCCTGCAGTTGGAAGGCCACCGAGGTGAACGGGATCAGCATCACGACCCTGATATCCACCCACACCAAGGAGCAGCTGGTTGCAGAAGCCACGGCAGTCCTGGCGGAAATGGGCGATGCATTCGTCTGTGACGAAGAGGAGGATGAGGACGACGAGGATGGTGATGAGGGTTTGAAGCGGCTGGTGGAGAGCGCTGGCGAGCTGATCAAGAGGTACGGGGGCGGGCGCTGTGTTTCCAAAAAAGGGTGCTTCCAGGACAGGGGCTGTGTTTGAGGAGCTTCCTTGCTACAGCGGGCGGGTGCTGCAGCTACATTTGCACTGCAGTAGGTACAGTCTTTTCCTTGTGTACAGCCATACTGAACCTCATTGTCGTATTCAACGCCACTGTCGTACTGAACTTGTGCGGTCGAGTATCCGGGCTGTACGACATTGCACAGCATACCAGGCAGCGTGAGGCGCTTGCATGTGTCACAGAGGCACGATACTGATACAAGTGGAGGTGCGCCCCAGGACGACGTGTCCATGCACGTGGTTGTTTCCACTCTACCCAAAGCCACTTTGCCTTACTTCGACCATGCAAAAGGTCCCACCCTGACGGTTGCAGAGGTTGCTATTTGCCACCGCTCCTTATAACCCTAGGTAAACAAAGTTAGTAATTTGCGGCAGTGGACGGTGGTTTCGGTATGGCTGCCGTACATTTCCTATGTTAATAGGAAATGTAAGGCCCTCGCGAATTCCAATTGTCGCGATGCCGGTGCGCTGCTAAAACAACCACAATTTAGACTGGGTGTGAGGGGATTGGCCATCCTGTCACACCTGGTGCGCGGGGCCCCACCACCCTATTTCATCCCTTTGTCCTCAGGGCATTTCTTTCTGCACGGCATGGACGCCTAAGCCCCAAATGAGCTGCAACGTACACGATCTTAGCCTATAACAACCCCGAGGCTTGCAACAGCTTACAAGTGTTAAATGGCATCCCATTTCCGGCATGGGGAAGGGATGGGGTTCAGCGGTGGGGAAGGGGCAATGGGGCCCTTCCCCACCGCATGCCCCATTCCCATGCTAAGGTTTCTTGGGTTATATTGCGGAATGGAGCGGTGGCCGACCATCTCAAAGCATGATACGAACTGGCATGCTCACTTTAACTTGCAGGTTGCAAGCCAAGCAAAGAGGCCCTCGTTGCCAGCAAGGCTTGTCATGCTACGTGACGCACAAGTACGACTCAACACCCATGACATGCAACGTTAGCATCGCTGCTAGCGGTAAGGCAGTGCACCTTTGTACTTGCGTTGGCCCGACTGGTTAACCGCAATGTTTGCCAAACAGCCCTGTCCGTAACATTTTACGTGTTTCACACACACACGCTGAATGTGATCTTTTCTGTCTTGGTACCCCTTCATGCTAGAGTGACTCTACTGAGTACATGTCAGCAATGAGTATGGTGTTTCTATAACGTCTCCCGTGCCCATGAAACATCATCGCCTGCAGGTACCCATTTCATGTACGTTTATCCCTCCCTGCAGACGCCTCTGACACAACCGTCCACGAGCTGCGCATCCGCCTGACCGCTGCTGACCCCACGCAGCTCCTTGTGGTCGACCGAAAGGGTGTCATCGCACATGCATCGTTGGAGCTTGTTGCGAGTCTAGTGGAGGGTGCGGGGTCGATGGGCGCTGCTGGGACAGCAGTTGGGGCGGCAGGCGGCGGTGGGGGTCCCGGCGGCCATGGCAACAGGGGTGCGGCCAGCCGGGGTACGGCACTGGTGGGAGTGTCTGCCCGGAACCTGCTCGGTAGCTACACTTTGCGGGACTTCCTACCGCCGCCGTGGAAGGACATGCATGTCAAGTACTTGCGGGTGGGTCAGCGCTAGTCAGATTCGGCCAAAGGTGTCGATACAAGTACGAGAGAGGAGGCTTGCAACGTGTCACCTTCCAATGGCGCTTCAGTTACAAAACCACTCATGTGTGCTTGTCCGCTAACCTAAATGCCTTTCCTACGCTACAGGACATCACTGCTCTCAGCCCGGCCAGTCGAAGCCTGTGGACTTGCCGCAAGATGCCTCCGCCCTCCTCCGCCTCAGTAACCGCCGGCTCGTCCCCTCCGCCCGGCCCTACCCTGGAGCTTCGCACTGCCAGCGGCAACCCGCTCTTTATGCGCGTGTCGGTCTCCACGGTGGAAATGGCGGGGGAGCCGACACACGTCATACGGCTTGCAAGGTGAGAGGTGGCGGTCCAGTGTGATGTGCGCTGGAACGGCAGTGCTGAGTAAGGTTTGTAAACTCTCAAATAATACGGCGAGAGTTTACAACGTCTAGGAAAACAGGACCGCACATAAGTGGCAGTATTTTAGCTTTAGTATCTCCGTACCGTTGCTTTGTGCCCGTCTTTCAAATTAGCCAGTCGACTTCGATCTTGCTTCCATTGCCCACTAATGCCCCATTGTCGTACAGGTCTTCCCTGGAGGCAGCACTGGACGAACGGCGCTTGCGTCTGAGTGTTTCCCCGGAGGGTGTCATCACGGCCGCAAGCAAGGGAACCCCCACACAGCTGTTTGGGCTGGAGCCGCAGCAGGTGTGTGAGAGTGGACTCCCTGTAGCGTTTTGGGGCTAGGAAACAGTGTCAAGCTGGGATGCACATACTAGTACGTGGTGCCAGGTGGTGCTGCTACTTTCCTTCTATTCTGTGTTTCAACACGCTGCAATGTTCACTCACCAAACCAAGTTTGCTCGTTACGTGGTTTTCATGCAGTTCGTTGGCCAAAGCGTCTTTAATGTGGTCGAGGTAGATCCAGGCCGGGGGCACGCAAGCGACATCAAGCTGCAGGCTGCCTCAGGGCCACAGCAGGCGCTATCGCACCTCATGAGCCGGTGAGTGGTGGACCTGCCGTGACCTGTGTACGTTGCGGCTAGACACATACATTGCTGCGTCGGCGACCACACAAGCATCCCTTCCAGGCCTAGCAAAAGATACTTAACACCGCTTCATCACTGTTTCCCCCGACAACGCAAGCATCCCTTCAACATGCAAACGCTTCCACCGCAGAGCGCTGTCCCAGCCCGGCTGCAGCTGGCGTGTGCGTGTGCTGGCGCCCGCTGCCGCCGCCCCCGCTGCCCTCGCCTCTGGCATGTTGGCGGAGCTATCAGTAACGGCCCTGGCGAACATGACCAAGGACGCAGTCATGGTGGTGGGTGGGAGCGATTGTAACGCGTGGGTAGTTAAGCAGTTGTGAAGGAGACTTGGACAAGGATTGCCGGAATCCATGCGCGACAATCCCCGGCAGTGCCCAATGGGGGCTTGGGGACGTCGCCTGACGGTTGTTCTGGGCTTTTGTTTCACTTTGCGCATGCATGATGTGTTTTACCACGCCCTAGGCAAGTGGTGTAGCGCGTTTGCAGCGTAAGCATGCGTCGGTAGGACGGGTTGCAAGGTTGTTCGATAATCCGTACACCCTCCCCAGGTTCATGTAGAGCTGCCGCCGTACAGCCAAGCTGCTGCGGCCGAAGGCCCCGCCGTGTACATTGACTTGTGGCCGAATACCAGCCTCACAGCCGTGTTGGAGCTGAATGCCTCGGGCCGCGTGAACGCAGTGCTTGAGGAGCGCACGCGACCCGCGGGTCTGCTGTTCGGCTTGCCCACACAGTCGCTGGTTGGCAGCATGCTGAGCGGCCTGGTCACGCTGCCGCCTGGTCGCAGCAACCCCAGTGAGCTGCTGTCCCTCCACGGCGCCAAGAAGAGCAGCCTCAAGGCGGACAACAAGGAGGCCAGCGTCAAGGTCGGTCCACTGCACGTGCTGCAGGGCGCCCACTCGGACGGGCGGCCGCTGGTCCTGGACGTGCAGGTGGTGGGCAAGCCGGGACCCAACCAGCCGGTCACCGCCATACTGCGAGTGCACGCGGCGCCCATGATGCCAGCGGGGGTCGCAGTTTTTGCTCCTGCTCCTGCCACCAGCCTGCTGCCTGCTGCTGCCAGCAACTCCATACCAGCACCCGCCCAAGACTCCCTAGCACTCACGAGAACCATGACACACAGAAGTGCTGTGATAGCGGATAGCAGGACGTCGCCACAGCCGCTTGGTATGGCGACCTCGAAAAGGTTAGGGACCCCCGCCAATAGAGGCATTGACAACAGCGGAATTACAGGAGCAGTAGCTGCGCAGGGGTCATGGATGGCAGGACCACTGCGACGTCAAAGTGAGGATGAGCTGCCGCAAGAAAGACTGGGGCATCAATTGCCCAGTACTCCCGGAGCCGGTCCAGAGGGGTCTGGCCTCACGGCAAGTGCGGTGGAAGCGATTGCAACGGTTCGGGAGAAGCCTGAGCACTCCAGCCATTCGGCTGCCATGGCAGCAGCCTCTGCTGAGCGCAGATCGACCCAAGGGTCGCAGCCCATTACTGGGCTGGAGTCTCCTTCGGGCAGCTTGGGTGCGGGAGTCCCAGACAGGGCGGACAGCATCAGCAGGTACAGTAAAACGGTGGCCCAGGAAGAGGAGGAGGAGGAGGGCGTGGAGGGCTGCACGGACGCTGTTGTGGCGTTTTCGGCGGAACCCCTACTAGCACCCGCGCCTCAACCTGCTTACCTGCTCGCGTCCTGCTCTGAGGCGGCAGCGGCGGGTATGAGCGTCACCATGGCCCAGCAGCAGCAGCGCTCTGGCAGGATTGCGGAGCTGGTACATTTGGAGGACGAGACGATGGGAACTCGGCAAGCGAGCGGCGGGTTGAGGAGTATCTCAGATGATGACTACAAGGGCGATGGTGGCACTCGTGGAGAGCAGTTGCTGAAGGAGGGGAGGTGCTTGAGCATGGAGAGGCCGCTGCTGCCGGGAACTCCGGATGGGGACGTGCCAGAGTTGAGGACGCTCTTGAGCCATGGGGATGTTGAGGAGCAAGGTAAGGCACCACAGAGCACTGCTGTTTGACAATAGGAGTCTGGTGAAGGTGACTCGGGTAGTTTTAAGTAACGCTACTCCGATTTCGACACGACCCAAATGCATGTGCCCATTATGAGTTGCAACTCGTGCCTGACGACAGGTGACATCATTACGGGCTCTGGCATTCAGCCATTTGTGGCCCCGAGTGATAAGGAGAGCGACAGCGAAAAGGACACAGCGGTGAGGTACACGGCTCCGTACACAAGGGGCATACATACCCTTGCTCGCTACCTGTTTTGACGTTATGTAGTCATGCCAAACTCAACACTGCACACCCGTATATCTGCGCTGTCGTTGCTCGAGTACCCACAGCGGCTGCTTCGGGGCTTGTCCATCATCTTGTCTCGGCGCCTTGGAACCCGCCCCAGGTCAGCAAGGCCAGAGGGGCTGAGGGATCTTCGCGCGTCTCTGCTTGGGTGGACAGCGAAGGTAAGGCTGGAGGGAGGGTAACCCGGTCCCGACCCCGCCAACACAGGGCATGGCGGAGCGAGTATCCTGGGCTACAGCAGTAGCGGTACTCCCAGCCCTTCCCGGTGTTCTGACCTGCATGTGCCCTGTTTTTCTTCGTGAAGTCTGCATTGCTGCGATGCGTTGCTGACGTCAGAAATAAAAGCCATCCTACCTGCTACTGCGGGCCGATCTCTGCAGGAGCTTTCTACCAGAACACGGTCGCTGTCAACGTTAAGGTATGGCCTCGTCCCAACCGTCAGAGCATTTACCCCTGCCTTCATCACGCCTGCCTCCCCATCCATGCGCTGTGTATTGGTAGCATTGCCCCTTCCATACCCCCGTCATTTAGATTCCATCTCATGTTATCCTATGCAGCTTCAATCCGCCCCCGTCCCTCACGTTATAGACTTGCCATCTGTAGCTTGCCCGAACATATTGCGGGCCGCATACTTGCAACGACTTGAGTTGGAATAGTTAGGCATTACCCAATTGCCGATCCATGTCCTCTGCTTCTTCTGACAGAGTGACGAAGAGAACTCCGACGAGGGCACTGCGCCCGGCCGCCGTGCGTCACCCGGCACTCCCACGCTCAACGCTGTGGCGGGGCGAAGCAGCGGCGGCCGACACCAGCAGTGGCCTTCCAATGAGCTAGACACTGTGAAGGAGCCACCACTGGGGTCCGGACCCATGGGTCAGGAGGAGGTGCGGGCTGTAGATGACGACGCAGCCAGCGACGGCGGACAGAGTGGCATTTCAGCGCATTCAGGTGTGCATGTTTAGTGTGACTAACGGGGGCTCGAAGGGTTCGTCACATGGGGTTATGGGGCCAAAGTTTGTAAGGAATGTGTACGGAATGCTTGGCTGCCATGTCAGCCCTGTGCGTACATGAACCGTCCTGGATAGCCGACGAGCTGGCCGCCAGGTGCTTCCCTGTGTCTCTATCCTATGCCCTTCATGGTGTTGGGCGTTGGGAGCAATTAGGGACTTTGGATTGGTGCGACGCGGCTTGGTGCAAGCCGTAGAATGTAGTTTCAGGAGCAGATTCTTCTTCAGCACTCAACTCTCAGGTGTTGCTGTGTGCCTCCCGTGTACCGCTTGCCTACAGCTGGTGGCGGCGGCGGTCCTGAGTACAAGCGCGGCAAGAGGTTCCAAAAGCTGGTTACTCTTATGGATTCGAGCCAGGCGCAGCAGGTATGCGGGTTTGCGCTTGCATAATGCACATAGAGCGTTGGCCTGTCCTCCATTGCTCGTGCACATCATATCTAGGCTGCGGAGAGGCTTCTGAGTACCACGTACGGGCTAACACCGTCATAGGTGTACTACATCCCACGATTGAAGTCATCCTCCATGGCCTAGGCCACACTCCCTTGCTTGTGCACCATCCAGCAACCTTCTAGGCTCTTCCTGCCGTACCCGTTCTATCCTTACCTGTAGGTCCAGAACACATTCCGCAAACGCGCCCTGGGCACCGTTGCCCTGCTGGCGGGTGTCCACATCGTGTGCTTCGTGCTCACTGTCACCGCCATCCAGTCGCAACGCACCCGCATGTTGCTACTCAGTCGGGCCGGCCAGTCCCAGCGCTACATGCACCAGGTATGGATGAGGCGGCGGAGGCATGGCAATTGTTTCCAACTGCTGGCTTTGGGTTAGTTGGATAAAGATGCGCAACCCAATACAGATGGGAGGTGGGCTTCAAAGGGGCCTGACTCCTAACCCGCACCCAGCTTGAACTGCGGCCTGTCCTGGTGTTTCGCCATGAGAGTCGACTTGCAAGGTGTCGACTGCTGTCGACTACCGGTATGCTCCATGCCAAGCCTGACCACACATACACACACACCCTTGGTGAATCCCATTTTCACCAGATCCTGACCGATGTCCGATCCCTGGACGTCATCTCGAAGAACCGGACGGTCCCGTGGCTGTACACTGAGGCCGATGCGATGGTGGGTGTGCTACAGGCGGTTTGACAGATGCTTACGTGGGCTGGCGGTGGTGGGGCAGTCACCATGGACCGCCTCGCTTGGTTGCTTACCTGTCTCTCAGCCTCGCTCGGCAGCCACCTACGGGGCTTTCCTGGCAGCTGCTGCCATGGCATGTGTGCATGTGTTTTCAGCAATTAAGGGCGTTAGCAGTAGTTCTTACTCTTCGTGCCCCCCCGGCAATGTACGTGTGCAGCCGTTTGTGAATCGCATTGCCGAGGGAGCTGAGGAGGTCAAGGTGCGTGGTGGAAGAGGGCCAAGGCAATGGGTGGGGTAGGAGCCACAGTGCTCGTACGGCGCAGACTGTTGAGCTGCAAAGACGGGGAGAACGGGTATTTGATGACATTTAACTGGGAGCACGCTATCCTAGGCGTAAAGGCGGGGCATGCATGTCGAAGAGCGCCTAGGTTGAAAGCATGCACTAGCGCCTCCACGTGCACCGCGCCGTACTGTTTCACTGTGCGCACTATAGCCCCATCAAATGCAAGATGTGGGGATCCTCTTCGGCCTGTAGGTACGACTGAACGAGATCAGGAGCGCCTATTCCCAGCCAGGCTCCCCTTTCCTGGAGCTGTTGTTTCACGACTCACAGACGGTAGGTGCACCCTTGCTTTGGAATGGAGGGGGTTCGGGTTCAGGTAGCAGCTTGACCTTCGCGCCTCGCAGCACTCAATAGTGTAGCAAGGCATGCTATCAAAACTGGCCGCGATTCAGAACGTATTGTGTTTCGCCCCCCGATAAAAAGAAACCCCTACTGGGTTTCCGTGCAGGTGTGGGATTCAAAGATGGCCGACGGCTCAGACCAGTACAAGAACCTGACAGCTTGGGTGAGTACTGACGTGCACCAGTTGCCGTACTTGGTGCAGCGCAGGTGCATCCCTCGTGCTACATACCTCGACATACCGTAGCCGGTCTTCTGACTCTCATGCTATCCATAGGGGAACGGTACCAAAAGTTGTCCTATTAATAATGCGGGGAAAGTATAGGTGTTGTTAAATGCCTGACACCAACCTGGATGTGCCGTCATACCACCACACACAGCCGCGTACATGGATTCTGTTGACCCGAAAGAAGCTGACCCGGCATTTGGTGCATGCACGCAGGAGCTCTCGGCACGGTTTTACGCCATGGCCAAGAGCATACAGCAGTACCACGGCGATTGGGTCCGGGAGGGGGTCTACATAGCTGACACGCATCCCGGGCAGTTCCTGCTTAGGAGCGGACCAGACCTCTTCCAGGCTCTGCACAAGGTTAGTGGATGGCTGCACGCTCTCACACGCCGCTGATGAGCTACAGATCCACCTGCTTCGCTGTCCTAGTGGGTTGGCTTTTGTCTCTCGGCTAGCATGACTGCCTTGGTACTGGACGCGTCTCCACTCGGGGCGTGCTACAGCTAGCTGCTTCCGGCACCACTAGATGCCCTTGCCCTGCTCCCCACCGCAGATCCTGAACGCCCTCATGTACGTTGCTGTGGACAACACCCGTTGGGTGAGTGAACTGTAACCCGATTCCGGCCACCGGTATATGTTGCCGAAACTATATTACAGGGGCTACAGCCTATGCAAGGGCCAGTTGGCAAGGGTATTGGCCAGCATCCCTGCAGCAGCCCGTGTTAGTCTGAAGCTGTAGGTGCAGTGTTACCCCTACCCTCATGCCCCTAGCCCTCCCTCCCACCATGCCCCTACCACCTCCCTTGCCCCTAGCCCCTGATAGCCCCGACCTTGACCCTTCCCCCTAACACAATCCTAGCCCCTGCCCCCTTGCCGCTAACACAATCCTAGCCCCTGCCCCCTTGCCGCTAACACAATCCTAGCCCCTGCCCCCTTGCCCCTGCCGCAACTGCATGCAACTCCTGCTGCTCGTCCCGTCATAAAGGGTGTACATGGCTGAGGCGCTGTACATGCATGCGCCATGCTAGCATACCTGGTACCCTGCCAGCAACCTGCATGTCCCGACCCTGCCTTTGTGTTACACTGCCACAGCGTAAGAAGCGGCCTGCTAACCCTGGACAACCTGTATACACCCGCCCTGCAGGTTGAGTCACTGCAGTTTATCTTCCTGGCTGTTGAAGGAGCTGCCATCAGCTGCTTGTCCGCATTGTAAGTTGCGTAGCGGTGTGGGAATGAGTTGGCGTACGGGTAAGGCCGTGAACTTTTCTTTTGGCAAAATCTCCATGAGGTCCCTGTTAGCATGTTCGTCACTCCCGGCGCAAAACCAAACCCAGCACGCACAAGTTGCCAGTACGGCACCGATTGCCATGGTCAGCGATCCCTGTCGTACCGCCACACGTGCATGGTGCACTGATGCACAACTACCTGCCGTGTTTTTGCATTGCAGCTACCTAGCGTACCTGCTACGCTCGGTTGCAGCACAACGGTACAAACTGTACGGCATCTTCCTAGTCATACCCGTGGTAAGTGGATGGCTTCCTGCGAAACACTATTGCATTTCTTGGGGTCACGCCCCAATGGCGTAGTACGTGTGAAAGCGGTAGACCAAGGCGGGTGCCTGTTTGACAACATTGATGAAAGGCCCCTACTCGTGACCCACATATTCGCAGGGCCTTACGCGCGCGCTGGCATCCCAAAACACCAATCTCCATCTGGACGTAAGTGGGAAAGCCACGGGGTAATTACAAATGAGCAATGCACTGTTAATCACACCATCTGACTCTTAGCCGATCGGGCAGTCTTCCTCGTGCTCAATTGGTGAAACCCACACCAAGCCAGTCGAGCTCCAGCCAAACCTCACCCCAACGCCACTCCCGTCGTGTGGCACCTGTCTCCTACCCCTTTGTCTTGTCCTCACTTTTAGTTTGGTAATTATTTCGGCGCCAATTGCTTTGGGGGATGGGTCCTGTCACCCGGCCCCATACATCGCAGTGCACACGATGCACAGCCGCTACCATGTTGCACCATCAGATTCGTGACTGAGTTTCATGACTGAGTGTCTGACTGAATTGCGGTATCAGGATGACGATGAGGACGATGCCGAGGAGGATGAGGATCGACCTGCGCCCGCAGCGGGAGCGAACAACGATGACATGTCGGTAGGCGAGTACGGTGGCGGTGGCAGCGGCGATGGCGTCTCCTCAGCTGCCCGGAAGCTGAAACGTCACGCGACACTCCGGGTAGACTCAGATCGTGAGGAGTCCTCTCCCTCCTTGGGGGGTGGCTCTGGCAAGATGAGGTCCCTGCGCCAGCGCAAAGACAGCGATGAGAAGGGGCTCCAGCCTGGACGTAGCAGCGGCCTTGACCGCACGTCAACCATCAATTCGTTGGATGCCCAGGGCAAATGGTGGCGGGGTTGCTGCCACTGCTCCCAGGTGGCCCTGTTGTGGCGGTGGATGCCCAGGCAAGTACGAGTGCTTCATACCCTAGCAGCCTACAGCAGGGACCCCTAAATAGGATGCCCAGGATGGCCTTCCTTGGGGCATCACCAGCCGTGCCTTCAAATGTGGATCCGGACGACTCTGGTGAATGGAGTAATTGCAATGTTGTGCTTGCAATGGTGGCACTTTATCCGTCCGTAGTGCCCGTATATGTAATCGAATCCCGTTACCTTCTACTGTCCCACTGCTTACCCACCATCGTCCCAGCAGGTTAAGTCGCAGCACTGCCATTGTGCCGCTTCCACAAACCAGCACCAGCGGAGCATCACCGTCAGCGGTGTCAGCCGCTGCTGCTGCTGCTACATCGGCGGGCGGCGGCAAGCGGGCGCTCAAGTACAACTCCAACGAGACAGTGGTTATGGTTACGCCCTTCATCGTTTGGTCAATGCTGGTGAGTCGTCTGTTGCTTCTGTTTATCCGCGCCTCAGCCTTGGCTCTTGCACCTCCTTGTGTGCGTCATGGTGTTTTCTGGCGTCATTTTCCATGGGGAGCATCTCCCATGAGTCCGGACAACTGAGAATGAGCTGCTGGTGTTGCCAATCCGCACACAACCACTGGCGTTTCTGTGGTGACTTTATCTTCCGGCAATCACAGCACGTTCCGACTCGCGGCCAGTTTTCTTATTACATTTGCTCAAATGGTGGTACACGGTTATTGGTGCCCGCTGCATGCAGGTGATCACGATCTACGCTGTCGCAGTGGTGATGATGAAGGTGAGATAATTCCATGGGTTCTAGTTTGTGAAACATTATATATGCAGCATGCCGTACATGCTCGACTGCCTGCCATAAACCCACCATGAACTTACGAGTATATGCCGTACATAGGGGCGTAGCTTTGGGCTACTTATTACATGCCGCCACGCCGCCATGTTGTAAATATAAGAAAGGTTTCCAAGGCAAACGACTTTTGCCGTTGCAGGATGTTGTCCAAGTTGTGGCGATTCATTCGGTTGCAGACTACCTGTCAGGCAGGACCTACCGCACGGTGTGTCTCTTTGCAGAAGATAACGTGTTTGGCCGCACGCGTCGTTTGTCTGGGAGTTGTTGTGTGAGTAACGTACGGCGCTTGATCACCTGTCGCACCACTCCAACAAAACCGAAGTGCCACAACAACTGCATTCACTGCCCATGCTTCTGCCTTCATTCCCTTGCACCGCCAGGTCTTCCTAAGCCAGGTACGCCTGCTACCAGGCGACACGCGTGGTATGGGCCATTAGTTCGCCACGCATAGGAGGCTGGGCCCAAGGGTTAATCTGTCTGTTCTCGCCGGGTCGCTTCGTGTCGCTGGGTAGCCTAGACATACACTTTGCATATGTCAATAGCATGCACTGAAGGTCGGACAACTACTGCTCCTGTCTCCTACCTATGGAGGTTTCCCTTAGGGACGGCTGTAACACGCACGCACGCCTGCATGCGTGTTTTATGATACTGGCGCAGGAAGTTGCTATCGTGGACGACTCCTCGCAGCTGCTGGCAAAACGTGCAGCCCTGTTCTCTGTCATGAAACTCGTCAAGGACGCCTGGTACACGCTGCAGCTGGGAGAGGGTGCCGATTTGGCCGCTGGTGGGTATTCACTCAGTGAATGGGCCCAGCAGCCCACGTCCTCTTATTAACATATTCAACGGTTGTATCTGCTAGCGCCCCGCTACATATGTCAACCTGACGCACGGGTTACAGATCCCTGTTTCACACTAGCCAAGCAACCCAATAGGTCCCGACGGTTATGACGGTTAGCGCCCCCCCTGGATGCAATGTTGCCAACCCGACTCAACAGGTCCCGACGTGGAGCGCTTCCCGCTGGTGAAGACAGGCCTGGTGGACGCCTCGCCAGCCATCACGGAGCTCGTGTACGGCAATGGCGCCTGCCTGCGATCCGGGGTGAGTGTCTGTGTTATATACATGTATGTAGCTGTGGCAGCTGTGACCGTGACGTGAAAGGGAAGCGAGGGCCTACCTTCCGCTTTACCAAGCAAGCTCGTGTAGCGGCCCATTTGTCGCACTGCATCCTTCCAAGCGTAACCAAGGCCTCGAAAGGCCTTAATGGCAACTGCTGGCTGGGTTGTTTGTCCAGCTGGGTATGTACATGCCCATGTGGCGCGGCTTTACGAAGGGTACGGTAGCTGCATGCCACGGGTGTATCTGTGCCGGTGCGATATCCATCCCGCCTGCCCTGACCCTGCTAAACAGGTTTGCTCCATGCCTGCTCCTTTGCGCTGATGGCTTCCATTTGCTTGCAGGACAACCTGCCCTGCCCGGGTCCCGACTACCGTTTCTACCACTTGACCCACTCCGGTCTTGATAGCATGATGCAGCAGTTCCTTGTCAGTCTCTCTTACATGGCCACCAACCAGAGCCTGACACCGGAGGGGCTGCAGGATGGTAAGTGGCTGCTGGAGCTACTGGGCTAGGTACTAGGTAGTAGTGAGCCGATGCGCTTGTCGTACTCCCGTACAACACCGCGCATGCCGTACGTTGACCCCCCTGTTTCGAAGAATATGATGCTGCTCGCGATCACGCGAATCCACATGTTCATCCCTTACATGTGTGACATGCAACTGTCCCCACGTACCGCTATGTGTGCACGCAGAGCACTTTGACTTCATCTACAGCGTCGGCTCCAAGGTACGTAGGCATCCCCGCTGTGTAGCGCGTCAACCATACTCCACAACCATCTGATGCTAGGCAGCTACCGGGGCGCACACGGCGCAGTCGTCTGCCCTGCGCTGATATACTGCTAGGAGGGGAAGACCTAAACGACCGCCATGGAAAGCTAGTGACTGTGCTACGCCGTTCGCTAGTTACGATGGGGGTTGTAAGACTAGGCGTGTCTTGTTTTTCGCAAGCTTTCCCGCGCAGGCACACCACATGTGTTCGCCCTACCTTGGCGTGCTTTGCTGACCGCTGTACGCCAACTCCTGCAGGATCTGCTGGATGGGACTGTGAAGCTGGCGGAGGCACACTACCAAACCATACTGGAGCGCTTTACGAGTGAGTCATCAGGCACATTGGAAACAGCTCGCTGCAGCTGTAGCCCGCCATGCCTTCCTATCCCTGGCCCTTTGTGGTGATGCTGCCACAAGTTGCGGATATGCGTACCTGACCCAAAACGCAAGCATGCTCCAAGCAACCGCTCCCACACATCCCACGCAGACATCATGGTTCTCCACATCGTGTTGTTCCTGATGCTGTGGGTGGTGTTCATCTGCTTCCTGGTCTTCCTGCTCAACCCACTTATCAAGAGGACGACAAAGGAGGTGAGAAGTTGTTAGGCATGCGAAGCAGTGCAGGGCGAGCAGCTTAAGCATGCCTTGCGGCGTGCCATACCGCGTTGTTGCTGTGAGTCCATTGTTTTCGTCGAGGCTTTTGTAATAGGCAATGACCACACGCCACAAGGTTTCTTGCACCATACGACATACGCATTGCAAACCGCGCCATCCAACCTCACCCGCCCCGCAGCGGCGGCGCATCGCTGAGTTGATGAGCCAGCTGCCCCTGGAGCTGGATGTGGAGAAGCTGGTGGCGAGGGCGCTGGGAACAGCAGCAGCCAACAATGCAGCCAGCAGCGGTAACGCGGCGTCAGCGGGCGGGGGCCCGGCGAGCTACGTCGATTTGGGCGAAGGATGTAAGTGGGCTGATTGAACCGACTGGGGACTCCGTGCGACAGTATCCTTTAGAGTGCAGGGGTACGTTTGGACACCCTGCCCGTTTTCCCCTTTCGTCTGCGCCTGTGTGCGCATCCTTCCGCATCCTTCACCTGCGGTGTCATGTAGCGTCCTGCTGACGTTGCCACTTGCCCCCTACCTGCTGCTGCACCCGCCGGCGCAGCCCCTGATCGCGGCGGGCAAGGCGCCTCCCAGCAGGCAACAATGAAGTGGAAGGCAATCATCAGGTATGCACGGCGCTGTGCGAATTGCATTTGGATAGCCGTACATATATACCGGTAAGCTGTTAAGTCACTATCGCTATTGCAGTGTTGCTACTGTTCTTTCGCGCCTGCTGCTTCTATGTTTGTTGACGCTCCCAACTGCCCCATCCGCCTGCTGCTGCAGGGCCGCGAGTTCCCTGACGGGCAAAGCCCCTCCGGTCGGCAGTACGACAAATCGGAGGTCCTCGCTGCTCGCCGCTGCTGTTTAGGGCTCGTACATGTCAGCAGCCAGCAGCAGGGCATGGAGGGACGGCTAGAGGGAAAGGCTAGCCGTGTGACAAGGCATGCGGGCTGGGTGCTCCCCAGTGCTCCCCAGCCCGCACCCGGCCTGCCTACCCCGCCTCACCACCGCGTCCACTTGTTATTAGGGTACTTGCAAAGCACATGCGCATTGCAGGACTGAAGCAATACGTCATGCTATTGGCCAAAGGCCATCCGAGGACGCTGCATATTTTTTCCCACGAACTGCTTGACGGTGGGTCTTGAAGAAGTCTGACTTGTTATTTTCAGGGTGGCATACATTTAATTTTTGTTGACTGAGGGGAGCGGAGGAGTTGTTGACGTGAGGGAGGGAGCATGCATGAAGCAAGGGGGCTTGCTCGTTATCTGGGCGGCATGAGGCCAGCGTGCGTGTATAACTTTCGGAGCAGACCTTTAGTACGAGGTGCACCATGTATTCATCACTGACAGTGAGCAATTGGGACCCCGCACACAATGCACAGAGTGGTCGCGTAAACCTGCAACACCCAGCGGTGCAGCATGTTTGGTTGTCTGGCCGGATTATTCTTGGCAAGCTTGTGGCTGGCTGGCTGGGCGCTGATTCCGTCTGCCTAGAGCATACTACGCTTTACAATCATTGGTTTAATGCTCCCAGCTTATGTGTGGAGCGGGAGTGGAGCATCACTAACTTGCCCTGGTCTCTCTGCATTTGTCGTACATATACTTTTTCGTAAATGCCCGGGGTCTAAAGGGTCTTCATGCCCGCAGTCCCCGCCATTCTGCTCTTTGCGTGGGTGTTTTGGCCGACAAGTTAGACACGGGTTTCAGTTGGGGCATAGCTGGTCCACATGCGGTGATTGAAACGGATACGCCTCCGGGAAGTAATTCAGACATTACATTGTCAATTGTGAAGGGTGAATACCTGTGATGTAACTTCGTAAAGCCACGTTTTTTGGTAATGATCCTGGCAGCAATCGGTGCCCACAACACACAGGGAGAACCCCTGCAACATGATCCTGTTGGGCCCCACCCTGGTCCCTCCAGCACAATGTGTGGTTTTGGCCCCTTGGCCAAAACCAACCAGCTACGCCACCCTACGCTTACGTGACAACCAATTGATCGAGGAGTTTTAAAAGAACTTTGGGATAGGATCGCACCCAAACCCGTGCGGCATCATTCAATCAGATCCATATCCGGATTGCATGTTCTCTGTTAAGGGGAGATAGTTCTGCTGTTTGCGTCCTAGGATGACCTGAGAAGCTTTCCTAAAGTTTGTGCGCAGCCACAACGCCCTGATTGTGCTCATCCTCCGGATTGCATGCTTGTCATTCAGATTGCGCGCTTGTCAATCAGATTGCAACGTTAAGAGCTCAGGCAATACTGTAAGTAGTTTCGATGCGAGCAATCACGAGCTGGGAGCGCCTCTTCAGTTACGATGGACGACGGGCTTGTTCCGACGAGCCAACCGGTTGATAGATAAATTGTATTGCAGTTGTTTACCCTCTTTAAACTTAACTAGAAGGTGCAGCAGTGAGCAAAATCGTAGAAGCTGATTCCAGCTGGCAGCAGTTGTTTCGGATAGTCCGGTTGGATCCAGTCATAACTGCCGCTTTGCCAGAAGCCTACGCGTACACTGCACAGGCGGCTACTCCATGATATTGCACTCACACTCGTGTTTGTTGTAGCCAAACTATTTTAGTGTCAAGGTTCTGGTGTATCCGGGCCCGCCTTGTTGCAATGAATTGGTAGTAAGTTAACCAAACCATATAAGCGAGGAAGCATGTCCGGAAGGCCGGTGCCCTGGGCGAGTTGGGAGGAATGGCTTGCGCTGCGTGAAGACATTTGGAGCGCCGACCCGCTTCGACAGGAGGCTGGGCTTCAGCAGGTTGGTCGCCGCCCCTTGCACTTTCATAGCGAAGCACCATTACATAGCTTTATGCAATCCTTTCTCTACCAAGCCGCCGCCGGCCGACCGCGCCGTGTGGCTCTCCGCTCCATCCCACCCCAACACTCGCCCTCCGCACATCCCCCAGAATGTTCCCTTGGCCTCCTTCTCATGGCTAAACACTGCTCCCTGCCCATGCAACGTATCCATGCAACACAACTGCCCTTACTCTCGTTTTCCACCGTATCCACCTGACATCCCAAATTCCCCAGGTCTGCGCTTGGCGGCTGCGGGGCAAACTGCCCCTAGGCATCGACACCACCGCACACCTCCTAGCAACCATCCGTGATGACCAGGAGTGGCAGCGAGCAGTTGCCTGGGCATCCTCCACCGCAGCCTCGGCCACCGCAGGCCCTGCTGCCGCCGCTGCCGCTGCAGCGGAGGCGGCAGTAGCAGCCGGCGAACTGCCGCTGCGACTGCGCTACAGCCTGCCCCTCATTCGCCTCGTCAACGGCATCAGCGACAGCCAGCAGCGGGGCCGAGTGGCGGCCAGCGTGGCGGTGCTGGCTGACGTTGCAGGTACGGCATGTCACGGCATGGTCAGACGATGGCACTTGCCGTACATCCCTCCATTCCTACGAATATTCCCGAAATCGTGTGGAATCCCCCTCCCCCCCTTCCCCCCCTCTGTCCTGCCCTCCCGCCCCAGGCCTTCCTCGCGCGCTGGTGGACGTGCGGCATGAGGCGACCCACACGGAGCTGCCCTCGCTGCCGCTGCTGCGGGCGGCGGCGGACAGCGCGCTGGGCTGGCTGAGGGAAAACTACTGGTGCGTGGGGCGGGTGGGGTTTTGAGGGGGGGGGCAGGCGAGGTGAAGGAGCTGGGGTGGGCGGCATGTGTGTATGGGGCTGCGCGGCAGGAGTGGCTCCGATTGGAAGGTGTGAGGATGCAGGCAGCCGTGCTCCTGCCGTGTGGTAGCGCGCTGAGGAGACGCCGCAAGGAGGTCGTTTGGCACTGCTCGGTTGCACAGGAGCGGTACCGGGGCTTCTTGTTTTCCCCCGTCCGCCCTCCTCCTCGTCCTCCTCCTCTTGGCCCATCCCCTACCATCACATCATTCCCATTCGAAACACCGGGTATCCTTCTTCCCCGCTTCCCCACCCCACCCCCACCCCCACCCACTTCGTCAGTGTCTCATCATATATATTTTTTACCCCCACCCCACCTCAGGGACGCGCAGGCACGCGCCCTGGACGCCGCCGCCGGCCGCATCACCCGCCTGCTGGGCTGCCTGCTGGACAGCTGGCGGGCGGCGCTCGCAGCGGCGCGGGCGGGAGGCAGGAGCAGGCGGCACGGAGGCGGCGCGGCGTCGGAAGATGAGGACGATGAGGAGGAGGAGGAGGAGGAGGTTGAGGATGACAGCGAGGAGGAAGGTGCTAGCGGAGGTGGCGGAGGTGGCGGTGGTGCTACCAAGGCAGGAGGTGGGGGCAGCAAGGGCGCGGGAGGCGGGTACAGCGGCTCGGAGGGTCAGCGGGCGCGCAAGGAGGCGCTGAGTGAGCTGCGGTCGCTGGTGCCCCCGGGGGCCTTCACGCAGCAGCTGGTGGCGCCGCTGCTGGGCTGCGCAGCGCTGGCACCGCCGCCGCCGCTGGGGCTAGCAGGGCTGGGGCTGGGGTCGGCGGTGCAGCAGGGGACGGGAGGGGGCGGGGGAGCGGGGCAGGCGCAGAGGCAGCAGCAGATGAAGGCGGAGGTGGAGGAGCGGGCGTGGCGGTCAGGTGGGTGGGTGGGAGCAGGTGTGGGGTGTTGGGAAGATGCTGGATGGCGCCCAACGCCGCATGTGCGTGTGCTCTGCAAGTACTCCATTCTCCGGTACTGGTGCGCTGCTGTTCTTTCTCTCTCCCTCTTGGGTTGGATGGTTCCCACGTTGGGTTGGATGGCTCGTTGTCCCCATCACGCCCGCTGCTACCTGCTAAGCATGTACCGCTTCTTCCTCCCTCCCCCACTGCCCCCCGTGCATGCAGCCATGAAGCAGCTCTTCAAGTGGTATCCCCGCCTGAGACCGCTGCTGCTGCAGGTACGGTAGATAGGGAACACGCGTGAGGCACTGCCCGATGCCTGTCGCAGTGCACTAGCTCCCTTAGGGCTGTGCCTCTGCATGACGCCCTGTGCGTAAAGCAGTTGCGGTCCGCTCGCTGCGCATCACATCCCACTCGCCCCGTCATTACGTCCCCGCTCTCCTCCTCCCTCCTCCCCTTCTGTCAGGCTGCCGTACAACGACTAGCAGCAGCCACTCGGACCCGTAGCCCGCCTGGTGGGGCGGCGGAGGGCTGCACCTCCTGGCCCTCCTGCGCCCCGGCTGCTTCCACCCCTGGAGCCGTGGCAAGCGCGGCGGGAGGAGGGGCTACGGAGGAGGAGGAGGAGGCGCGCCGGGTGTGGTCTCTGGCTTGCTGGGTGCTGCGGCTGCTGCCTGCCGCGGCGGTGGCGGCGCAAGCAGCAGCGGCGGCGGCAGGCGCTCAGGACACAAGCGCTGCTGGTGGTGGTGCTGGTGGTGTCCAGGTGCGGTGCTGGGGTGCCATGGTGCATGGACGGGGGATGTCAACACACGGGGCTGGGCTGGCTGGGCTAAGTTGTTGTTTCGGATTCGGCTGGTTTGTGACCGGTGCACGGGGAGGGGTCCTGGTTGCATGCTGCGGGGCGCATGGTTGCCGGCACACACCACACGCGCGAGCCTGTGCGGAGAAGAGAAGAACGTTACACGTCTGAAGGGTTCACGCATCGCCTGTCGGAACATGCTCTTGGTCTTCACCGCGTGCTTCCCCGCGTGCTACCGGTACCATGACAGGATGCCCGACTGGGGAGTCCGGCTAAACGGAAAAAGCAGCAACAACAGCAAAAGCAGCAGCATCAGAAGCGGGCGCAGGGGGGTACCTGTGGCAGCGGCAGCACTGGTGAGGAGTTGTTCCTGGACGGGCCTCTGTCGGCCACACAGCTGCGAGAGCTCCTGCGCATTGCCGGCGTGGAGGAGGCGGAGGAGGCGGGCGGGGAAGGAAAGCGGGGAGGAGCGGAGGAGGAGGAGCAGGTGCACGTGGGGGACACAGCAGCAGGAGCAGCTGCGGCGGCGGAGGCGGCAGCAGGAGCAGCGGGTGCAGCGGGTGCTGGGTTGGGGCAGCCGCAACAGCAGCAGCTGTTGGGTCAAGGGCGATCCAGGGAGTGCATCAAGGTGGGTGGAAGGCTGGGAAGGCTTTGGCCGGGCATGTAGCATGTGGCAAAACCTGGCAACACGGTGGATAGGGCTTCGGGCGCACACGCAGATGTGAAAGGCTCAATGGAGAGCTGTTTGGGACCTCTGCCGGCTGTAGTGAAGGGCGGCGTACCTAAGTTACCTGCGGACAAGGCCCCCTAGTACCGGTATCGCGCCCCCACCACCATGGTGCCCGGAAGGGCCGGAACGGCGTGTTCTAACCTTGTTTCCCACCTAACCTTACCTCCCCGCCTGGCCGCCTCCCGGCCTCCCTCTTCCCCCCGCTGCCCCCAGGTGGTTATTGCGACGCTGCGGAGGGCCCTGCAGCTGGCCGGAGCAGGGGCGGGAGCAGCAGGGCCGGCAGGGCCCGCCGGCCGCACTGCGAAGCGACCTAGGTACGACAATAGCAACAACGCTAGCAGCAGCGGTGGTGGCGGTTGTGGGCAGCTGCAAGCAGACCAGGAGGAACGGCAGCAGGATCAGGGACAGGGCGCCACACAGGAGGACCATCAGCAGCAGGAGCAGCAGCCGTGGCAGCAAGGCGGAACTACGGGGCCTCCCCGTCGCTGGCAGCGGTGTGAGAGCTGGTCCCGCTGCGCCATCGGCTGCCTGCCCTGCCCGCTCAACCCCAACGGCCGAATTCCACCACTGGAGCCACCACCGGTGCCTCCGCCAGCACCGCTAGCGCAGCAGGAGGCGCATGCGCCGCATGCTGGCGGTGTTGATGGTGGTAGTAATGCTGGTCATGTGGGTTCGGTGCCCGCGAGTGAGGGTGGGATTGACGGGGAAGCGGGGTGCCTGTGCGGCAAGGACGTGATGGGAGGTACCCGTGCTGGCTTGCATGATAGCGGTTGGAATGCTGGTGACGAGGGGGAGGTTGAGGAGGAGGATGTGCATGGGCTTGCGGAGAGGGAGAGTGAAGTCGGGGAGGATGAGGTCGGTAATGGAGAGAGCGATGGAGGCGGTGCGGCGACGGGCGGTTTGTTTGGCGCGTTGTTGCAGCAACATCAGCAACAGCACCTTGAAAGGGAGCAGGAAGGTGGGCAGATGGGGCACCAACCGAGCGTTGGTGAGCAAGTAGAGGGAGGAGAAGGGGGAGAAGGGCAGGAGGAAGAGGGCCAGAGAAAGGCGAAGGAGCAGCAGCAAGCGATGGCGGGCGGGTGGGGCTTAGGCGGGGGTGGAGGTGCGATTGGGTTCATGTTGTGAGCGGGCGCAGGAAGCTTGTAAGCGTGTGAGGTACAGGAGAAAATGGTTGTGGCGGCAGCGGCATGTGCAATGCAAGGATCCACGTTCGGCAGAACTCTACGTGATCGAGCCTGATCCTTGGGTCATCATCTCGGCTTATGACTAGCCTGCCGGTGCATCTGTATTTATGCATAGACTATTAGAAGCACTGCTGCTTAGAGGTTGATGTTAGAGAGGTAACGACAATTCCAACAGAAGCCCTGACCCAACGTTATCCGCAAGATATCAGCCCCGAAGAAGTCGTAAGAGAGGATGAAGATGGGCGAACTCTAAAGTGCTAGCAGGAATAAGGAATTCCCATGGATAGCTGGTTAGTTGTGCAATACATAAACTTGGTGTAAGCGGACCAGCAGACGACGCCCCGAAAAACCGCTGTCAGGTCATAATTTAACAAGCTTAGTTCTTACCTTCTGAAATCTTGGAAATCAGCGCTCGCGGCGGAGGCCGCTGAGCCACGTCTTGCAGAGCCCTTGAACATGGACGCCGTTTTATCCCGCTCCACAACCAAGCCATTCCATGGAATGGTTATGCCCTGTCATCGTCGTGGATCAGCTTGTTTTGCCGCGGCTTCGGGGCGTCGAACACTCGGTTTAGCATGGCATCCATCGGCATCGCTCGTGGCGTCCCTGCGCGAACGGCAGCCAGCGTGTCCAGTGCCCCATGCTGTTCCTAGCAGCTTATCGACGAAGCCGCGCTTGACCTACGTTGGACAAGCTGTATCAGGTACAGGATGGATATACTTGCACCGACTGGTAATTAGTCCGCTTCACGGCCACCCTATCCTTTGGCAGCTGCACACGGCCCTCAACCCTGGACACTCTGCCCCTCGGATACCCTCGGATATCTCCTTGGGGTGTATAGGGTATAGCATAGGTTAGCCCCAGCCCGGGCCCGCTGCTTCACTTCCTACCACCTAAACTGCTCATGCCGTGCATGCCCCTGCCACCCCCCCCCTCTATTATCGCTGCTGGCAGGCGCCGGTGATGGGCTCAGCCACGACAAAACGTTGTACGGCAGCCGAATAGAGGTACGGCACGCCCACATGGAGTCTCTAGGGGCAGTTTCATGCGTACGGCAGCACCCCCCCTGCTTTGAGTTGCCCAACTATCCCCCGCCTCTGGCCCCATGCTTCTTTGGTCCCCACGCATTTATCCACATATGCGCTCTTCTCCTCCCCCTAAAACCGCCTTCCTTCCTCCTCCCTCCTGCCGCCACCCTCTCCCTCCCCTCTCAGGAGGCCGCGGGCGGTGTGCTGCGCCCTCCCCCCATCAGCCGCCCCGATGCCGACTTCGAGTCGCAGCTGGGGGTGCAGTTCGTGGAGGGGCGCGAGGGCATCGTGGTGACGGAGCTCAACGAGCTGTTCGAAAAGGTGGGGGTGAGGGGAGGGGAGGTCAGGGGGAGGTGGGTTGGGTCCAGGGGGCCTGGCGGTAGAAGAGCTGAACGAACTGTTAGAAAAGGTGGGGGTGGGGGGAGTAAAGAGGAAACAAATAACTGACCGCGTCATAAGGCATCATCATGGTTTGGGGATGAGGTAACGGTGCGGGCGCAGGTGCCCATGCAGGAATAGTGTGGTTTGCCGCTGCTGCACTACCCTTGCAAGGAATACGTTGGGTATTATCCTCCCCGCCCCCCTTCCCCAGGTTGGCTTCCCCCGCCGCGACCCCGAGCGGCTGCGGGTGGCACTGGAGAACACCTACCACATCATCTGGGTGCGGGCGACGCGGACGACAAGGCTGGCGAAACAGGTGGGAGGGCGGGGGCCGGAGGGGGAGGGGGGAGAACAAGCAACGAAGAGGTGTTGGGGCCAGTCGGGGAAGAACCTGACTGAGAAAGGCTCTCTAATTGCTGGGCTGACGGGAGTAGGGGACGAGAGCGCAACAACGCGGTGTCTTACGGTGCTCTCCAGCTTCCCAGCCGCCACCACGCCCGCTCTGTCTCTCCACCCCCTTTCCCCAGCCTTGCCCTCACTTGTGGCTTGGTGTTTTTCCTAACTTCTCATTCCCCCCACCCGAGCATGACATCATCCCTCTTTCCCCCCTTTCTCCACCCCTTACTCCACCCCCACCCCCTCCACCCCCAGGGCCAGATGGTGGGTTTCGCGCGCGCCACCAGCGACGGCGTGCTGTCCGCCACTGTGTGGGATGTGGCGGTGAGCCCCGCCTGGCAGCGCTCGGGACTGGGGCGGGCGCTCATGGAGCGGCTGACCAAGAAGCTGGCGAGTGTTGGGGGAGGGGGGGAGAGGGGGGGGATGTAGGTTGACAACGGAGTCCCAATCCCAAATTACGAGGAGGGGAAGGGAGAAGGACGAGAGCCGTCCAGCCGCCAATGGTGTTGTTGTTGCTGCTGCTGCTGTTGCTGTTGCGGCCTTGTCGGCTGACAGTGGTGCTTGTTTGAGAGGATCCCGCTAGCTTAACTAAACGGTAGCTAGCCGCCGGGCTCACCGGGCATTTCACAACGGTGAAGCACCACTACCATTAACAGCACCACTACCATTGAGATCTCGCCCCACCCACCTCCCACCCCATCCCTCGCTCCTATGACCAACACTGTTTTGAGGCACCCTACCGCTCCTATCCCCGTTGTTTCTCCCCAACCTGTGGTTTGCTACGGTTCGATGTGGTCTTTGACCCCATCCCTCGCTCCCCAGGTTGAGGACGGCATCCCCACCGTCACCCTGTATGCGGAACCGCAGGTGGGGGGAGGGGCCAGGGGAAGGGGGCGGTAGGTCGCGGGAGATGTTGCTGTAAGGACTCAAGTCAGGCGAGGTTGCTTTGACTTTGGATTATGCGGTCTGAGCTGCAAGCACGAGGTGGGCAGATGGCAGGAGTGTAGGGGGTTGCCGAGCACGGCGGGGGGTGTCGTTCGCCCAACTGTGTTCCCCCCCCTCTTCCTGCCGTACGCAGGTGGTTACGATGTACGAGAAGTTGGGTTACGTGCGAGACCCCGAGGGCATCCGCGGTATGGCCTTCCAGCGCCGGCGGAAGGAGAAGGCGGGTGGGCTGCTAGCCAGGGTGGCGTGATGACCCATGGGTCAAGACAACCCCCGCCGGCTTCCAGGCGGACTTGTTCGCCAATGTGAGTGCATGATGAGGCGGCAGGAGACCCATGGGACGCGGAACACCCATTGATGACCCACGGGTCGCGACAGGGCTTGTCCCGGCCGAGGGCAGTGTCGATGCGGTGCTACCGGACTCAGACGTGGGACCCCCTTCACCATTAAGTGGCAGGGAGGGAGCTCCCACAGTCGCCTGTGTTTTTGAAATGATGTCTGGTCATGCTTTTCAGTGAGTGTGTTTCGTTGGAGAGGTTGGGAGAGGCTTTTTGAGGGTAAGGGCGCCGCAGGAATAGGCGCGCTGCAATTTTCCCAGTGGGTCGAGCATAAGGCGACGTGAGCAGCAGGTGATGTGAGATGATGTGAGGTGCGGTGTGTTGCAAGCGACAGGCGGCGATTGGTGCGGTTTTGTGCGTAGCAGCTTGCATGGCTAGGAACAGGCGAAGGCGAAAGAGAGGCGGCCAGTACAAGAGAGGGGAGAGCGTAAGGTGTTTGAACACGAGAAGGATGGCGCGCCAGAGGGAACGCAGTAGATGTTGTTAAGCTCACCGCATGTCTACATTTGTGTGGAGAGGGCTACGAGAGGGCCAAAGAGGAAGAGACTGGCCAACCGTGTGACATATGGTTCCACCGTGGGTTGTTTTCTGTGGGGAGGGGGCTGGCGCTTCCCATTTTCGGGTGTGTAAGGAGGGTGTGGATTAGAGGGTAGGCATGGCAACTTTGGCAAGAGTGTGGCTTGCTGGTTTGCGAGAGCAGCGTTTGTCGACAGCAGGGGAGCGAGGAGAGGTGAGAGCACATTTGGGGCAGCAACAGCACTGGGAGGAGGGGTACGTCCCTCTGCTCCTCCTCCTGGAGTTACAAGGCGGCGTGTTCTTCGTCGTACGCAGTGGTGGTGCTGCACACTTGGACGAGTGTTCCGTACAATGATGTTACAGGTGTTACAAACAAACCCACTGGCTGCCAAGCGAGCGGAACAAGCAGTTGTGATAAGGTAACTGGCAGGTGTGCAAATGTGTGTGTGGGAGTGTCAGGTGGGCCCTGCACAGCCGCGTGCTGCCGGAAGGCGCTGCTGTGGCTACTGCGGACACAGGGACTGGGTGTGAGTGATAGGTTGACCCGACTGTGTTTACCATGTACAGTCTGCATCTGTACGGCAGTGGAGGCGGTGATGGTGCCCAAGCCATGACGGCATGTTGGTGGCCATGACGGTGGTGGAGGTGGTGGTGGTGGAGGTGGCGGTGGAGGGAGAGCTGCGGATAGACCCGGGTTACCCCTGATGGGAATAACGTGTGAGGACATGCGCGCATGAGGGCTTTGCGGTTCCATGTGTCGCAATCAGCGTTGTGCGCGATGCGGGCTTGAGTGCCACATGTTGGAGCAGGTTTGGGGCAGCTAAGGGGGGCTGGGGGGGTTTGGCATTGGCACAGAAAGGCTATTTGTCACGCAGCATGCATCTGTCGGGCCGTGAAAATGGTGGGCATGCCATGACAGCCTGTGTATTGGCACCACACACTGAGCAGGAGCGCATGTCGGGAGCTCAGAATGGTATCCATGGCTTTGGCATAGCTTCTCGCGGATGCTGCCTCGCACGCTCTGTGTTATTAGGCTGCATGACCTATGACTGTATTAAAATGTATAATACGCGCAAACCATTCGACTCAGCAATATGTGGGCCGTTCCTTAGGCTGCTTACTAGTAACGCTAACGTTGCCCTTCATGGGTGTGGTTTGGAGGTTGCCTGGCGATGAAGAGTGTCAACTCCGTTACCATACGACGGCTACTCAACAAAATGCGGACTATATACAATGTCTGCAGTACAACACGCTGTTACACGACAGCCTACCGGCTACAGGCTACCAGGGCATGCCTTACACACGCGGCGAGGCGAGCGTTGCGAGGGAAGGTGCACCGCAAGCGGCGGAGGCGCATGCCGCACGGCAGCACCGGTGCCGCAGCCGCCAGTGCCGGTGCCGCCGGTGCGCTGCGAGCTGTAGGTGTGCGGTAACCCCAGGTGCGGAAAGCACAGCGGTGCATACGAGGGCGACCTGCGGCTGCGCAGGTGCGGCGGCTGTCGTGCCGTACGCTACTGCCGCTTGACGTGCCATAAGCCGCGTTGAGAGCAGGGCGGGCACAGGGCTGACTGTCAGGCGGGTTGGGAGCCGCGCAGCAGCAGGGCGGGTCGCACAGGGGGGGAAACACCGTGAGGGAAACCGGGGTGAGAACGGTAGTGCCGATGAGCCGCATCGCGCTGGTGCGTGTCCGCAGTAGCTGGCTGAGGGTGGCATGAGGATAGCGGCTGCATGCGTTTGAATGCGAAGGGGTGGTAGGGGTGGACGTGGTCTCTTGCGCAACCACATGGGGTCACTAATGGGGAGATAGCGGGGAGCCATTGGTCACACAAGGGATGCTTGTAGGGCTGTCACTGCTCCGACACGTCGTCTAATGGCTTGCACATCCTGGTGCGGCGCCGGCTGGTGCGGGACGTGCGAGAGGCTCCTCTACTGCTTTCCAACCGAGTTAGGCTGGCTGCGAGTGCGACAGGAGCGGAGTCGGTCTGTCCGTCAAGAGATGTGGGGTGCTCTGGTCCGTTGGTAACATGCACGCCGCTGTTCGGGGGAGGCTGTCCGGGTCGGGTTGAGCTTGATGTGGCTGATTGCTTTGGGTCTTTGCGTTACAAAGCTTTTGAGCATGCAACACAACAATGTACGACCATGTACGACAGATCCTGTGGACAGGTGAAAAATGTCGACAGGCAGTACACAAAACACTGTTCAGGTAGCAGGAATCGGAAACCGGGTCATCAATCACCCTCTTTCCTCTCACCGTCTACCTCCTCAAAAGTCGGGAACACGGACGGTTGGGTAAAGGCGCATCATGCAACTAAAGACGTTGATACACCCCCACTCTTCCGTCCTCCCCAAACATCGTCCAACTACAAACTCCCAAAAAACGACACCAAGGCGCAACAACCAGCACGCGCAACGGCAACGGTTATAACCGACCTGCCGTCGGTTACAGCAACCACCCTGGAGGCATCCGCCCGCGGTTCCCAACCATGCACACACGCATGCATGCTAGCAGAGTCCCGCTGCAAAGCACTGTCATGCCTAGAGGTCTCCAGTCTTGCGCATACTTGCCTGCCTCCCTGCTTTCCTCCTCAACAGAGGCAGCAGAAACAGCAGACGTACAGTACCTCCAGTCAGAGGTCGGCTGTACGGCAAGCGATGTACAGCTGCAGGTGGTTTACGACAGCTGGCCGCAGTCGGCGATGGTGATGCGCTGCGCGGTCTTGCCGCTGGAGGAGCCGAAGCCCTCGATCTTCTTCACAACGTCCATGCCCTTGATCACGCGGCCGAAGCTGCAGGGAGGAGGGAGGGGAGGAGGAAGGCGGGAGCATGTATTGAAGATCACTGAACTGAACTGAACCAGTAGGGATGCGGGGATGTGGGGGTGCGCGGGAAGGCGAGCGGGGAATGGTACGGAGCTGGTGCGGCGAGGGGAGTCCTAGGCGCCCCGGGGACGGCTATCAGCGCACAGCCCTGACCGCTTTCCAGCTCCAACCTCTCCAGCCTACATGTCTTCCAAGTCCCAACTCTGCCGCGCTCCAAACCCCACCACATCCCACCCCGCTCCCCCCACTTACACCACGTGCTTGCCGTCCAGCCACGGGGTGGGCACGGTGCAGATGAAGAACTGGGAGCCGTTGGTGTTGGGGCCGGCCTGAGGGGTGAGGGGGAGGGGAGGGGGGAGGTTAGGGCGGGAGGGAACGGGAGAAGCATGCGGTGCGGGTTGGTGGTGGTGGGCAAGAGCGAGGCATGACGGAGGTGGAAGGGGCGGCAAGGGCAGAGAGCAGCAGCGGAAATAAAGGTTGAGGAGGCAAGTGAACAGGCGACCACACGCAAGACTCGCAACACACCGAACACGGCTGCTGCTAGCAAGGGCAGCCAGCTAAGCAACCACCCCTCAATCCACAATCCAAAGCAACACATGCACGTACGTTGGCCATGGACAGCACACCGGGCTGCGTGTGCTTGTGCACGAAGTTCTCGTCGGGGAACTTCATGCCGTAGATGGACTCGCCGCCGGTGCCGTTACCGTTGGTGAAGTCGCCGCCCTGGCACATGAACTGTGGGTGTGGGGGATGGTGAAGGTAAGCAAGGGGGGGCATGTGTTGAGAAATCTGGCCGCAAGTCGGAACATACTGTAAGAGTGTGTTTTGGGAGAGGGACAGGGGGGCGTCGGAAGGAGTGCGGTGTTGGAGTAGGAGGTCTCAGATAGCCTAGTAAGGACTGGCAAGAGCGGTGCAGGGAAGGCACTGCGCGTGCGAGTGCGTTGCAGGTAGGGTTGAGCAGGGTGTGCAAGGTGCAGGTGTGAAAAGAGAGCGGCGGCAGGCGGGGGTGCTCGCACCCTGCTGCTGCCGCTGCCGGCCTACCTGGGGAATGACACGGTGGAAGACGGAGCCCTTGAAGTGCAGGGGCTTGCCGGACTTGCCCACACCCTTCTCGCCTGCGAGCATATAAATGCAGCGACGTAAATGCGTCTTCCTATTCAAGAGGTTAACTGACCACTGGTGCTCATGATAGAATGCGATTGTCAGGTTACAAAGGAAGCTTACCAGTGCACAGAGCACGGAAGTTGTCCGCGGTCTTGGGGACGCTGTCAGCGTACAGCTGCATGGAAAAGGGCAAGGGGCAGCAGTTACTATTGAGAACGACGCGCCATGCCATGCGGCCATTCGGCGGCTTCCAGCAACCTAAACTGAGCCCCAGTTCTCAGCAGACTGAGTGTTTATAAAAGCGTATACAATGCAGAATCCCCACGGTGACGATGGAATAGGCAGGAAGTAACCAGTGCCGCCTAGATCGCGATCGGTCGGCGCCTAGCCACCGACCGGGTTGCACAAGACGAGAAGCCCGTGGACCACTCACCTCCATCTCAATGCGGCCAACCGGCACATTGTTGGCCGTCATATCGAAGTAGACCACTGGGTTCGGCATTTTCTTTAGGTTTGGAGCCTTCGACGAGTAATTATGAAATGAGTGGGTCAAGTAAGGACGCTGAAATGCCTGCCAGCAAGTACAAGGTGGTCGAGAGATTCGCTGAGCTCATGTATGACGCCCGGCCACTTAGTCCGTACTTCCATGCATGCCCCCCTGCAGCCCGCTTTCCCGCCTTCTCCTGCCGTATGGCTGCAAATGTCGGAGCATATTACCTTCCCGAACGTTCATGGTTGCTGATATACGAAGTCGCAGGTGACTGGTCATGAGCCCGTCTGTTCCCTTCGAGCTCTTACGCTTCTAACTTGGTAGTTTCTATGCAAAATCGTGCAACCGTCGCATTCCGCATTCCCTATACTTAGGAGCGTCCCTGGAAGTATCAGTTTGCAACATGTGTCTTGCAACCCATGCTCTGCGCGCAACGATCCAGCATTAGAGGTTGCCTTCGGAGAGCGGGCACGAAGAGATACCGCTTGGAGTTGGCATTATCGGAAAGACGCGGCACGATGCGTCCCTGCTGCCGGGCAAGAACTGCCGCATCATCGCTCCCCGTCCCGTTCACTCCACGGCCCACGCATACTACGTTGTCTTTTACGGTCTGCACGTTATGCTGCCACTTGCTTGTATGACGCCTTGTACGACAACACCTCTCCCGCTTCCACTCCTGGTGACTGGGTGTGTTGCTGACATCAAAGCCGTTCAGACTGCCCTGTGGACCTGCTCCCTCAGACTGCCCTTTCCACTACACGACTGCGAAATCCCCCAAACACCAGGCGCCTTAGGCCAACCCATCAAAGTACACGACCACGACCGTCTCCCTCCCGGGCTTGTCCAGGTTGGGATCACAGCAATTGCATGCAGGGAACGGAGATGTCTGTTAACCCGCTTGCTTACAATAAGCAACCCATATGCTACCAAATGTGCTCGAGTAAAGATGACTTACGGTGGTCAGTGAGGAATATGGTGAAAGACACAGACCTACAGTCCTGCGTTTGTGGGTTAGCGCGTGTTGGCGTGCCCGAGTACGGGCACTCATAGTATTGGCGATGTCACTCTTTTTCGGGGGGCAATGTCCTGGTAGTACATAGCGTAAATGTGCGCTGTAACATGGCCAAATCGCCTTTTCTATGGACGAGCGTCACAAATGATGATGCCCTTGCTGATGCATCACAGTCGGGTTTACTAAACACAGCTATTGCCGCCGTCAATATGCGTGATGTCGCTGTCCGGGATACTGGTATGCTCTGAACCACGCGCGGAATGGGACGCAAGAAGAACAAAAAACAACCAACCAGCCAACCAAGAAGGCCATTTAACAAACCACCGTTGACATACCAAACATAGAAGTAGAATGTTGAGGTCGTCACGAACTTGTTCGTGATTTTGTTCAAACTCCAATGCCGAGGATTGGCCACTCTTCAACGGCTGAAACCACCGTTAGCGGTTGGCGTGTCTCAGTTGTCAACGCGCATTTTTGTCCGTAACTACGCATTGAAAGTGATGGCTTATTCGAGGTTAGCGGCGGTCCTCTTGGCGGTTAATTGAGACCTGCATTCGCTTAGATCGTTAGCATCCTCCAAACCTAGACCGCTGTAACAGGCATCATGACTGCCATACCAGACCCCAAAGCTAAGCGTTATGACCGGCAACTACGAATTTGGGGTACGCATGGCCAGCAGCGACTGGAAAGCTGCTCCATCTGCCTACTGAACTGTGGGCCAACGGGCTCAGAGACCTTAAAAAACTTAGTGCTTGGAGGTATTGCATCCTTTACAATTGTTGATGGTGGCAAAGTGGAGGCGCGCGACTTGGGCAACAATTTCTTGGTCAGTGCATCCAGTTTGGGCGAGCCGCGAGCAAAGGTAGTGACGGAGCTGCTCCAGGAGCTGAACGAAAGCGTTTCAGGCAGCTATGTGGAGGAGGTGCCGGAGGTCCTCATCGCCGACAACCCCAACTTTTTCAATGGCTTCGACCTAGTCATCGCAACCCAAGTGAGGCGTTGATAGGCCGCGCTGGCCATGGCGCGCGGCTATGGGTCTCGAGTATGGCGACGGGGCTTTGGGACCTCCAGTGCTTGTCCTCCTTACCCTCCAACCACCCCCTCCTTCCCTCCGGACCCTCCCTGGGGATATGGGATTGGGGCTCCAGTTGCTTCACTTTCATGTTTACTTCTCCCTTCGGCCTGGAGGCGCCACGCCACGCCTATCTCCATTAACTTGCGGTCTCTTTCCGATCTTCTCCCTGACGCCCCACCCCATCCCACCCCCCGCCCCCTTCAGATGCGCGAGCCCGATGTCGTACAGCTGGACGAGCTGTGTCGTGCCAGTGGACGAGCGAAGCTGCTTGTCGTACGGTCGTACGGCCTCGTGGGCTACTTGCGGGTGGGAGGGTGTATGAGGGGGGTGCGGGGGGATTCGGAAGGGTATGGGCATTTTGGTGTGTTTGCGGTACAGGGGTGCTTTTCGCACGCGGACCTACGGGAGCATGTGTGCAGTACATGCTTTTGCCGTACCGGTCCAGCTGAGTGTACGAGGCGGCGGGTCGGCTGGTGCTGCCGCTGTGGCTGCCCCCTGCCCCCACTCGCTAGGCACCCCTCCCCCACCAGCAGCAGCAGCGCCCCAGGCATCCTGTGGGTGTTTTGCGCCTCTTCGAGTTCGTCCTCCTCTCCCCGCCCCTTCCCTTCCTCTCCTGCAACCTGCTCTCCCCTCACGCTCCCTTCCCTTTTCTGTCCCGCAACCCCCTCCCCTCCCCCCCAGGCCTCCCTACCTGAGCACCGCATAGTGGAGTCCAAGCCCGACTCGCAGGTGGACGACCTGAGGTGGGGCGGGGCGGGGGGTGGCGGGGGGTGAAGAGATGGGGGTGGGGGAGTGGGCTGGGCTGAGGTAGCGGGCCGCAATGACACACTGCAACAAGGCAGCTCGCTCCAAGTAACCCGGTTTACACCCTCCCCCCCTTCCAGGCTTGCTCAGCCCTGGCCCGAGCTGCTCTCCTTCGCCGCCTCGTTCGACCTGGGCTCGATGGATGTGGTGGCGCATGCACATGTGCCGTACGGTACGACACGGGGAAGGGGGGCATGCACATGTGCCGTACGGCACGACAGGGGGGATGCGCCTCAGCCCTCCGCTGACACTCCTCCGCTGCCCCTCCCCCTCCTCCCGCACCCCCCCTACCTACTACGTTTGCAACGCCATCATCTTCCGGGCTTACATGCTTGCATGGCGGCTGGCTCCGTTCAAGCACCCCCTACCTCATGCCCTCTCCCCCTCACTTCCTTCCCGCTCGCTGCGCTCCCTGCGGCAGTCGGGACATGGTACTGTGCTCCACTTCTCATTGGTTCCCCCCCCTCCTCCCACCTCCTCCCCCCTCCTCCCCCCCTTCCCACCCCCATTGCAGTGGTCCTGCTGCTCCAGGCGGTGGACCGCTGGCGCGCTGGCCACTGCGGCGCCCCGCCCGGCTCCTCCTCCGCCGACAGAGCCGCCTTCCGGGGGCTGCTGAAAGGCATGCGGCGCAGCGTGGAGGGGGTGCAGCTGCATGTGAGGAGGGGGGGGGAGGGGGTGCAGCTGCATGTGAGGGGGGGGGGGGAGGGGGTGCAGCTGCATGTGAGAGGTACTTGCCCATTCCTCACCTTCACCCCTCACCCCTCATTCCCCATGCCCCCCCCACCTCCCGCCCCAACCCCGCCCCCCCCTCCCGCCCCCCCCCCAGGAGGAGAATTTCGACGAGGCGGTCAAGGCCGCCTTCCACGTGTACACTCCCTACGTCATTCGTGAGTGCGGCAGGGGGGACGGGAGGGGACCGGGGAAGGGGGCGCGGTTGGCGGAATGAGCGGCACGGCCACATGCGTGCACTCCTCAGCCGCCTGGCGGGCCCTTCAGGACCCTGAGCTGCGGCTCTACGGGGCTGGCGGGCGGGCGGGTCGGGGCGACCCGCGGGCGTATGACCGAATGAGGGTTGCGCCCGGGGGCCAAGGCCGCCATTCAGCTGTCCCGGTGCGGACGAACCTGAGGCCCGGCCCTAGGCACTAGGGAGGGGAGGGGCGGCGGGCGGGGGGGGGCCAGGGTGAAGTATCAGGGCAACGCCTCCCCTCGAGCAATCCCGCACTCCTCCGCGTAACCCCGGGCAGCCAGCAGCGCTGTACCCTGCCCCCTGCCCAGCCCCCTGCCTGTCCTCATGTGTGCTGTGCACCCCGGCACCCCGGCACACACACCCTGCCTGCTTGCGCCTCCCCTGAGGTGGGTGGCCAGACCTCCCCTCCTCCCACACCCCCCCCCCCCCGCCCTTACCTCCTTAGTCTTACCCCTCCCACCCCACCCACTCCTCCCGCCCCCCCCTCCCCCCCCCCTTCCCCCCCTCCGCACGCCAGCCTCCGAGGTCCGCTCGCTGCTTGCTGACGAGGCGGCGGGGTCGGCGCTGGGGCCCGGCAGTGACGAGTTCTGGATCCTGGTGGCGGCGCTGAGGGAGTTCGTGGTGGGTGGGGTGGGGGAGGGGACTAGTGGGGGGGGGGCTAGTGAACTAGGCCGCGGTAGTTACGGACTGTGGGGAGAGGGTGTGCGCATGTGCGATTCTACTCGGTTTGACACGTTTTGCACCCCCCTTCCCCCCGTCATCCTCCTCCCCCCCCCGGCCTGTGTGTCACAGGCTGCCGAGGGCGGCGGCTGCCTGCCCCTGGAGGGCTCCATTCCCGACATGCACGCCACCACAGAGTGGGTCCAGCAGGGGGGGGTGGGGAGGGGGTCCAGCAGGGGGGTGGGGAGGGGGGTAGGTGCCAGGGAGGCTGCAGAGGGCCAGCATGGAGGGAGGAGGGGCGAGGGATCCTGATGAGCCGTGACCCATTAGAAGAGCCTGGTCAATGCGGGACGCAGAGCGGGTGGTTGGCTGCAGCCATGGGGGCCGTGCTTAGCATATTGTATGCCCTGTCCCGCGCAGCCTGCACCCGTTCCCCGCTGGTGTTATCGCTGTTGTACGGCTGCTGGGGGTGGGGGTGCAGTGAGCTGGGCACCCCCTTAAAGTTGCTAAGGTTCGGTATGGTCTTTGACCCCCCACCCCTACTAGTCTTCCGTACTTACTCCCTATATCATGCATAACCCCCTCTGCTCCCTCCCCAGCCTCTACCTGCGTCTCCAAGCCGTCTACCGCGAGAAGGCGGAACGTGACGTGGCGGCGGTGGAGGCGCATGTACGGCGACTGCTGACTCAGCTGGGCCGTACGGCGACGGAGATCCCGCATGAGACGGTACGGCACTATTGCCGGCATGCACGACACCTGAGATGCGTGAGGTGGGTAGGGAGGGAACAAAATAAATAAGTGAAACAACGGAGTCCCAATCCCATATCCCGACTCATGCAGTGAGCGCATTCGGAGACACTATCCTAGAAGCAGGAGAAGAAGGGAGGAGAAGGAGGGAGAGGGAGGTGCTACTCTGGGTGGCTGGCGACTCTTCGTTCTGCGTTAGGTGGAAGGGAGGGAGGGAGGGGAGGGGGAGCGGAAGGGTGGTGCTTGGCCCCCCAATCCCGCCCCAGCTCCTCTTCCCCGCGTCTCCTAACCCCTTCCCGTGAGCTTGCCTTCCCTCACAGCTCTCGCTTACGACCATTCTCGGGCAGTGGGCGTCAAGATTCGGGCACTTCACGTTTACATTTCCTTTACCTCGCGCCTTCGCTTCTACTTCTTTGCCCCTCTCCCAAACCCAGGTACCGCACCCTAGCCGAGGAAACCAGCCCCGAAACCGCCCGCGGCGCCGCGCTGGCGGCGGCCCTCAGCGGCGGCGGCCCCGGCGGCGGCGGCGGGCTGTACGGCAGCATCATGGGGCTGGGTGGCGCCGCCGTCGGCGACCTGCCGCCGGGCGCCGTGGCCGCTGCGCTGTACCTGCTACTGCGCGCCGTCGACCGTTTCTTCGTACAGACGGGGAGGTACCCGGGTACGGCAGGCGGGGGTACGGCAGATCCCGCGGATGACGTACCGCTGCTGCGGCAGGCGGCGGTGCAGGTGGGGGGGAGGGGGGTGAAGGAGGAAGAGAAGGAGGGGGGTGTTGAGGGGAGGAAAGGTTGGGGTTGGGGTTGAACGGTTGGAGGTGCGGTTCCGATGTGCTGCTGCACCCGTGGCAAGAGGTGCTTGGCTGCCCCCGCTGGCTCCACTCGCATGCAGCCAGACGGTTCGAGTCATCTTCCGGTGTTCCTGGGTGCGGTGCCCCCGGGGCACCTACGCGCCTGGCCTGCTTCGCTCCTCGCCTGTCGCGCTGTGAAGCACCCTCACCTCCCCTGCCCCTTTCCCCCACCCTGCTCGCCCGCCCGCAGGTGCTGTCGGAGCTCGGCCTCTGCGGCAGCAGCAGCGGGGGAGGCGGCGGGGGCGGCGGCGGCTCCGGCCCCAACCCCCGCCGCTCCCCGGACAGCACCAGCGGCAGCGGCAACCTGGCATGCGGGCCCCTGGGCGGCGGGTGTGGTGGGGGTGGTGGTGGTGCGGCGGCGGCTGCGGCGCTGAATGAGGACCTGCTGGTGGAGATGTGCCGGGCGGGGGCGGGTGAGGAGGGGGGGAGGGGGGGGGAGGGGGGGAAAGAGGAAACAACTGACTGAGGGGAGGGGGGCGGGGAGAGAGCTTCCAAGGAGGGCAGGGGCGGCTGGGGAGGAATGGGGTCTGGGCGGGATGATGAAGAAAGGGATAAGAACGTGGAACTGTTTGCTGCAGGGTCAGGGGATATGTAGTGGGGATGGGGGGATGAGCATGCAGCACGCAAGGGTTGCAGCTTTGGAGGCCCCCTTCCGACTCCTCCCGCCGCCCCTCTTGCCCGCCCCCTCCTCCCCGCCCCTCCACCCGCCTTCCTCCCCAGCCGAGCTCCACGTGGTCGCCGCCTTCATGGGCGGGGTGGCGGCGCAGGAGGCCATCAAGCTCGTCACACGGCAGTTCGTACCGCTGTCCGGCACCCTGCTGTACAACGGCATGGGCTGCAGTACAACTGTACTGGAGCTGTGATGGGCCGGAGGGGGGCTGGGGGCGGAGTGGTGTGGCTGGGTTTGGCTGCGTGGAGGTCGCATGATGCGTGTCGTGCTACCGGGGGTTACTGCGGGTAGCATCGGGAGCACAGCAGACTAACGCCGCACGTGGCGAGGCAGGATTGCCGCGGAAATGGTTCTATGGCGAGTGGTGTGGGGTCGGAGGTAGAGCAGGTCATGGGAATGGGGGGAGGGGGCGGGAGCAGCGTGGCGGGTGGTGCACGGACGTACGCTACTTCACCGGTTGTAGCACGGCTACGGTAAAAGACTCCTAAAGGGAAACCTCACAAGATTTCGAGAGGCCCTATACGACCCTTGTCACAATGGATCTTGAGACTCCTATGGCATGCGCGCAGCAGCGTAAACCAGACGTACGGGACAGTCCTCTGAAGGGCCCTGCTCTGCCAATGCGCACAACAACCGCACCCGCACATGCAGAGGTGAGTAACAACAAGTCACCCGCGCTGACAGTGCCCCAGCTAGGTTTGTGAAACCAAAGTCGCCACGGCGATGACGCATTGACCAGCGGAATCAGATCATTTGTACAAGTGTACGGTGAACGTGCTGTCGCTGATTAATTTCATGCTTGTTGCCCTGTGAGTGGATGAAGAGCGTCGTGAAGGGTAACTGCACGGCCATGGCGTGTTCGCAAGGCGCAAGCTAAAATCTCGCTACGATGCCCCAGCAGTTGCGGGAGGCAATTTCGCCAGTTGTCAGGTCTGCTGGTGCTTCGCAAACTTAGCTGTGTGCTTCTGCATGCTATACGCTTCTTTCTTTCTTCTAGCCGGACACCTAACTGAGGGAGACGACAGGGGGTTTGCTATTTTGCTCTCATGGGCGTGTCGCGTAATGCTAGGTGTGTTACAGAATCACAGCTGCTTCATTTTGTAAAGCACTTCCAAGTTCTGCGGTAACAGGCGAAAGACTCAGTACCGGGAGTAGTTAGTCATGCCTTGTTCACCGACGGCTCAATTGGCTGCTTATGGCGGTAGAGGCATACGCAACCTTTATATCTTCCAACTTAATATGCTTTTAATGGCATACTGAAGGCCGACGCTTCGCCGAAGGAGCGCGAGGGTTGGGCTCTAGCTTTTATGGCAGGCCAGCTGCAACTCGTGATAGCGTGCACCTTAGCAGCAGCTTCTGGCTTGGTATTATGGTTCCTTGAGCAAGGGCGCGAGCGGCGACAGGAACCAAAATCTGGCTGCCCCGGTCGCTATGAACGCGTGAGTTGGGGTTTGCAGTAGTCTATCGGAAGCTTATCTATTGGTTTATACAGAAGTTAGAATTCCATGTGCAGGGAATGCGTGAACGCGAGTATATCCGCCTTATCCCGCCTGGCGAAATGCAGCTAGTTAGGAGCTTCTTGCGGAGCATTTACAATGCTCGCGGTTGGGCTATCGACGCAGCGTCTCGCGAGCGGGCATGGGCGGATGTTTTGATCACAGCACAGACTCATGCGGGCGGCAATTGGCCGCTGGACTTTCAACCTAGCGACATCACGTCAGAGCAGCTTCAATCGCTATGCCTTGCTGTGGAAAGGTTCTTCCTGGGAGGCCTTCTCTCCGCACAGATTCGCAAGTGTTGTCGGCCGCTCCTGAAGGTCGAGATGGGTGTTGACCCGCGGGATCCTCATTCATGGCTATCAGGCCTGCACGAGGACAACACCATTTATGTCAACGCTAACCGCTTGCGGGAAAGTATCTCAGACGTCAACCCCATGGATTTTGAGGGCACGCTTTGTGTCAGCAAATTGGAGGCACTTGCACATGCTCTTGGCCATGAGTTGGTCCATGCGGTGGTGTTAAACTTCTTTCCCGAAATGGACGCGACCTCGCCTGCTTACATACCTGACGATAAGCACGGACCCATTTTCATGTTGCTGAACAAGCGCCTGTTCGGCCACACTGGCCATGCCAGTCGGCGCCTGTTCACCGTTGATGGGTAGATGCACCAGGAGGGGCTCTGCGTATAACCGCATGCGTTCCCACTACCTACGTTGTATGACCGTGCTTCATGTAAGACGCGAGGCGCACTGCAGCTTAAGGGCAGGAACTGGTACTCTTTCCTAAGATACGTCTTATGTCATGTCCGTGAAACAGTCGTCAGGTCAGGGTCAGTAGACTTAACAGTGTTGAGTTAACACTCGTTCGTATGCCATGATGTGTATGTAATGTCTGGGTTCCCGATACGTGGCAGGTGTGCATGCATGGGGGGCTGCCGGTGGTTTGGTGTAGCCGTCACGCCTAACCGTGCGTTGCATGTGAGCCTGCTGGGCTTCACTCAGTGTGGGTGTTGCATAAGGAGTGCATCATCAGAAAGGTTGCGACCCTTCGTATCTGTTGTTACTACTATAGACGGTCCAAATGATAACAGCATCGGAATTTCAAAGGCGTGCAAGCCGTGCACAGGTCTTGTATACAGGGTTTGGGCCTTGTAGCTTTTTGCTGGGTCTTTATTATGTTTCGGAACAACCATGGGCCCGTTCCAGCATTCATGAATGCGGGCATTGCGGTGGACATCGTTGCAACGGTGTGATGGATCCCCATGCCATTTCGATGCGGGGCGAGGCGGTAGCAGCAGGCTGAGTGCCCGTCCTGGCTGAGTTGGGTGCAGGTATAGTCCAATTATGCAACGCGCACAGAGGTTACCTAACTATGAATAATGAATTGGTGCAGAAGGCACAGTTAAACTTCGGTACCAAGGGGCACGCCAGCGGTAGTAGCAACCCGGCCGACCCATGGGTCATTTGGCCTTTGCTAAAAACCTATATTCGGGGGGCTTTGCGCTGGAACACAGTGAACACGGAAGGCGGCAGCTGCCTTAACGGTATCACAACCTTTGCTGACGTGCACTACCGGTTAACATGATGCACGTTGCAGGCCTGGCTGGCTGGAGTTAGTCGCAAACATACTGGATGGAGCCACTAGCCACGGGGTTACCCCGTGTAGTGGTGCTGCACGGCTGGGTGCGCTGGGTGCTCAGTGCTTGTCGTTATGGCGCCGGTGGTACGTGACCCATGGGTCACTCCGCAGGTCGCGGCCGTCGCTTAGTCCCGCTCAATGGACAACATTCGAGTAGCGGAACGTCCAGGCTGCGGCACCAGCAACTGTTGTGGTCACTGTTATGGGTGTTGCAAGGGTCATCGTCGCGGCTGCGGTAGTGGACGAACACGAAGGCGGCAAGTGACTTTGTCACTGGTCCTCAAATGTAACCGGATGCATGTTGAGGCTAGGGCTGGGTGGGGATAAAAGTATTACATCAGTGGCCCCTTGCGTATCTGACGGTTTCGAAGCCAAGTTGTTAGCCCAGGCACTTAGCTCCTGCTAAACGACTGCATCCCTTCGCGGAATCGTGCTAAACGACTGCATCCCTTCGCGGAATCGTGCGCTTAAATGACGAGAGAAAGGGCAAGATGCTCACGTCCACACAGCCACCTAGAAAACTGCCGACCTTCCATGATGCAGCAAGCAATGATGATCCGACGCCGGGGGCTGCGCTTGCTGACGTTGGGATTCCAGGAATTGTTAGGGCTTTCCTTCGCGGCGACCTGGCGCGAATTGATGCCCAGTTGCCAACCTGGCTGGACACCCTGGCTAGCGTCGGAGCCGGAGAATGTTGGCACAAGAAGTCAAGGTAGAGGCGCTTCTTGTGCGATATTTACAAGTTTAAGAAGCGTTTCGCTGTTGCTATATTCGGTGCCGAGGCCTGGCGTAGAGTCTTGGCCTCCGCGCGCTATCCTGCCTCTGCGTGTAAGCTCCCATCAATACTCTTTCGCCTCGCAGTTTCAAGTCGCACCTTTTTGAGGTTTATAAAATCTGCAAGATATGGCGCCAGGTAAGGTGCAAGGTGCAAGCGCTCCTCCTAACGCCAGGATGCAGACAATCCATAATACACACGTGACCATCCTTTGCGCACGCCAAGCAGCGCTAGGGAAGCAAGCGCGGAAGACCCCTTACCTTTTTCTCCCCAACATCCCACCTCCCGCTGCCCTTTCCCCTTTCCAGCTGCCACTCCCGCTCCCAAATCATGGTACTCCGCATTACTCCCCTCCCGCCCCCCTCCCGCCCCTTCGCCAGGACGACGCCGTGTGCCGCTGCGCGCTGTTCCACTCCGCCTACAGCAACAGCTACGTCAACCTGGCGGTGTTTCAGGAGGGGTCGGAGCGGGGGAGGCTGCAGCAGGTGAGGGGAGGTGGGGCCGGGCGGACGAGGGCATGGGGGCTGGGGAGGGAGGGGAGGGGCGAGGTGGGTGGAGGAATTGGGTTGAGGAGCGGCATCTGAAGGGTGAGGCGGACGAGGACCTGGGTTGGTCGGGGGATATGCAAGAGGGGAGACACTGGCTAACCGTGTGACTGACATGCAGGCTGCACCGTGGTGGGTGGGGCTTGCGGGCGGGCGGTGCTGGAGGGAGGTTGGATGGCACCCTGCAATGCCGCAAGCAAGGGCAGCGGCAAGTGGACACCCACCTGCCTGCTGGCTTCCTCGCTCCTTCCTAACTCCGATTCCAGGCCCCCTTGCCCCACCGCTCCCGTGTTCAGACCGGATTCCGTCTTGCCCACCCTCCAACCTGTCCGCCCCACCCAGCACTTCAACGCTTCTCTCCTGGCCCCCCCCAACCCGCACCCGAACCCCCTACCCCTCCCCCCTCTTCCCCCCTAGCTCGTGGGCCCGGCTGCCGAGGACCTCATACACACCTTCTGCCAGGTGCCGCGTCACCAGCTCGTGTACGACATGCTCCTGGCCGCCACACCCTCCGCGCAGAAGCTGGCGGAGGCGGGGCTGACGGGACATGGGTTGGCGGCGGCGGCAGACGGTACGGCAGGGGAGGGTACGACAGCGACGGCGGCGGCGGCAGACGATACGGCAGGGGTAGCGGCTGGTGTGTCGGCCGCACCTGTCGCCGCCACCGGGGGCAACGCCGATGCAGCGGAAGAAGGGGAACCTTTGCCGGCATGCGATTGCGCTGGCAGCAGCAGCAGCAGCAGCAGCGGAAGGAATGGGAAAGCGGCGATGAAGGCGGAAAGGTTAACGGCTGACGGACCGTCGTCGTCGTCAAAGACCGCAAAGGAGGCTGAGGCGGTGGAATTGACGGAAACAGCGCCGGCGGCGGCAGCGGCGGTGTTGGCGGCACTGCGGCGCGCGCTACCGTCGGAAGGCCTCATTGTACGGAACATCAGGACGGGCGAACCGTTGGCGGTTGACCGTTTGACGGTTGCTCGTTTCCTGGTGCTGACGATGGCGGATTTCTGCGAGCAGTTGTTCTCATGGCAGGTGATGCGGTCTGGGGCGGCAAGGTTGAGTGAAGGAAGATGTTTCCAAATTGCGCCCCCGTCAACCCGCCTCTGAAGCCCCCCTAACCCCTTCCCTGGATAGCTGCAGTGCTGACCGCACTGCACGGCTGGCTAGTGATCCACGGACTCCCCGGCGTAAGGGCGCTCCCTAAATATTTATTAAATAAATTTTCAATGTTTTTGTTTACCTGACCCGCCGACCAGGACTCCCTATTCGAAAACCACACCGACGGGCGGCTGCTGTTCTCCGGAGCGAACCACGGGTCGCTGTGGCCGGGGGCCTGCAAGCCGGGGCTGTGGCACTCGGCGCTGTCGCGGATGGGGCTGCTGCTGCGGCACGCGTGTGTGGGGCCGGGGGGGCGGCCGCTGGTGCCGCTGCCGCCCGTCTTCGAGAACTGCACGCAGGCGAGGCGGGGTGTGGAGTGGGGGGGGGGGGTGTTGAATTAGATACCGGTGCACAGTTTTCCTGGCCTACTTTTGGTCTTCTTTTGGCCATTTTTGCTCCCCTGTCATATCCTCTATCCTTCCTTCCTCCAACCCCCCTTCTCCTCTTTTCCCCTCCCCCCTCCCCTCCCCCCAGGTCATCACGGAGTCCAGCCAGCTGGCAGCTCGGGACGCCTACTGGCTCGCAGCCACCCGCCTCACGGAGCGACCCCAGCACCCGCGTGCGGGGGAGCTGCTGGGGGAGGCGGTACGACACAACCCGCACGTGGCAGGTGGGGGGGGGGAGAGGGAAGTGGTGGGCAGGGGTGCACAAATGTAGCAGGGGTAGCAAGAAAGGGGGAGCAGGCGGATGGAAAGGTAAGCGGAGTGCCGTACTGTACAGCAGCTCGGGCGGATGTGTACCATCGTGCCCGCTTACGGCACCCCTCACCTGAGCCGTTGTTGGCCGGCCCCAGCCATGCAACCTCATCAGCCATTCCTCTCCTCCCTCCCTTGCTTGCTGCCGCCCCCCCACACCCATCCCCCTCCTCCTGCCATTTCTCCTCCCTCCTCCGCCCCCATCCAGAGCCGCACGTGCTGCTGGCGCAGATCCACGCGCAGCGCGGCGAGTGGCGACCCGCGGGTCAGCACGCGGCCGCGGCGGTGCGGCTGCTGTCCTGCTGGGGCACCGCCTGGGACAAGCGGATGGGCTGGGAGGCGTGGATGGCGTTCAGCCGGGTGCTGCTGGCGCAAGCGGAGGCGGCGGGGCGGTGGGTGCTGGGGCAGGTCGGGGACCAGCAGCAGCAGCGGGAGGAGCAAGGGGTGGAGCAGGGGGAGCAGGGGGAGCAGGGGGAGCAGGGGGAGCAGGGGGAGCAGGGGGAGCGGGAGCAAGAGGGCCGGCAGCGGCAGCAGCGGCCGGAGGTCCCCTCAGGTTGGCCGGATACCCCCTTCGGCATGTTGAACCTGGGGTTAGTGCCGGATCTGGGGGTGCCGTACGAGGTATGATGTACGGCATGGCAGGTGTTGCCCGCTAGGCGTCACCCGTTCTTTGGGCGGTCGATGTGCGTGTTGTCTAAGGTGCCGTACGTTGTGTGATGTGGGACGCATGTGGGGTGTCAATGGGGCCGCTTTACGGGTGCTAGTCGAGGGACGTGTGGACGTGTGGGCTGGGGTATGCTGGTCGTGCGCCGGTACTGGATCGTGCTGGCAGGAATTTCAGATTGGAGTCAAAGCACACACGACATGAATGGGGCGATCCCTCTGTAGCATTGCGGATAAGGAAGGGGGCTACCCCAGGGAGTAACCCATGGTACCCATCCTGGACACTTTTGGCAAGGTCGATGTTGCAATTGTCTTGCAACCGTGTTGTGGGGAGGTCGGCGTCGGGCCAATCTGGTTGGAGGCTGTGCCAATCAGTTGCCCTGAGGCAGGTGTTGTCCATGTTGCCGTACAGGTTGGTGACGTGCTCTTGCTTGTCTGAGGGACATGTATGTGCGCCCACGCATCTGCGCCATCTAGATTGTCCTTGCTCGCTCTTGCATAGTCGAGTCGCCCCTCGCACCAAGGCATCAGCATCGAGATGTTGGAGTACGATTTGCGGGTGCCTTAGTCACCTCTTGCCCGCCCAGCACGTGGAATGAATTACTCTAGAAAATTACGATAACTTAAATTTGGATGTTATACTGCGAGTATAACGCAAGAAGGAAAGACCTTGCGGCCTATCTGCGTTGCCGTACAATGTCTGCAACTAACTAACCATACTCAGCATTCATCATGTCTTGAAGCAAACGCATATAGTGTTCGTTGTCTTTGCACCTTTTTCACGCCTTGCTATAACCGCTATCTTGCTGTTTGTGCTCTTTCAGTAAGCGGAGGTTTCCCAATAAGTCGCTACCGCTGCTTGATAGTTGCCTCCTAAGGCAGATCAATTTCAGGGCGGCTTGAAAGTCCTGACCAGTGAGTCTCTAGACCGGTATCTAGGCGTACTGTATAGAGAAGCGCGCCATGGTGCCCTGCTTCCTTGCTTTCCAACTCCTGAATTACGGATTACCCAATGCAATTACAACACGGTTATTTCACTGATTATTTCTCATGGCTATCATAGGGAATGGCTTCTTATAGAGGCGCGCGCATCGGGCAGCGGGAAGCTAGCTTTGAAGATGTCGTTCGCGAGTTGAGCGTCTCCGCCTTGGATGCATTCTTTGACAACCTAAAGGACGAAGATTGTCTTACTTCAGTACGCTTGGTGTGTCGCGCCCTACGGAATGCTGTGGACGGCAGTGCGCGGGAGTTGAGGTTCCGCGTTGATAATGATGTCGGGGACCAATGGAAGGCGGGCCAGTTGCCGTCCCTATCCCGCTGGCCTCGCTGCACCTCCGTCAGACTCGTGCACGCTGTGCAGGTCACTGACCAGCTTGCAGACAGCTCCGCCCGCCTCCTCCTCCTGCCCTTCTCGGGCATGTCGCTCAATGCCCGACAGCGTATCACGCACCTGACGATAAGCGAGGAGAAAAAACGCCCACTGCTTAGCGCCACCTCCGTTGTCGCCCTCATAGCGCAGCGGTTGCCAGGGCTGCGGGAGCTGAAGCTGCACCGACTGTCCATCATGCCAGCTGACCGATTGAATCTCTGTGCCATGTACGACAGCCTCCAGGCTTCCCTTCCTCACCTAGAGCTCCTCACGCTTCCTAGCTATCGGGCTCTAAAAAGCATAGAAATCCTAGCCGGCGACAACCTTAAACACGTGGAAGCTTACTGCTACCATGACTATGCCCCGCTCAATTTCAAGATCCTAGACAGCTTGGCCCAATTGGACGGCCTTCGAAAGCTCTCCTTATACCAATGCGAGCTTTCCCCATCTGCTCATCACGTTGTTAGCAGGTGCTCGCTACAACAGCTGCTGGCCAGCCTGCCGGCCTCCGTACAGCACCTGCAGCTGTACGATTGCGGTCGTACAAGCCTTGCCACGCCGTTCAACGCTGCCATTGCCGTAAAGTTGCGCCGCATCATCTCTTTGGATCTTTCCTTCGAGAAGCACCTTACAACGACGTCGCTTCTCCTTATGCTCAGAAAACAGAAGCTGCTGACGTGTTTGGAGTCGTGGCGGCAGCTGCTGCCAGCCAATCGGCTGCGGCTGCCGCCTCGTTACCTGCCGCAGCAGCTGCCTCACCAGCTGCTGGACCTGCTGCATGTCCCCTCCCTGGAAGCTGACAGCGGGGAGCTGCTAGATGACTCGGCAAAGGCACAGCTGATGGCGTTTAGCTCCTGTTTTGCAAAGGCCGAGATCGGTACGCTGCATCTGGGCCGCCACAGTACGGCAACCTCCGCGGCTGCCGTGCAACAGGTTGTCGAGATCTTGGGAGATCCGAAGCAGCTGAGGGCGGAGCCGCTGTTGAGCTCCAACCCACTGTACGGCAAGAGACAACGTCTCCGCATTGACATTCAGGTGGCGGCGGCTCCCCCTGCGGGGCCCTGCCAGCAGCAGCAGGCGGCTGCCTCGGCAGCTGATGAGCAGCAGCAGTGGCAGGAGGAGGAGCTGGAGCCGCCGCTGTTGCCGTCTGCTTGGCAGCTGACTAACGCTGCAGCCGATTGGCTGGCAGCAGCTGGCACCAGGTGGCATGGAGGAGCGGCAGCGGCAGCAGCAATACCAGCAGCGGCAGCAGAGAATAGGGATGAGGAGACGACCACGGTCGAGGGTTTGCCTGGACGTTGCGTGCTGCTGCGTGGTGACTTCGTAGCGGCGCTGACCCATGGGTCACCTGGCCTCCTTTCGGACTGGTTGTACGAACTGGAAGAGCGAGCGACGGACGTAACCGGCATCGACTGCATGCAGTCGTATCAGGTGCTTCAGACGGCCGGCGCCGTGGTTGTGGCATATTACAGGGGCACGGAGGAAGCTGCGATGAACGCGGCGTTGGTAGATGTGGCGACTCGCCAGGGGCCAACAAGCTTGGAGGTGGTGTTGTTGGGTCCGCTGCCAGAGACGTCGTACGACAGCTTATGCCCCCTGCCGTTGCAGTACGTTCAGATTGCCGTACAAAAGGTAGGGAGATGGGAAAATGGGTACAGCCATGCAAGACGTGGGAATCATCATGTATGTGGTATCCTGTCTTGGAAAGGTCTGGGAAATAATCGGTAACCTAAACCCGTTTTTGCTCGGTTTCTTAGGTACAGGGCAGCTCTGGTGTGACCGCCCTCTTCCGAACGACCTATGTTAGTGGCTCTTTATGCGGTGCTTCTGAATTTGCCTTTCCCTCCACTTGCTCGCGAAGGTCGCCCAAGAGGCCTGGGACGCCGCGGCTCCCAAAACCGGCAAGCGAGGCGTCCAAGTGGGCGGACAGCGGCTGGAGTGGCTGTGCGGGCTGCGGCTGCAGATGCAGTACGTGGTGGGGTCCGTGGAGCTGGTTTAGCAGCTGTCCTTGCGCATAGCACAGCAGCGAATAATGCTGCTTTAGACGGAGCCCAGACATGTATGACAGACCAGCATGACAGGCGGTGAGAGAAGGAAACAGAATGCTGTGCGTGGCTTGTGTTGGGGACAGGGCTTGTAGTTGCGTGACCAGTGGGTCATCAGTGGGCCGCAGAGTGAAACGGTACCGGGATGGAGATGGTTGATGAGCGGGGGCTAGTCGTAGCGGGTGGAGGTGGCTGGGCATGTTGGATAAAGGTGGTGATGTAGACCTCCCCCCCAAGCGTGTGATCTGCTGGAACCCCCTACGTGTGATGCTGTATATCATTGATGTCGGGCATTGTACGATTATCGTACAGCTCCAACATTTATTATGTTGCCGCATCGCTAAATAGCCTACCTGATACCGTTTCCATTCGTTGCCTCTCCCCTCAGTGTTTCCTGATTTACTCTTTCTCTGCTTTTGGTAGTGTGCAGTGCTATGCGTTTGGGGGCTGGGCGAAAGTCGGCATTGGAGGCCGACCGAGTTGTCCAGTAGCACGCCGTAAGATTTAAGCCGGTGGCCGTGTACTGCTTTAAATTGAAGGAAGGGAAAGCCCACGTGTGATGACATGGATGTGAGGCATGATCCTGGAAACCTAATGAGGTATGGTTAGTCATGCGTCATGAGGACGTTTCAATGCACAGGCGCAACGGTTGGGCTCATACACGCCAGGAGGCCCAAACTATAGACCGGATGCCGCCCTCGGTCCATGAGAGCCCCCAAGGTGCACGTGCATAGCCCCGGAAAGCGCTGTGACTAGGAGACTAGAGCCCCTACGTTTACAGGGGCCTAAATACATGGCTGTCCGTGTAATCATGATGCTCTTGAGAGACGTCGCCAACAGCGGCACAACAGCAGAACACTTAACATCCCTGTCGCTGACGCGTGGCGACAACTATACAAGTACGAGCCACCCAACTGTATTGCAACCACACGGCACTGTCAAAGGCCCTATCTGCTCCGTTGTTGAGCCCCTACCATCCTGTGCAGCGCCTTACGCCTTCCGCCCTACATGCGACACCACCACCCTATCCACCCTTGCTTGCCGGCGCCCCCACTCACCCACCCAATCCACAGCTTCCTGAACAGCGAGACCAACCCAGTCAGTCAAACAGCAATGCGGGCTGTGTAGCTGCTATCACATGCGCGCTAGTGTACGACCCGCAAATCATCCTCCGTCCATTCGTGGCCTCCGTCACGTCAGGCAGCTGTACGGCAGCCGCCAGCCGCACCGCAGCCGTGTCCCAGCCCGTCAACTCTACCCTCGCCGCCGCCGTCATTGCTTCGTCGCGGCAGCCGCCCATGATGCACTTGTACGGATGCCGCGTCCGCCGCATCCGTACAGCTGCAGCTGCTGGGCGGCGGCGGCGACGGCGGCGACACGCCAGGAAGGAGCGGTGCAGGCGATGGCGGTGCGGGACTGGGCTGCTGAGGTCGACGCGCGCAGGGCCCGAAACCATGCCCGAAACCAGCTCCGAAACCCACGTCGCCACGGCGGCAGTAGGCTTCCACCACCAGCGCGCGGATCGGGTCGATAGCAGCTTGGGCGGCAAGCGGTGCATGTCATGCAGCGGCGACATGACGGCGCGGGGCTGTCGGGGTGGTGTTCAGCAGCGGAGGCGCTGCACGGGCAAGGTGCAAAAGGGGCGGCTGCGTCGCCAGCGGCAGCGGAAGGGCGGCGGGGGCAGGATGACCCATGCAGGTGGGCCTTCTGCCCCCCCCCTTGCTGCTGTTGTTTTGGCTTGACTAATACGGGTGGGATGGGATGGGCCGGGTTCAATTAGCAACCCATGGAGAAGCGTCGTCATCCAGTTCGTCAGTTCATTTTCACCCCCCTTGCTGCTCTCCCCTCTCGAGGTCGTTCCCTTTCCTCCTTTTTCTTCACAGCCCCGTGCACCTCTTCCCCCACCCGCCGCCTCCCCCAGCAGCCGCTGCAGCCGTACAGCCACCGTCACCACCTGCGAGCTGCTCACACCGTCACTCCAGCGCCCGACCCAGCACACGCAGCAGCGACACACTGCCGCTGCAGCAGTGAGGAGCTCTTCAAGCTTGCAATCGAAGTTTCATATAGCGTCTCCATCTGCTATGGTACGGTATTGAGATCTACGCAATGCCGTACGCCGTGCGTTCAAAGCGCGAACGGGCAAGTAATCCATGTTGGGTCAACTCGATCCGCACAAACTAACCCCATAAATAACCTGTGAGCTATTGAACAATACCGTTTACAATTTGTGTTACGTGTACCGGTACAATTTCTGACAACATGCTTATCCCGCTGTTGAGCTTAGCCTACGCGGGCGTGGTGCTTTACAATGTTTTTGTAGTTAACGGTACACCGTATAATACATTGTATGCCTTGCATCCTATTTGCGCCTGCCTTTTCATAGTATTCGCCACGCTTGGTAAGATCGGTCGAGCCATCAGGCATGGCAACTGCACAGCGACCCAACAACTGTCTTGCGCTGCGCGTACAGGCATGTCAGCTGCTCAAGGCATCCGTGGCAAGGTTGCGCAGTCCATGCACACAAAGGAGCCCTACATCACACGCCATGCCATTTACAACTGGCTTGCACTGTTTTCCCTAGCCGGCGCCTCTGCGACTATCTACCTGGTGCGTCACGTTAGCTGGGCTTGGTGCATACCACACGCTTCGCGCACATCCTGCTGACAAGGATTGAAACCCTGTATCTTGTCCACTTCGGCTGCCCGATTCGTCTGCCCGACAACCCTTTCCCCCGTACATCTATGCCTCCTGCGCCTTATGCAACTTTGTCTTAAGTCCAGATTCCCAGTGAGCTGCTATGTGCCAACTCCTCAAGCTGCAGAACCCGCAACCCCATAAACTCCCGATTCCGCTGCCCCACCCGCACACCCGTTCCCCCTCCCAAACAGAACAAGGAGCGCAACAGTCGGCCCCATTTCGCAACCTACCACGGCATCACGGGCGGCCTGTCAGGCGCCTTCTTCGTGGGGAACGGTGAGCAGTGGCACGGGGGGGGGGGCAGAGGCGGCCAGGGACGTGTTGGCGCAAGAGCAGGCCCAAGGCTGGCCGTGCGAGTCGGATCGCACTGATAATGCCGGGAGATGAAGTCCCCTCAGGATAACCGCCAGAAGAGCCCTTTGCCAATGCAGAGGAGCAGGCATTCTTTGCTGGTGCTACCCCATCCTCACCTGCACCCTTTACTTACCCCAATCTCCACCCTACCTTACCCTGGTCTGTTGCAACCCACACCCTGCTCGCAGTCTTGGGCGGTGCCTCCATGAACGCCCTGCCCTCCCTGTCCAAGTACCTCCGCTTCCACCGCCTCAACGGCTACCTCATCTACTCCGCCCTGCTAGCAGCGCACGGCACCGCCGTCTGGCGGGGGTATGCGGGCTTCGCGGTGAAGACGGCCGCTGACAGCGGCAGCAGCGGCAGGATCCAGGATCTGGTGGCACTGTACGGCAGGCATGCGTTGGTTGCGTTGTTGGGCCTTATCTGGCTGAGCACCACGGCACGCATGAAGCTGAGCTTGCTGCCAGGGGGTGGCGGTGGGGACAAGAAGGTGAAGGCTCAGTAAAGGGAACACGGGTGCGGTGGAGTACCAACCAACAAGTGAATGGTTGGGACCTTGGATGCGTTTGTGCGTGGTTGCGTGTCAGCAGCCCCCCAGATGCACGGATGGCTGGGATGCATGCATGGGCGGGGTCGGAGCGGTGTCGGAAAGGAGTGTCCAGCTGGATATTGCTAGGTTGGTCTTTGTCATGTGCGGGCATGATCTTGAAGCTTTGGGGCATCGGTTGCTCATTGGTTAGGCGGTTAAGAGCGAGTGAGTTTGTCAGGTCTGGATGCCGTCTAGGTGGATTTGCCGTCGGTTCGGTAACGGTTAGGATTCGTTAGGGCTTCGTCAGATCTCTAGCTATCGTTATGGCTTGGTTATGTTGCGGTTAGCTGCTATAATATTGGTTATCTGGTTGGATGTACCTGAGTGAACGCAGTCAGTTGGTATCTTGGCGCGTATCTGGTGTCATCGGGTGCCATGTGGGCCCTGTATTACGCTTCCCGCCTTGCTCTTATGCTGAGGAGGTGCGGCGCAGCGCACCTTTTGGCACTACCGTGCGGTTGCGGTTGTGTAGAGGCTCATGATAGATTATCAACAACTCTGACAGGATTCTAACAACGTTATTGCGTGAACGCGCCCAGCAGTGGCCTGCGCATCCATCGGTATACTTGCGTGACGCGCCCAGCAGTGGCCCGCGCTATAGAACGGTAATCGCTAACCCATTGATATCTTTATTGAGTGTCTGCTATTCCAATCCCGCTGGGAGTGACTTCGTGGCCATCCGTGCCCGATCCAAGAGACGACAGTACATGCCCGCGCTTTGAGGTATGAGCTGATGATTTGTAACACGTAAGATTGTCTGTTCCGTTGATAGTGGCGCTACAACACTGTGTGGTCTGGGCCACACTAGGGCAATTGCCTTGCTTTGCCTGAGATAGCATTAGGGACATACATCCCGAACATCCCCCAGACTTTTGCTTTAGTGAGGCGCCAAGGCCGCACTATTAGGACAGCGACAGCCATTGGCCCTGACAAGTTTTTAGGGTAATGCAGCAGGTGAAGATATATGGAGCGAGCGGTCGGGCAGGGGTTGTGCGAACGTCTGTGTGTGTTAAATTAACTGGCCGCGAGGCGGAACGTACTGTGATTGCCGAAAGACGAAGTGTGTGTCTACATTGCGTGATCGGGTGCCAGGGGTGCGATGTGCGAGACAGCCAGCATGGCTTGAAAGATGTAGGTAGAAGTGCTTGCACCGGGATATTGCCAGCATGTGCACATGGACCACTGGACGTGCCGCCATGCCGCGGTGTCGCCACTACTGTGTATTTCAGTGAGTAAATGGCTGGGAGGAAGGGAAGGAGGGGTCGGCGCCTCCTGCAGCTGGCCTTCAAGCGAAGTAGGGGCACCCCTGGTTGTGAGAGAGGACCTGGCCAGCTGCTCTTTGGCTAAGGGTGAAAATGTGTGTGTTCTATGGTGAGCAGAAGAATTGTTGTTATTTAGATTGAGTCGTTCAATCGGTGCGAGTGTGCGACTGCCTTCTCTGGCTTCGACCCATGGGTCGCTGAGAATGGCTTATGTCGTTGTACCGATTCAGCCCGCATGCTGCCCTTCTTCTGCGTTAACTGTAGAGCACATTCAGGCAACAACGCCCATGCCCCTAGGCAGAGAGATGCGTTGTAGATGCACTGTTGCTATGGCTGCTCAATCCGTCTACCCGCGAATCCTACCATCCTGCGATGTTTTGTGATCTGCATCCATGTTCCTTGAAATCCATTTTCCGCGATGTATGGTACCCATGTTCGACTAAATAGGCGTTCTTCGATATTTTTCTTCCGTTCAGCTGAAACACGCGAGAATGCGATACGTAACGCCCGGGCCTCCTTGGATGATACGCACGGTGCACACCACGACCCATCTGCCTCCCAACATTGCTACCTCGGATTGCGAATGTACGATGCACGAATGCATCCCGCCTCCTCGCCCCCCATCACCTCAATCTCCAGGCGCCACTTCCCATCCGGTGCACGGATTGCAGCCAGCGGCCATACCATCCGCTCCCTTATGCTTATCCCAATTCGGCAGAGAAAGACTTTAAGTCCAAATCCTGCATTGCCACGTGCTGGACAGCCCTGTAACAGAGTCCAATCCTGCTCACTTTCTGGGTTGTGCGCCGCTGCTGCTTATCCTTCCATTCTCGACTGCCTCAGTAACAACGGTCGGCATTTAACATCCAGCAGGCGTAACTAGGTCAGGGTCTTGCTTCCTGCACCAGACACGCACACACCCATACAGCCTCCCACACACCATGTTCGCTGCCGCCCTGCCCGTCGACGACGCCACGTTGCGCCAGCTGACCGGGCAGCTGCTGGGGCGGCATGAGCCCCACCTGGTGACGGCGGCGCTGTCGCAGAGCCGCGCGGGGGACAGGTGAGGGAGGCAGGGGGGCGAAGGGGGGGCTCGCAGAGTGAGGCTGGGCAGGATGCGCAGGCAGGCAGGCACAGGCCAGGAAGCTGGCCTTACCTTTTCCTTCTGGTGGTGGGTGGGTGGGTTGGCGCCCTGCAGGTGCATGCGGGCGGGTCTAGACTGGGTGTGGTGGGCGCAGGGCAGGGCAGGGTGATTCGCGCGGGAATAAGTGCGTGATGCTGCTGTCACGGGAAGGCGGGGCAGGTGTCTAAGAGGAACGCTGCATGGATCGGTGGTTTGCGGTTGGTATGTGCACTGTGTAGTAGGGTTGCCGTGACCCATGGGTCGTGGACTTATGGGTGCACGTCAATCTCTAGTTTGCATACCGGTAGCCTCTACGCCAAGTTTCTGTCGATTGGCGTTATTATCTCTTCCTTTCGCGTGCCGTTCCACAACAACATGAAGCCAAATCCTTCCTCGTCTGCAGCCACCACTCCCACATGCTTCCAAAATACCAATGCAACCCCTTGCAGTCCTTTCTTCCAAGCCATAGATAACGCCCCCCCTGCCCCCCCTCTCCCCTCCCCTCTTCCCCCCCTTCTCCCCCTCCTCCCGCCCCCTTCTCCCCCCCTCCCCCCCGCTCCCAGGTACCACCGCTATCGCGTCACCCGCCGCAAGGGCGACCCAGACCGGGACGGCCCCCACCCGCTGAGCTCCCTCTACCTGGGCCGCGGAGTGTCGATGATGCTGGTGACGGAGCAGGGCGAGGGCGGGGAGGTGCGTGGGTGGGGGGTCAAAGACCATACCAAACCATAGGAGACCACAAGTTAGGGCAAAACAATGGGGGTAGGAGTTGGCAGGGTGCCACAAGACAAAGGGTTGGTTAGTATTCCCTACCGATACCGGGTCCGCGTTGCTGATGAAAGGTTGCGTGGGTGGGGGGGGGGGGTGGGGGGAGGGGGGGGGGGCGGAGCAAGCATGTCGCAACCGGGGCAAAGCAATAGGCGTGGGGGAGGGGCTGTGTACCGGTGTCGTGGCCAGTGAGGGTGTGGGTGGAGGGGCATGTGCAGGGGAGGTGGGCTTTAGGGTTCTACCGCTTATTGGGTTGTGTGAGTTGTGTGGGAGGCTGTGGGTTCCTCCGTGGGCCTGTGTCGTATCCAAGGCGTGTCGTACACATTACTATTGAACGCTCCCTTCCTTGACTGTCCTTTACCTTGTTATGATACCTGTTTGCCCATTGCAGTAAGTCCAACCTGCTTCGAACCATGGACCCCTGGAACACTGCGTGCATACCCTGCTCGCAGCCACACATTGGATAAGCTTCCTTTCCCCTCTCTGCTACCCGTTCACCCTATTCCCCAATGTTCTTTATCACATGCCCCCTGCCGTACCAAGGTATCATAGATCACATCACATCACGCCCCTACCACCACGCCCACAGATCACCCCTGTCGTACGCCTCATCGGCTGTCTGTACTTCACCCACCCGAACCTCACCGAGGCTCAGCTCAACGGGTCCGAGGAGCTGCCCCGACCCGCGGACCTGGAGTTCGAATCGCCGCGACGCTCGCCTGCCGACATCCTTCGGCTGGCGGCGCGCGCACTGGGGCCGCTGCCCTCCGAGCTGAGGTCCTCACTGCTGCCGCTGCCGCTGACGGCGCCGGGGGGTGCCGCGCTGGCCTCACAGGCCTTCGCAGCCTGGCTGGCGGGGCGCCCGCTGCCGCAGGCAACAGCGGCGGCAGCGGACACGGCGGCGGCTGCGCCACCCCCGCCGCCTCCTGCGGCGGCCGCATCCTCCACCTCTGCTGGCTGGTTCGCCTGGCTGTTTGACCTTTGGAACCGCTGGATGGGTGTGGCGGCGCCTGCGGCGGAGGGGGAGGTGAAGCCGACGGAGGTGTCGGCGTCATCGGAGGCGGCGGCGGCTCCTGCGGCGGCAGTGGTGCCGCTGACGGCGTCGCAACCGCCGGCTGCCTACGGGGGCGCTGAGGCTTGGGCGGTGTTTGAGGCTCTGGTGGCGGCGCGGGAGGGGGTGGCGGAGTGCGGCAGGGAGATTGAGAAGGAGTGGTTTGAGAGGGTGTTGCTGCCGGAGGGAGGGGCGGCGGTGAAGGCGTGAGGATGATGTAGGAAGGTAGGACTAGGCGGGTCGTGGCATGGATGTGTGTTCCATGCGTGCAAACGTAATCGCCTGAATGAGCTTTGGAACATTGTCGGTGTGGAGAGTGGAGAGTGCTGTAAAAGCGGAAGATCACTGCCGGGTAGGAGTTAATATTTGCCCTGGTTGGCTGCTTGGCTGTATTATTGCGTTGTTACCGTTGTCCAGGTTGCGTTGCATAACCAGTCACCAACTGCCTAATGAGGCCTTCGGGGCCGCCAGTGGGCTCGTTCGCCCTCCGTTTGTTGTTGGGTAGCAACGGATTGTTGGTAGCTGGTAGCTGGTAGCTGGTTAGGTGCCTGACTGGTCGTTGCCTGACTGGCCGTTGGTGTGTGCTGGTGTTGTATTCAACAACATCCCCATCTGCTGGTGGGATTTCTCCATTCCTTCCCATTCGCTCGCCCTTCATTTGCCGTACGCGCACTGCCGTTAGTTCCACCACATTAGCATTTTGAGTGACATAGAGCTTATGCTGCTTCCATGTGTGTCGTTCGTAGCGCTATGTAGTGTATCCGTTGATACCTTTGCTTTGCCAGTGCGAGGTGTACGGCAGGTGCCTGCTTGGCTGGCTTCAGGCTGGTCTAGAAGCTGGGGCCCTACCCTGCCGCACGCAAAGAGAGCAGACGTACGACAATGTGTGTAACGCCTGCTGGTTGCAGCGGCCATGCTGCCCCGCGGCACTGTTCTCCCCACTACCGCCCCCATCTCACCCTGTACGGCAGGGGTGCAGGATAACGACATCGTGTCCGGGCTCCCGTACATGGCACCCGCAAGTAAGCACGCGCAGGTATGAATAAGACAGGGTCTCCGGGCGAAGTAGCTGGCTTCGGACATGCATGTCGGCAGCTGATATGAGGAGGAGACTGTTGAGGAAGAGCCCCTGCTGACCAGCAAACACCGACTTGTGATGCTGGTAACCATGCAGTGAGTTCCTGGACACCTGTACAGCAAAGGCGGAAGCAACTTAGGTCACTGGCCTTCTCGTACTGCTTGTGCGCCGTACGGCCCGTGGGCCATTGCAGCGGCCATCTCAGCAGTGGATAGCAGTGCAGGAAAAGAGATTTGTTTTGTAATTATATAATTCAATAGTTTGGGCCTTTTTACGGGCTGCACTAGCCAGCAAGTAGCCTAGCCGTTAGCGCACCACGTAGAGATCAGTCCTTCAGCTGCGCTAAGCCTACCTGTTATCCTTACGACATTACCCTATTTATTATGCTTAGCTTATGAACTGACTTAGCTGCGTTGAAGGCAGAAGCCCTATCTGCTGACGACTTAACTTCTGCTTATCCACTGTCGAGGACAAGAGCCATTTCCATATAATACAGTGAACTTCACAAGTAAGCCTTTTTGGTGGAGCAGCTTCGGGCTTAGCACAGTTGTTGCAACTCCTCCAGGCAGCAACATCCAAAACAAAGCGCCCTTTCAAAGCCATCTACTCTACAGTGAAGCAGCATCCTCGCCTTAGCGTAATTACTATCAGCCATCCGACGTACTTTTATATCGTCAATGGATTCTCTACCGTACGTCGACCTCCTCTTCAAAGAGTATCTGCTCTTCCGCGGCTTCACTGCTACCCTGCAGGTGGGGCTCAAGGAAGGGGGATTCACATAGAGGCCAAAAAGGAGGGCTGGTTGCCCCCGCTCGACCCTCACAATTCCCTCCGCTTACCCGCCCTCCTCTGCTTCATCCCCGTACACAACCCATCTATCTCACCCCTTCACCCATGCCCATCCCCTTGCTTCACCCATCTACGTTGTCCTTCCACCACCCCACTCCTCGTCCTCTCTTGCGTCCCTCCACTCGCCCTCTCTCGACCCCTCACCCTCACCCCTCACCCCTCCTCACCCCCTCCCCCTCCTCACCTCTCCCATCCAATGCAGTCTTTCAACACTGAGCTAGACGCGGACCGGTGCTGCGGATTCCAGGTGGGGGTGTGTGTGTTAAAGTAACTGGCCGCGAGTCGGAACGTACTGGTGTGGGTGTGTGTGTGGGTGGGGGGGGGGGGTCGGAGGCACTTAGCCGGACGGGTTCCGTGTTAAGAAACCTGGCGGCCTTAAGACACCACACACGGTGTCGGTGTGTGCAGTCGTGCGTGCGCACACGAGGTGGCGAAAGGGCGCCACGCGCACTAGCATCCTACGCACCCTTCCTCCTTCCTCACCCTTGGTGCAGCCTTTGCCCGGTTAGTTGATCTCCTTTACCCCCCCCCCTTCCCTCCCCCTCTCTCCTCTTCCCCCCACAGGCCGAGGCCCTATGTGAGCTCATCTTCGGCCAGCTGCTGCCGCAGTGCCGAACATCCCACCTGATGCAGCTGCTGGACCTGCTGGGGGAGAGGTGGGGGGGAGGAGGGAGGAGGGAGGAGGGAGGGGAAGCCTTGCTGCAAGGTGTGTTTGTGTTTCCGCGTGCTTGTCGTACACGGTGCGTGTATAGGCACGCAAGGATGAGTGTGTATCCGACCCACCCCCCAACCCCCCGGGCTCTTCACACGGCCCTTCCTGCCTCCCTGTACCCCCCCTCCCGCTACCTACCTCCCCACCCCCCTCCGCCCCCCAACAGGCTGTTCAGTCGGTCGGACGGGCGGTTCGAGGGGGCTGTGGAGCGAATGCAGGTGGGGGGGGGGGCGGAGGCCCTTACAGTGTGTACGAAATTGGGACGTTTGTTGACTGGCGGAATGTGTGGAGATTGCATTTGCAACCAGCGGTATGCAAACCTACCTATGTGACGCCTCCCCACTCGTCGCCTCCTTCCCTCCTCCCCCCCGCCTTTGTATTGTGGCACCTGGCCGCCTCCGACCCCTCCGACCCCAAGTGTTTTGCCCTAACCTGTGGTCTCCTATCGTTTGACCCCCCTCCGATGCTCCTCCTCCTCCCCCAGGTAGCGCTCATCAAGGCGGCGCTGGTGGCCTGTGTGCAGTGCGGCCGGCAGGACAAGGCGAGTGCGGGGGAGGGGGGGAGGGGGGGCGGGGGGGGAGGGGGGGCGGGGGGGGAGGGGGGGCGGGGGGGGAGGGGGGGAGGGGGGTAGCCTAGTCCGGGGAGCTAAGACACGTGCATCACCTGCGGGCGGGCTTGAGGGTGACGGGGAGGGTGACGGGGAGGGAGGGGGGGTGAAAAATACAGATACCTGCATCAACTGAGGTGTGGCCTGCATAGAGCCACGCAACTCGAGCGCGATGCGACGCGGGGCATGCCCCCTTCCTTAACATCCCCCACACCTCTTCACACAGCCGCTGTCCCGTCCCTTGGATGGGTGTCATGATACACCCCTCTGACACCCTCTGCTCGCTTCCTCTTGCAACCCCATCTCCCCGGCTCATCACCTTGCCTAGCCTCCTCCCCCCCTCCTAACCGGCCCCCGCCCCCACTCACTGCATGAGTCGGGATATGGGATTGGGACTCCAGTTGTTTGCATTTATTATATAATTCCCCCCTCCCTCCCTCCCTCCCCCTCCCTCCCTCCCCCTCCCTCCCTCCCTCCCCCTCCCTCCCTCCCTCGCCCCCCCTCCCTCCCTCCCCCTCCCTCCCTCCCTCCCCCCCCCCTCCCTCCCTCCCCCTCCCTCCCTCCCTCCCCCCCCCGCCCAGGTTGGTGAGTTCTTCCGGGAGCAGGGGGACGCGCTGCTGTCGGGGCCCGAGGTAGGGGGGAGGGGGAAGGGGGAGGAGAAGGGAAAACTGCGGGTAGGAGCGTACAACTGGGTTGTTGGGGGGCGGGGCCACCCACGGGGACGCCACGGGAGAGAAGGAGCAGGTCGCCGTATGGGGGTGGTGGGCTAGCCAAGGACAACAAGCCATGCATGTGCTACACGGCTTCGCCATGGGTTGAGGGCTGGGGTCCCGAAGGGGAGGGCCGCCCGTGTACTCCCCCCCCCCCCAACCCATGTTGACGCCTTATCCCTCAGTCAGTAAGTTGTTTCCTCTTTACACCCCCCCCCCAACCCGCCTTCTCCCCCTCCCTCCCCCTCTCCCGCTCCCTGCCAGGCTGGCCTGTGGCGGCAGTGGGCTGCCCTCGCCTTCGTACCCAGCCCGCGGAAGGACCCCGCGTTCCAGGTGGGGGAGCGGGGAGTGGGAGGGAGGACCCCGCGTTCCAGGTGGGGGGGAGGGGAGTGGGAGGGAGGACCCCGCGTTCCAGGTTAGATTAAAACAAGGAAAACTGACGAACTGGTGGGGGGGCCAGGGGGAGTAAATAGGGATAAAGATTCCGCATTACGCTGGATTGTAGGATTGCTCATAGCCAAATTTGTTAGGTTAGTAGCAGCACACAAAGTACAAACCGTAAAAATGCTTCATAAGCCTGCGGCTGTGCTGAGATCATATCATTAGTCGAATTCCTGAGGTCTGAGCTCCACTGGGGGGGCCAGGGGGGGGATACTGGGCGCGGGGGGGGAGCGCTTGGTTGTGTTCTGGTGGGTTGGGGGCGGGGGGGGGGGCCCATGCATCCATGCATGCGGTGGTTGGTGTTGGGGTGGCAGCTGCCGCCAGCAGCAGCGGCGCTGTGCTGACAGGCAGTGCGGGAGTGTGGGCGCAGCGCAGTGCAGGGGGTCACAGCATGCTGCCTTTCCTCCTCAGCCTCCCTCCCCCTCCTGCCCCCCCCTCCTGCCCCCGCTCCCCCGCTCCCCCCCCTCTCAGGCGTACTTTAGCCCCGAGTGGCTGAGCCTGCTGGAGGTGGGGGGGGGTGGGGGGAGGGGGGAGGGGGCCAGCAGGGAGGGGGAGGTGAGGGGGCAGCAGGGAGGGGGGAGGGGATGCGGGGTGAAGGGGGATGCCGTGAGGTGGGGAGTGCGTGTGTGTCCAGTCAGGGAGAACCCCACCCCCTGCACCGCTGCACGGCGGCACCCCTCACCGCTCCTCCTGCTGCCCTGCTAGCTCGAGCCCCCGGCGTGTGGTTTGGTATACTTCTCACACCCCGCCCCCCCGCCTACCCGCCCCCCCCCACTCCCTTACCCCCCCCCAGGTTTCCCTCCGCAACCTGCTGTCCCAGGCGCTGTCCGCGCTGCCGCTGCCTGCCGTACTGCGATTCAACTCCGACCGACTGCACCGCCGGGCGCTGCAGCAGCAGGTGAAGGGTGGGGGGGGGCAACACCATACCATGAGCCATATAAGCAGGTGAAGGGTGCGGGGCAGGGTTGGGTAAATACGCGGCCAGGGCAGTCCCGCCTGCCTGGCCCCTTGTACCCCCCCACCCCTCCCTCCTCCTCCCCCCCACCCCCAGGTGGAGTCCCTGCAGCGGCAGTTGGAGGAGGTGGTCGGGCAGCTGGAGGCGGCCAGGGGCAGGGGGGGGAGGGGGGGGAGGGAGGAGGAGGGGCAGGGGCAGGGGGGGCAGGGGGGGGAGGGGCAGGGGGGGCAGCAGCCCCCGCAGGACCTCCCTCAGGCGGCAGCAGCAGCTGACATGCGGGGGGCGGCAAGTGAGGCAGCAGCGGCGGCAGCAGCAGTGACAGGGGCAGAGGGGACAGCTGGCGGGCTGCGAGGAAGGCCGCACCCGCACCAGCAAGGGGAAGGGCCAACAGCAGCGGCAGCAGCAGGCGGAGGGGGAGGAGGGGGAGGAGGAGGAGGAGGGGCAGCTGCGCGGCAAGACCCACCGCTACCGGCGGTGGTAGCAGCGGCAGGTGATGCCAGCAGCAGCAGCAGCAGCAGCAGCAGCAGGCGGGTGGGTAGGGGGCCTGCGGGCGCGGTGAGGAGGGCGGTGGAGGAAGAGGGGGGTGCAGGGGAGGAGGGGGGTGCAGGGGAGGAGGGGGGTGCAGGGGAGGAGGGGGGTGCAGGGGAGGAGGGGGGGGGAGGGGAAGGAGGAGCCATCTCACGCACACCAGCCTTCAGAGCGGCAGCAGCAGCAGTATCCCTCACGGCCTTGCACCACGGCCCCCTCCCTCACCCCCCTTCCCCTCCCTCCCTCACCCCCCTTCCCCTCCCTCCCTCACCCCCCTTCCCCTCCCTCCCTCACCCCCCTTCCCCTCCCTCCCTCACCCCCCTTCCCCTCCCTCCAGAGCCCCAACCGACAAGACAACCACCACCACCAGCAGCAGGAGCAGCCGGTGGGGCAGCAGCAGCAACCCCAACCTCCACACCCCCAGCCCCCCCGGCATCGCCACGGCAGGACTCTGAGCTTGGAGGTGAGGGGGCCCTGCGTGCCCTGTGTGCGTGCTTCTTTGCTTCCCTGCTTGCCCCCCTGTTCCCTGCTTCCTAAAGGCCCGCCGGCGAGGGTGTCAGCCTCACTCTTGAACACTAGCTGCTGCGGGGACGGAGCTTGGCAGGCAGCTGTCCGGTGCTGAGCGCTCGTGGGGCTGCATCGCCTGCCCCGTCTCTGTGCCGGTGTTCCCTCTGCCCTCCCTTCCCCCGTACCCCTCCCCGCCCCTCCCCCCCACCACCATGAAAGGCCTGGCATGCCATCGATGAGGATGAGATGGCAGCGGAGGAGGCGGAAGAGGGGAACGAGGAGGACGGGGAGGCGTTGGGAGCCGCGATGGAGACTGGAGAAGTGGCGGAGGCGGCGGAGGGGGAGGCGGTGGAGGCTGGCGGGGAGGCGGCGATGGCTTGCGCTGACTCCGAGGGTGGGGGTGTTGGAGAGGAGGGGGAAGAGGAGGCAGTGCAAGGAGAGGAGGGCGACAGCAAAGGAGGAGCAGGTGGAGGTGCAGGGGTAGGGAGTACGGTGGAGGCGGCTGTGGAGGGGTTGGAGGGGGAGGAGGGCAGCAGGGGCGGCAGCAGTAGCGGCGGAGGCAGCAGTAGCGGCGGTTGCCGCTGGGATTCGCTGTCTAGCTCCCAGACGTCACACCCTGACAGTACGGCAGCGGTGGCGACGGCGGCAGTGGCGACGGCGGCGGCAGCGGCAGCGGCGGCGGCGGCGGCGGCAGCGGCAGAGGTAGTGGCGGCGGTGCCGCCGGGCACGCTGCACGGCAGGGGCTGTGCCGTACTCGCAGCGCAGTTCTCACCCGGCGGCGGGCAGCACGTGGCGACGGCGGCGGCGGACGGATCCGTCGCCATTTGGTCGCTGACGGCGGCGGCGGGTGCGGCAGGTACGGCAGCAGGCGCTAGCGGCAGTGGTGGCGGCAGTGCGCGGGAGGCCCAGCTGCAGTGCGGGAGCGCCGCCACGTGTGTCGCCTGGGACGCCAGGGCGGATAAGGTACGGCGGTGCGGCATGTGGCTCTGTGTACGACATGCTGCATACGGCTGAAGGGCGTACCGCATGTAGCTCTGTGTACGACAGTAGTGTTAGCACGTGTCGTACGGACGTGACAGGAGGAGAAGGGATCGGTAGGGGGAAGGCTCCTTAAGAGGAGGAAGCAGGTCGGCGGCTCACGTGAATGGATACGCAGTTGTTGAGGGTAGTCGTTGCACCAACATCACGCGCCATTAGTTCATCGCCACACACACGCACAACTGCTGTACCCCCCCCCCCTCCTGCTCCCCCCTCTCCTCCCCCCCCCCCCAGGTAATGCTGGTGGGTACGGCGGGTCGCGGCATCCTGGCCTGGCACGCCGACACGCGCCGAGTGGCGGCGGAGGTGCCGCCCGACCCCACCGTCCCATGGGTCACTCAGCTCGGCTGCAGCCGCAACCACCCCGTCTTCATCGTCGCCTCGGCGGCACTCGCAGCCTCCGGAACCACCTTCTCCTCCGCCTCAGCTCCCACTCCTCCTCTCTCGGCGGCTGCCCGGTCCCCTCCCCGGGCCTCCTCTCCGCCTCCCACCTCGTCCCCAACCTTCCATCAGCCACCCCACCACTACCGCCTGCCAACCTCCCCCCTCACACATCACACCCCGCCGTCATCACAATCGTTCGCTTCATCCTCACCGCCGCCGCTGTCGGGGGGTGTTGTCGGTATGAGCGGCGGCAGCCGCAATGGCAGCGGCAGCAGCAGCAGTGCCGCTCCTGCCACCGGCTACCAGCACCCCAGCTGCCACCCCGGCGGCGGTGCCGCACTGAGCGGCACCGGCGGGCGACTGAGCCTGTGGAACATGCGCGCGTTCAAGCGGGTCAGCAGCTACGGCGTGCCGCAGGTGATGGGGTGGGGGCTGAGGGGTGGAGGTGGATGTGGGCATGAGAGGTGGGGGTGGAGAGATGGGGGTGGGGTTGGGGGTGGGGAACATACGGTGGAGGTTGCGTGCGGGGAGGCCTGGGGATAGTGTGGGTGGCGGGCGGGCAGGACGTGAGGGCTGTTGGTGTTGGAGGGCAGCGCCGCACCTGAAGTGTGCCTTCCAACCAGTACCCACTGGTGGTGGCGAGGGGGAGTGGCGGGGGGGGAGCCGCTGTGCTGGCCCGTGTCGTGATGTGGTTCAGGGCCTTCTTCCCAGCTCGTCATCCCCACCTCACTGCCCCTCCTAGCTCTAGACCCTCACCCGCGCTCTCTAACTCAATGGTGTTCCCCTCCCTGCCCGCTGCTGTCCCGTGCAGGACGCCACAGTCCTCAGCCTGTCTATGAGCACCCAGGTGGGGTGGGCGGGATGCCGGGGTGGCGGGGTTGGCTGCTGCTCCGCTTCCCCTGGAACACCGCCCGCCCCCTGTGCGTCCGCCTGCCCGTGCAGTGCGCCTCCTCCTCCTCTCGCACGCATGGTGCATGTGTGCGCATTGTTTTATGTAGCCCCCCCCCCGACCACAACCGCATGCAGCATGCGGTTACACGGCGCTGCTGCGGCTGCTGCAGCACCGGCGCGCGAGCAACTGCACACACACACATGCAGCACTCCCCCACCACACGCGCACGTACATCTTATCGGTGCGCAGCTGCAGCCGTGCACGTGAGCACCGGGCCAAGCAGGGCTCAGCACACGCATGTCTGCGCACATGGGTACGACCCCTCTCCCTACCTACCTACCTCTGGTTGCTGGTTGGTGGTTGATGTTGTATGTTGTTATTAACATGTTGGACTGCATGCGCACTTGCGCCCGCGCAGGGCAGCTGGTTCGCCGCGGGTACTGCGGGCGGGTGGGTGCACCTGTACGACAGCAGCCCGGGGGGCGCACGGCCGCTGCCGCTGAGCAGCTTCAGGTGGGGGGGAGGATGAGCGGGTGGGGGGGGAGGAGGAGGAGGAGGGATGCTGGTGCGTAGCGTGCAAAGGTATGTCTGGAACGGAACGGTTGTAACCATTTACGTCCTTCGTGTTCCATCGTTTCTTACTCGTGCGACACAAGCCATGGCGCAAAAGACGCAGCCGGTCCTCTCCTTTCCTCCTCCCACATTGCTCCTCCCCCGTCCCTCCCCTTTTGTCTTCCTCCTTTCCGCCATCATGCCAACAAACAAACAGGGCAAACGGCGGAGGCGGCGCATCCTCATCCTCCACCAGCTTCTCTTCCGTCCCTGTTGCCGTACAAGTGTACGACAGTAACGGCTCCGAAACCCTGCTGGCGACCTGCTGTGACGCTGTCGTACGGTTATGGAGCCTCCGTCGGTTAGCGGAACCGTTACTTTCCGTACAACTGCCCCTTCCTGACCCTACGACTGCGGTGTACGGCAACACGTCATCTACAGCAGGGGTGTACGACAGCGGTGATATCGTACGGCGGCGGTTGCCGTACAGTTGGATTCCCCGGCTGTGTTTGTCTCCCGGGGGGGATACGGCAGCGGTGTTGCTGGGGGGCGGGGGCCCGCAGGTGTATGTGGTGGATGTGGGGACTCAGGGGGCCCCTGCAGCGCCGCAGCAGCACCAGGGCGCTAGCGGCGGCGAAGGTGCCATTGGTAGGACGGCGGAGGAGGCGGCGGCGACTGCGGCGGCGTCCGACAGAGTGTCCGTCGTGCTGCCGTACACTGGCAGCAGTGACGGCGGCGGCGGCCACCGTGATGGCGGAAGCGTCGTCGCAGATGCAGGTTTAGGGGGAGGAGATGGAGGAGGAGGAGTAGAAGGGTTACATGGGGGCGGGGAGGAGGAGGAGGATGCGGATGGGGGGTTACCCTTACCGTTGTACGGCAGCAGTGCGTGTTGGCACCCCGCAGTACGGCATGTGATGGTGGTGGGGTACAGCGATGGAGCGGTTCGGGGGGTGGGGCTGAGGAGGGGGTAGGGAGGTGGTGCCGAAGAGTAGCATCATGCCGGCGGGGTACTACCGGTACTGCCTCTGTTCTGCGTGTGTTTGTGTTGTGTTGGTATATCTGTGTGCTTGTGCTACCCAGTTAACTGGGTTGCACGTGGCTGGCATTGGGCAGAGCACCTTGGGGCGCGGATCTCAAAGCGGTAGCTCGCCAACGGCTAGAGCTAGTGGGAGACGATACCCGCAAGCAGGCTTCGTAACATTGAGCCGCTGTCAAGGAAACTGACTTCTACGTGTCATTGTGTGTCCTGGCATTGTAAAGAGCCATAATGATGCCCCGTGTGACCCATGGGTCGCCCTAATGACGTAAGGATTGCACTGCCTTCCCCGCGCATCATCCGCATTGCTCGGGTTCCACCTCATTCTGCTTGGCACATTGCTGAATATATGTGCGTTGAGGAATTAATGAAACAAGGTGTCTTTGCTGCGCTGAGCAATCGCCGCAAATAGCCGCCACAACGCACATTAGCGTTATCCCTCCCATTCATAGTACTAACCTGAGACACACGTTTCCTAGCTTTCCTAAAAGCCCAGTTTCTTAGGAGCAGCACCACCACTAGCAGCAGCAGCCGGGAAGCGGGCCCCGCTTTCGCTCGAGGCGAGAAGCTTTGTGGAGCGGGGGCGCAACAAGCGACAAGGACAACAACTCCTAAACGGTAAGCTTAGTAGCAAAATTGCTGGCCACTTGCTACTTACCTGGAACTTTCACGTTCGGGCAGTGCCCTCGCGGCTGACTACTCGCAGCCGCCTTTCTGCTTTCCTGCTCAAGGCTACGAAGCCGCTTGTCCTGTCATCCTTTCGCTTATCACTTCTCAAGCAGCCCTGTCCGCGTGTAAGCATCAGGAAGAACCCTGCTTCCTCACACACCTGCGTTCATTTTCGCCTTCTCCTGCTCCTTTCCTCTCCATCTGCCGTTCCGTCGCAGTTGCCGCATTACGCACCAAGCGCGCAAGTCAAGCCCAGGACCCTCAACCCCCCCCATGCTCCCCCCGGTCTCCGAGCTGGGGTCCCCCGCCTCCCCCAGCCTGCGCGACGATACCGCTCGCAGTCGAGCCGGCAGGACGGGGGCAGCAGCAGCAGCAGGGGGGGATGACAGCGGCGGCGGTGGTGGTGGTGGTAGGGTGTATGTGGGCGGAGGCAAGCTGATACCAGACGCATTGGATCCGCCCGCCTCCCTAGGAGGAGGAGGAGCAGGAGCAGGAGGGCTCGTGATGCGCACACCCCACTCCCACCGTACCGGCCGGCGTGAGGCAGCAGCAGCAGCAGCAGCTGGGAATGATGTTAACATGCCGTACGACAGCAAGCAGAGGCAGCAGCAGCAGAAGGAGCAGGTGATGGAGGGCGGCGGGGCCAGTACGGGAGGCGGCGGTGTTGCGCCTCCGCCGTACGGCCCCGGTACGGCAGGAGGGCAGGGTGGGGAGGAGGAGGGGGGGGCTGTACGGCAGAGCAGCTCCTCCCGGGGCGGTGCGGCAGCGGGCAGTGTGGCTGCGCCCCCGGAGCTGCCTGAGGACTTCTTTCTGGATGAAGAGGTGGGGGGGGGAGAGGGGGGGGGAGGGGGGGGAAGGGGGGGTGGCATGCGTGGGGTAGAAAGATAAGGAAAGGGGAGGGAGGAGGTGGGACGTATGTCGTGTGTATGTGCTGATGGTGGGCAAAGGTTGAAGGAGGTTGGGGGCTAGCTGTCGACCGCTGGTGTTCCCAGCAGCCCGCTGCCGCAACACCGCCATGCATGCATGCTACCGCAACAACAACCGGTACGCTCATCCCGTTCACCGCTCCTTCCCCCCTCCCCCTCCTCGCCTCCCACCCTCCATTCTTCCCCCCCTCCCTCCTACCCTCCTCTCCACCCCCAACCAGGCTGAGGTGGCCCGCCATCCCTTCCCCATACCCCCGCCGGAGCTCATCGCGCGGGCCAAGAGGGTGCTGTCGGTGGGTGAGTGCAGCGGTGGGTGTGTGTGGGGGGGAGTGCAGCAGTGTGTTAAGAAATCTGGCCGCGAGTAGGAACGTACTGGGATGTCGGAAGATGAAGTCCCCACAGAACCAGGAGCCGTGTGTGGGGGGGGGGGGGATGGAGTTTGGGGGGGGTGCAGGGGGGGGGGGGGGTGCAGCAGCAGTGCAGTGCATGATGGGGGTGCTGTGGATGGGTGGGTGCCGCTGTCCTCCCGCTGTTGCCCTGCGCCTGGCGTTGGGCCTCACTGCCGTCACTCGCCTCACCGATGTCCGCCCCGCCCATCCCCCCCTCCCATGCATCCGTGTGTATGACACTCGCCGCCAGTCCCACCCGCCGCTACTCCCACCCCCGCACACCTCGAGCGCAATGCGTGGGCCCTGTTGACCGTTTGGTGTGGGAGCTACCCCCCTGCCCCCCTGCCCCCCCTGCCCCGGGCCCCGCAGGAGTGTACCGCTGGCCGGATCTGTCGGAGGATTTCGTTTTCACGGGTGGGGGGGGAGGGGGAAGGGGGAGGGTGTGTGTGTGGGTGTTACACGTGCGTTTCGCTGCGCATGTGTGGGTGTGCATGCGCGGGATTGTGATGGAAGGGAAAGGGGTGCGACCTCGCTTTCCCGGGCGGGGCCCCCTCTTAGATACTTGGGTTCTAAGTGTGTGTTGGCACATCACGCACCCTTCCACCGGCCCCAGGTGCCCCTCCGCCCCCCCGCCTGCCTTCCTCTTCCCCTCCCCCCCCTCCCCGACTCCATTCCAGCACAACCTCTTTCTCCATGTGACCTACACCCCGCCCTCTCCCCCCCCCCCCCCCACACACACACCCCGCAGCCCCCTTCATCGGCCCGCTGGGCCCCGAGGCCTTCCGCAACACCCAGGGCACGCTGGCACTGGAGGAGGCGTTTCCTGATCTGGCACCCAGGTGGGGGGGGGTGGGGATTGGGATGGGTGGGGGAAGCAAGAGGGGGGGGCCACCACTGCTCACATTCCAACACTGCCGTGCATATGCGGGCGGTCGGGCGTTTGAGGAGGTAGTGTAAGCCCACAACCCTTACGTGGCTTACCTCAGCTCGAACCCTCGGCCTCCCCCCCCTCCCCCCATGATCATTCAACACCTTGGGATTCTTCCCTCCCTCCCTCCCTCCCTCATCACCCCCCCTCCCTCATCCCCCCCTGCCAGATACCACCACCTGCGAGTGGACCCCTTCAGGTAGGAGTGTGTGTGGGGGGGGGGAGGGGAGGGAGGTCAGCGGACCGTTTTGGGGGGAGGGAGGTCCGCTGACCAGCCTGAATCATAGGAGGAAAGCACAGGAAAGGGCAAAGTAATGGCAATAGCTGGCAGCCGGGCGCCGCAACGCTAAGTGAGGGTTAAGCGTCCTCCAGCGGGTTGGAGAGGGTAGGGGAGAGGGTAGGGGAGGAGGGGGAGGGGGTCAGGGAGGAGCTGGCCCTGTGTAGGGGACACCACAAGCCAGGGCAAGGCATAGGGAGGCGGGAATGGGATGCAGGATTGTGGTGTTGGGTGTTGGGTGTGGAGCTGCTGGACTTGGACTTGATGCTGTTGGTTCACGTCTTGTGTTGCTGCAACCCCACCCCCACCCCCACCCCCACCGTCAGTTCCCATATCTTATTATCTTCAGCCCCCCCCCCGCCCCCCCGCCCTGCTGCTGCTGCCGCTGATTGCCTTGCAGGCCCAACCGCGTGTGGGTGACACTGCGGTGAGTTGGGGAAGGGAGGGGGGGGGCAGGGGGGCAGGGGGGGGGGTAGGTCAGGGAGTTGCAAGGAGGTGGAAGCAACGCATTCCGGTTGATACTTTGCGGGGTTTGCTGTGGTGGTCTGAGCTGTCCCCGTGCATGCATGCCCCTGCCGTGCTCTTTCTCTCCCCTCCCACCCTCTACCGCAGCCCCCTCGCCTCCCAACTGTTTTCCCGCGCCTTAGCCTCCCATGCCTTGCCCAACCCCTGCACCAACCTCTTCCCACCTCCCCTCCTTCACCCCATCCACCTCCCCTCCTCCGCACCTCCTCCCCACCTTCACACCACCTCTCGTCATCCCCTGCCTCCTCCCCACACATCCTCCCCTCACCCTCTTTCCGCCCCCCCAGGCCCCGCTGCACCCACTTGGGCACCTTCAAGGGGAAGCTGCCCTTCGGAATCAAGCCCACGGGTAAGAGGGGTGGGTAGAGTGGTGCGTGGAGGGGTGCCGGTGGGGTGGAGAGAGGGGGGGGGGGTCAAAGAAGTATCAACCACAAGTAAGGGCAAGACAAAGGGGAGCGGGGGAGCGGGGGAGCGGGGCAGCGGGGGAGGGGATTACTGGGGTCTGGGGAGCTGATGCGCGGGGCGGGAAGAGGTGGGGAACAGTGGAAGAGTGGGAACATGCATGGAGCACTCAGCTGCTGCTGCCGCTGCCGCTCCACACCTGCTGTCAACCTGTGCCGAGCTGACCCTTTCAGCGCTGTCTCTCCCCCCCGGGTGACTGTCCTCGCAACATCCCGATTGGCTTTGCCCTCACTTATGGTTACGTTTTCCCCACCTCCAGTTTCGGTGAACCCTATACGACTTAGCCTCCCCCCCATTACACCCCCCACCCACCCCCCAGGTAAGGTTATCGAGGAGCCCCCCCAGACCGCCAGCATCTCCTTCAATGCGGCGGGGCAGGTGTGCGGGTACAGCATGGGGTACGTCATGGACAGGGTGAGTGGGGGGGTGGGGTTGGTGACCCATGGGTCGGTGGGGTGA